AAAGATATTAAACTCTTTTGTCTGGTGGTACTTTTCCCGTTAAGATATTTTTGCTAGAAGTAAGGGAATTCCCATAAAATTCTTTCAGTGACTCATTGCGTCAGAAAATCCCTAATTCCGTTCACGTCTCGTATCGGTTATGCTTAAAGACGGCGAGGTTGTCGGAAGTATCCCTAATATAGCATTTCTGCATTTATATATGTAATTTAAATAGTAAAATTCCATTATTTTTCTAAAAATCATGAACTTATATTTTCAGATTTAAAGCTGGGAGCTTATTTTTTACTTTTTAATTAAAACAATTATTATTACTCAGGCTGAAAATTAACTAGACCATAATCAAAAAGTAGAAATTTGATTTGCAATATTTATCTGGTAAACGTGGCCACGTTGCATTTATTTCTAGAAGTGGTAGACAACACTATTTAGAAGTACTTACAACGTTGTCACGTTTACCAGATACATTTTCTCAAATAAAATTTCGATCTGGTAATATTCAGCTTGAGTAATACTAATTGTTTTTATTAAAATTTAAAAAAGGTAAGGCTTCCAGCTTTATCTGAAAATATAAACACATTATTTTTAAAAAATAATATATTTTTATCATGTAAATTTCTTTAATAAATGCAGAAGAGGAATGGTGGTGCAATGATACATCCGACAACCGCGCCCTTTTAACTATTAACCGATACAAGACCTGAAGGGAATTAGGGGTTTTCTGACGCAATGAGTCACTGAAAGAATTTTATGGCAATTCCCTTACTTCTAGCAAAAATATCTTAACGGGAAAAGTACCACCAGACAAAAGAGTTTAATATCTTTATAAATTAAGTACATTTTTATTTCTAATTAAAATAATTTTCTACTGTACAAATTTTTAATATTCAATTGATAAGCTTAAAAAGTTTAAATTGAAGACTTTCTGTCAAAAACAACGCATACCCAAAAATGCCTGAATTAAGTTAACAGTGAATTAGTGGCCAAGTGTTGTATTTACTGGCACACATTTTGATTTCCTACAAAAGTAACACAGAAACAGATATATTTACTATCAAATATAGAGCATTTCTGCAGTCTAATGAGAGGGTTATACCTACTGTTTTTTGTTTTTCCTGGAAAAAGCTGATTTTTGACATGTGTCGTTTTTATAAAAAAAAGTCTTCAATTATTCCTATCTCCACTGCTAGTTTGTACCATGACGATAAATTTATCCATCCCTTGCCTAAATTGGGGATAAGCGAAGCAAACAAACATCAAGTCAAGACTCTTGATTTCTCCATGTTTTTTTTGTAACCATAGCAGCACTGTAGACAGTATGGACCAGCCAAATGGAATACATTATTGTGCATATTTATAAAAAATCCCGAGATACTCAATTTAAGATTCTAAAATAAAATCCTGTAAATTAAAAACTGAATCCCTAAATTCAACCCCCTTTGAGTGACAGTTACAACCCCCCCAACTTTTTAAATTGTATGTAGGGTTCTGTGATAAGTCTTTTCATTCTTTATTCAAAAATGATGTAGCCTTAAATCAGCAAAGAAAAACTTGCATTTTGTGCAAAATAAATTTCAATAATTTTTTTTTGAAGAAAATCAAGTTTTCTTTGCTGATCTAAGCTACATGCGCACAGTTTTAAACCACTGTTGGTTCCTTTAATGTAGTTTTAAAAGTTTATTACAAAAATTAACAATAAAAATATTTATTCTCTGATTGGTGAAAGTAGTTACCAACAAAACGTAATGGCGTTTTGTTCTTGATAATTAGAAGTCAAGTAAAAACAATTTCAGTGTCATTTTTCAACAATATCAAATAGTTACTATTATTAAGTTTTTAGGTACTTAGTTTACTAACAATGAATTTCTTCAGATTATTTTATATTTTGTTAATTTTTCAAACAAATTTGAAACCCTTAGTATTTTTGAACAAAGAATGAAAAAGGTCTTTCAAATAAGGTATCACAAGCCCCTAACTCCAATTTAAAAACTTGAGGTTGCATCTGTCACTGGAGATGAAATTGTTATGTTGCAGAATGTTATTTCAGAATCTAATGACTCAAATCTTTATAAATATGCATAATAATTGAGATACTGGATTTGGAATTTATTCCATATGGCTGTTCCTCTTTCCCACATTATATTGTATGGCCTAAATAAAATATTGTTAAGCACATTATTTTTTTTGTTAGGATGTTGATGAAGAAAAATAATAACTTTGACAGTGTTATAGTATACAGAGTGAGCTATGTTTAAGTTTCATAGCCAATCCTGATTTGAAACGAAAGTGAACAGCAAGGGTATGTCACATTTATGTTAGAACCATTATAGGTACACAGTTTTTGTAAATTGCAGTGAAAATTGTACATTTAGTGAGTAACTAACACTTTTTTATCATGAACATGTTATTAAGGTAATTTTTACAAATTGTCATATTTGAATCCGATCATTAAGCCATTATTATGTGTCCAATCATTAATGGGACACCCTGTATATTGCCCAGAACTCGTAATCTTTAGAATAACTAAATATTTATTAAATAATGAAATTGGAATATTCTGTTTGAAAGAAAAGTACTTATTACTTAAATTTGGCAAAAATAAAACAATTCAGAATTCCCCAAATGGTCATTTAAAAAATCCCCAAAGCATGAGAGCCAATGTAGATACAAAGCAGACCTCAAAAATATTAATACAAATGACTCAGGTAGGGTGTGGTAGTGGTGGAAACAATATGAAACCAAAACAAAATTAGATGCTCCATTAAGAATATGAGATATGTTTATTAAGAGTCAGAAAATAAACTGAAAATATTACTTTTTGAGGTCCTCTAAATATAAATTTAATAATTCTACAATTAGGTACTCAGCCTGTTAAACGTTAATTAATACAAGGTATTATAAAACAAATTACTTTATTTAGTTCTTTTAAAAAATACTTTTCGAGTGGTTTTCTTTTTCACATCTTTTGATCATAAACCAGCACTTTAAGGATTATTTTTTTAAGTAAACTTTATACTCGACTTAATATTAAAATATCCCTACTTGGCTGGGGCAAAAAATAAATTGTCTCTTTCTGTTAACAGGACCCAAAACCAAAAGTACATAGAGAGTATATCTAATTGTGTATAAAGAATAAGCTTGTGTTACAAACACCCTGTATGTTAACTTATTTAATGTACTTTATACCATGGTATCAATGTTAAATTATCTTTTGTACTCAGATATAATACCTACATTCTATTGTTTGAAAAATTATAAGTATACAATAGACAAAAACTCATTATAAATTGATAGGAAGTACTTAAAAATAGTTAAAAGACAATTTTTTTAAATGATATCAAGTACCAAAAAATAGTATACCAACACAAAATACATTTGCAGGCTGATCTTGTAGTAAAAAAAGCCTTATTCCTAGGCCTATTCAGTTCATTGCTAATAACAATGTAACCATGATCTAGTTGTTACAACATAAAAAAACAACTTTTTTTCAATTTGAATAAATAAAAATTATTTAAAATTTAATATTTTCAAAAATTTTAATAGATACCTACTTATACAATATATGACATTATTAAGTAATTTACATCAAACAGAATTAGGTGTAAAAAAATACTAAAGTACTAATTTTGGAAAAAATAGACCATTTCAAAATTAGTTCTAAAATAATTATAATTATTGTATTAAAAAAGTAAGAAAATTGTTATTAAACAAATAAACTACAACTAAACATAATAACTAAATTTGAGGATGTTTCTTCACTCAAAGAATGATTTAATCCTGTTGTGTGTAATGATTAATTTTTGGTCTAAAACATTTAAGTAGGTAGTAGGTACTTTAATAAAAAATATTGTTTGGCACAATAACACCAGTTTTAAACAGTGAAAATGAATAGGTATATTGTTATTTCAAATCCTTTTTTATTGTTTTAAATTTGTTAGTAATTTAAAGAATACAGATTACATTGACTAACACATTTTACAGACAAAATTGTTTGCAATTATTTTTTCTTAATCAGATGAATGTCAGATTAATATTGTAAACAATCTTAAATAGGTACCTAGTCGATTTCAAAAAATCTGTAAATTGAAAAATTAAATATTTATTAATCTTTACAAAATATTTCATTATATACCTAGACAATATTTGACTGTTTAGGTACCTACACTAGGAACAATATTGCTAATTTTCATTAGACCACGAAAGTAGGTAATACCTATCTGACCATGTTAGGTATTAATATTTTAATAATTTATACATTATGATTAAATCCTTTTATTTAAAACTTTATTGGTGAATATGTATACAGAAAATAGTCTTGGAATGTAACAAATAGTCAAATAAAATGAAATAAAACCTTTCAAAGGCCACTGACTTCCATAAAGAAGATTGTTATTACTGATATAAATAGATATTATGTCAAAGGACAAATTTAATAGACAAGCACATGTGTAGGCGCGCATATAGGTACTATAATAATTAGTATACACCCATCACATTCAGATTATTCTGAACCTTTTAAAATTGAGAAATGTAAAACAGTTACTTATAAAATAAAAAAAAAGCTTTATACTAAACATCTAACGTTCAATTTATTGCTTCTGAAGTTAATTGATTGTTTTAAATCGGTTAAGAAACGCAATAATTAGTACTGTAATTGTTAAGTACCATCTGCACAAGTAATGCTTCAAATTGACCTAAATAATTTTACTGAAGTATTTAAATTGTTTCTGTACATATTAGTAGAATATTTACTAAAGTGTTTTTGTAATGACCACTTGTTATTATTTTGGCAAGATAGCCAAATACACGTTTAGAGTAGACACAAAAAAAGGTCATCATGCATCTTTTTGACAGCTGATACAGAGAAAGGTGACCAGGTTTTTAAATTTCTTTACCTAGAGGGCAAGAAACCTTCCACTGGTCAATTTCCTTAATTGAATTTAATGTTTATATCGGAATAATTAGAGTAGTGATTATAAATTATTAAGAATCGGTAGACTTACCAGCCTGGTGATGAATGTATCATCCATATCGGTTTTTCGTCTTGTTCCGCGGTCCACTTCGTTTGATGGATTATCGCCACTTTGCACGTTATTAATACTAGAGTTTCTCATGAAAATCTTTGATATTGCACTCCACATTTACCTTTATTCCGAACACAAATACTATTTCACCCTCTGACAATATCATCGTCCAGCCTACGCAAGTACTGTAACTTGTGGCTTTACGTGCAGCCAAAAACATTCAACCTCGAAATTAAATACAAAGTAATACCTTATATTCAACTATTATCACTTGAGTTGCATTTTATGTATTTATTTCCTTATAATTTTCGTTAAATTTGACAAATATCTTGTGTGTCTCGTCATAATGAATGAAAACTACGAAAACGACATCAGCGCCAATGTGGAATGTCACCGAACTTTTGACAAATCGAAGTCGCTTCTAGTGCCATCTCCTGCAAATTAGATTTGCGGGAAGTTCAAAATCATCACTTACACTGCCCAACACAATACAAATCGTATTTTCCATAATATATTTTATTATATTATTGATATATCAACAGGATATTCCTATCCAAAACCATAAAATATTTCGTTGTATACAAACAAAAAATAATTGTAATTTAAATAAAAATGGCTTAATTACTCGGTTGTAAAGGATAAAAAAATATTTAAAATATAGTTTTGGTATTTATTTTTATTTTGTGTCTATGTGAATCGATTTCTAGTATTTTTTGTCCTTTAACATTTTTTTCTAATTTTAACGTAATGATCAAACAAGCCGTAGAGGCTAGCCTCGAGCTTAATCTGCATCCACACACTCGCAACAGTTAAGCAGTGATCACGTCGTGGATGGGTGACCACTGGGAAGTTCCACCATGAGCCGTGTCACTATGGGACTTATCCGACTAGCGGTTAACCATCAACGACGTGGAATGAGAGAGTGAATTGTTGAATGAGAAAGTAGCGACAGTAGCTGTCGGTGCCTTTGATGTCGGATGGACATTTTTCACCACATGACTTTGAATAATACCCAACTTAATACGCTGAGAAAACATACTTATTTTCTACACTGAGCGAAATAGTTTGGCAAATTATCTGAAATCATTGTTATAGTCCATGCTAAATGTTGTAATGTGATTTAATTACATTGAAGTAGTTAGGGTTAATAGCAATGGTTAAATTTTGGCACCAAAATATAATTCATTATGTAATAATTAATTATTTGTTATAAAAGTAGAAGACGTTTATTATTTTATAATTTATCTATAAAATTTGTTCAATATTTGGTTTATTTATTGTTAAAAATGTAATAAAACCCCACATTTAAATTAAATTACCTTTTCCTTAAGTAAAAATAAGGTAAATAAAGTTAAGGGTACAAAAAAATTAGGTAACAATTAAAAAGACATTAAGTTTGAGAGGTTTAACTAAATATTTGCAATATACATATATTTTCAACGCATTTAGCTTTAAAAAGTACTCACATATTTTTAGAATTTCTGGATTTATATTATATTAAAAAGACTTTTAAAAGTTTATTACTCATTTCTGTAGAAACATGTGTTTTCTCGCAAAGATAAGCCAGATGTCATTTAAGGTTTATGTATTTAGAGTTAAATACCTGGCCTGGCTATCACCCAGACAATACAATTAAATATGTCCATTGGACGTCCATTCGGTATACAATTTTGGATGTCTATACGTCCAAAAATGAGTTTTTTCTGGACTTCCGACATCCAATGGACGTCCCGTGAAGTATAAAAATGGCACACTTTTGACCATTCAGAGGACGTCCAATTCTGGAATATATTTGGACGTCGAATACTGGACATTCAAAAAACGTCCAGGATTATATTTCCATTGAGACCACATCCCCACTTTTTTTACAGAACCGCAACTCACCACACACTATTTTATATTATTAATAATTTGTTTATTATTTTCGCAAACCGCTATACACCGTTTATTTTTATTTTTTTAATTAAAGATCGCTTGACCTGAGCAGGGATCGAACTCACGACACATCCATTATCGTTTTACGCTTTCAATTCCTTATTTCTAACCTTGAGTCACTAACTAAAATTATTTATAATACTCGCATATTCGTCATAAGCTCTAAAATTTGCAAAAGTATTGATTTGCTTTGAGTATTTTTCATATAAGTACTCATAGGTACTCAGATACTCATGAGTACTTTAATGCAGTACTCTGCCCAGCTCTGCTTGGCGACTACTATTATTCGAATAAAAATAGCGTCCAAGGTGGAAGGCTATGTCGCAACCCCATTAGATATACGAACCCTTCCCACCGGCAGCTATTGTTTGACATGTGACAAATGACAGGCGCGCGAAAATTAATTTGAATCGCCAATAGTTGGACTCTGTAGAGTTTGAATTTCGTAGTAATAGAAGCATCATAATTTTGATATAATCATGTCGTTTAAACCTCAGAGAAACTGTTTATATAAGCCCTGAATAAGTTCTCTGAGCGTGTATCGAGTTTGTAGGCGATTGCTATGTGGTTGCGTACCCAACATCTAGTGATAGTATGGAAGCATAGGTTGGAAATGGTGAAGCAGACCCAAGTGGGGAAGGTAAACTCTCTAATTAGGCATTCCAACGACCTGTCAAACAATATGTGCCAGTGGAAAATTCTTGTATATCTAAGGGGGTAGCGACATAGCCTTGCAACTTGGACGCTATTTTTATTCGAAGTAGTAGTCGCCAAGCCTGCCAATTTATGAAGAAATGTATAGGTAGGTTTTTTAAATATTATTTTTATTGTGTTTGACATAAAATATTTAAATGTAATCCATTATTCATGATTTTACGTAAAGTAGATAGAATACACCGTATATGTCGCCACCCTTAGATATACCAAACCTTCCCACTGGCAATTAATTTGTTTGGAATGCCTAATTGATTAATAGAGTTGCTAATATTTCAGTGACGCTGAGCCGTACAAAAAATAATTTTATTGAGGAATCCACCTATTGGTCCAAATGGCCTAGTGTCACTGTCGGTTCCTCAGCTGCGTTTATTTTAATTTCGCGACGCCTCCCAGAGAATTTTAATCTAAACCAGGTGACTTCGGGTCAAAATGATGTTGGCAACCCTACTGATTAAGTGGCGTACTTTTTATTCTATGAGTGACGTAAATTTATATCTAAAGACAAAGACACACATTGCTTTCTTAATTGCAAAAAATAGAAGATCTCTATTTTTACTTGTTTCAACATGCTTATTTATTATAGGTATACCTGTGCCAGTTTCAGAAATATAAAGGTTTAAATACTTTTTATTTTCTTGACGTTTCAGCTTTAGTTTTGAACATTTTTAAAAAGGAAATAATCATTTATACAAGATCTATAACAGTAACGTTTTGAGAAATATTTGATAGTACCTAAGTACCACAGATTAAAAAATAGTCCATTTTAAATGTATCCTTAGCAACCAATCAATGTCATCTTTTTAAATGCCACATTTTTTACGCAAATGTCACGCTTTTTAATATTCAAGGCTGTAAATAAACAATGTTTTAAAGTATATGTTGTACTTTTAATCCCTAGGGAGTAAAATTGGCATTAAATATATAATCCCTAGGCAGTAGAAATGTCATTAATTATATAGTACTTTTAATCCTTAGGGAATAAAGTAGAGATGGGTTGCTATTTCACAGTAGCAGGTTTTGTCACTTGTCACTGGAGTAAAGTGCTCCACTCGTCACCGAAAAGTTGTTACTTTTCGGAGCAGGTTAAGAGAAAAAAGAAAATGATATTCGTTCTTATTTTTCTTCTATTTTTTTATTGCCTTATTCACTTTTCAAAAAGGTGGAAACCCTACCCTAAAGTGCATAAAATATATTTTTGGTTACGAATGAAACAAATTCCGAATATTATAATAATAATCTTTATTTTCATATGAATATTATATAGAAAACAAGTCAAAGTAAATGAGAATATATAAATAAAATGAGCAACAGATATAATAATAGTAATAATAATAAAATAAAACACAAATTCAAATAGTAATTAAACTTAGAGACAGTTATAATAATGATAATAATAATAATAATAATAAAACACAAATGTAAGTAATAATTATGATTAGACTTAGTGAAATGATACAAACTCATCAAGAGTATATGGATTGACATCGTTTATGTATTTTATTTTTAGTTTCTTTTTGAAATTGTTCATGTTGGAGCATTTTTTACATAATTTGGAATTAAATTATACAACATGCATCCATTAAAAAATACACCCTTCTTATGAAGAGAGTATTATGTTCATTAGCCTATAGTGGAATTTTATATAGAGTATGGTATGAATCACGATATACCCACCTTAGTATGAATGATCTACATTGTTTAAAGATAAAGTAAAAAAATTGCATCTAACATAACATAAAATCTCATACCCCAGATTTGAATCATGTATGTATACTAGGGGTCAACTCCCACCATATATTATGTTGCTACTAATTTGATGAGTTTGAGTATCTAAAGTTTTAACTTATACTTCCTTTTTGACACGTGAAATGAACAACTACATTTTTTTCTTAGACTTTCAAATCCATCAGCATCACTATCTGAATTTGTGTTATATTGTCAGTAATTTAAAAACGTACATTATACACATATTTACAGTTAAACTTAATAAAATAATTGAATTATAATGTATTAATATAAAATAAACCCACTAAATCTAAACTAAAAAATATATTGACTGGTATATTTTTAAAGGAAAAATATTCCTATTCGCAAATGTGACCAATTTAAAAATAAACCATAAAGGAAAAAAGATAAAATCTCAAAGACCGTGTCACTGAAACGAAGCGACCATTTCTTTCTTGAAAACAACTACTCCCTTGGCTAATAGCGCAACTGGCATTGCATTATATTAAAAGGTGAATAGCAGAGACTGAAAGTAGTAGTAGTAGTAGTAGTAGTAGTAGTAGTAGTAGTAGTAGTAGTAGTAGTAGTAGAGAGTTGAAAATTATTTTCTATTTCTGCTATTCACATTTTAATATAATGCAATGCCTGTTGCGGTATTAGCCAAGAGAGTAGTTATTTCCATGAGGGAAATGTTCGCCTCGTTTCTTTGACACAGTCTTTAAGATTTTATCTTTTTCCTTTATCGTTAATTTTTGGTATATTTTTGTTAAAACTAATCAAATTTTTAGAAATATGTCATTCACGCATAAATCAATGTATGGCTGATAAAATATCACATTATACCATTATTTTTATATTAAACTACTCGGATTATCAAAATTCGAGTATTTTTCCAAAAATTTTGTCAAAAAATGGTAAAAACATTTACAATATATACAATAAACAAATAAAATTTAATGACAACCGCAACTTTTCACCACCATCTTTTTATATTTTTTCAAAATGACGTTTTGATCGTCTAGAAAATATAAAACCGATATGGGATTTAATTTCGTTGGCGCACAACACGGCTTCGGGAATCTCCACGGGTTCATCAAATGGACTAAAGTCTGGACGATTGCGTGGTTCGTTGCGTTCATGTGAGCGTTCAGTGGAAAGTTGCATTCTCCAGCACAGTAGTAGGCTGCATAACCGTCAGGTGCTATGATCCAATCCTGGAAAATATATGAGGAAAAATCATTTTTATATCACAAAATTAGTCATTACACTAGAACTAGAGGCTTTAAATGAGCAATATATTAAATTGTTTGCAGCTTTTCGTAAGTTTTCCGCTTTTAACATGAATAAATAAAGCCATATATATCAGTCTCATCCACTAGTTGATTGAGGATGACTGTATGTCCTTATCTATCTAATCATTTAAACATAGATGTGTTTGAGTTCGAAATATATCTAAACATATCAAATTTTTACGTAGTTGTCGACTAGTATAAGTATCAGAAGATATGAAAAGGAAAAAGCTAATATACCCAGTATTCTATGAAGGCTAGCCATTGTCAGTTTAATTTTTTCCAATACAATATACTCGTGCAAAATAAGCTTCTTTTCCCTTGTGGGATAAAATACATTTTTATCAACGTTTGACTTTGTACCTTTTATTTAATAATGAAATATTACAAACCTGCCAGGACAAATCCTTGAAACTGATGTACAAAGTTTCTATTCTGCAACTTCTTCTCAAATCTGCTCTAATGTCGGTGTCAACTAGAAAATATAAATTGTGTTAATTGGTCGTCTAAGAATGCACATAAGAACATTAGTCATGTCAACAATCGGCAGGCTATGAGAAGAAGAGGAAACATCAATTCATGTCATGTACTAAGTCTAGTGAAAATGGTAGCGCTACATAAGGTGTTCTAAATAGCGGAATTCCAAAATAGATAAGAAAAGGTGACAATGAAAAGGTTAATTGCCTAACTCCTAGAAAAATCTAAACTAAATACCTGTTTTATACAGAATGATGTATATATAATGCAATATGTTGGTGTGACTTAAGTGATCCAAACAAAAACCATTCTCTCAATATAAAAGTTTTGAAATTTCTTTATATACAGGGTGTCCTAACTTTTAGTTACGCTTGCTTTTACTATTTATCTTGTAGAAAAAGTTTAAATTAAAAATGACTTAAATTCGTTTGTATATAAATAGCTTAAGTTTGCAGTTAAGAGTCAGTTTTTAGTTAGATATAAATAATATTGTCAATATAAATTAGTGGAGGGCAGTAATTACTGTTGTATTGAGTATAAATAAATTAGTTTCTTAGTGAACATAAATTGAAGTAAATAAACTGTTTAAATAAATAAACAGTACAATACAAATTTTATGAACTTTGTATATGCCACTGCTTTTCTGTAATTGGTCAAAAATGTATAACGTATCTGGCATGTTCTCAAAGCAAACGAAGTCTATATGTAGGTACATTCCTATAATCCAGGAAACAGTGAATATTTTTGGGCACTTATTTTCCCAGTAAGCCTATGTAATTAATTTTATGATATAAATTGTCATCTAACAAATTTTAATGTTTTTTTCTAGCTTCATTTTAATAATAATTAATGTATTCGAAATATCACTGCTAAAATAAGTGCCTGGTTGAAATTTGAAAATGAAATGTGTGACGTATTACCTTTACCTTTGGGATGATATCCAGACATCACGCTGCTAAATGTATCTTTTTTCGTTCGTGTATCTCTGGTTACCCTCGGTTTAACATTATTGACAGCTTTTAGAAACGCGACCATAAAGGGTTGAATCTCGTCTTCTCCTTTAATTGTAACGAGTCCAATATCTTCCGGCCTGATTTCGTGTCCTAAAACAAAATTCGTTAGTATTAGGTACAAAACATAATTGAATGGAACATGAACTTAAATAATTGAAAAATCTTGCCGAGCTCTAACGTTTTAATAAATACAAAATTTTGATCATAATATCAACTAAAATAACAATTTATTACTACGCATTAAATTACTAATCAAATCAGCTTTCAAATGAAGTGTCACAGTTTACAATATGTCTTAACTCGCTATCTAGAGGGCGCTAAAATTAAAAGCAACACAATGAATAATCATATTGTTTAATTCATCATAAAATCGGATTTCTTAATGATGTACTATGGCCCGGTGGTGCAAGTGGCCATATGTAACTTGTGAAATTGAAAATAAATGGATTTTTTCTATTTTGCAGACAATGAAATATATGCTTCTAGACGTCAATACCAATAAAAAATGCCTTTGCAAGCATTATCTGTAGTCCGGTTTTGCTACTTCCGGTGTAGGAATTGCGGCCACGTGATCGGATGGATTTTTTCTTTTTTGCAGACAATGAAATATATGCTTCTAGACGTCAATACCAATAAAAAAAATACCTTTGAAAGGAATATCTGTCGTCCGGTTTTGCTACTTCCGGTGTAGGAATTTCGGCAACGTGACCGGATATTTCAACAAAATTATATATTATATAAACGCGTTTTTCTGAATCTAAGATGATATTGCAAGCATTTACAAAAAATAAGAGTATTCCATTGCAACATTCTTTTTGTTTAGTAGTTCTCACATCTTTTTTATATTTTGTTCCCGTAAATCAAGTAAATTGTGGCGATTATTTTGACATTTTTTTTCTTGAAACCCCGGGAAGAATAAAAGGCTAAAATAGGGTAGAACATAGCGATTTCAGTGCCAACAAAAAATTAAAAAATCAATAAGCAACTTTACTTTGAATTTCATGTGACCACCAGTAGAACACAGTACATGTTGATTACCCCCTTCCCCCCTGTACCCAACTAAAAAAAAGCAAGTAACGGAGACGACGTGTGCCACTTTTTGCAGCCAGAGATGAGAGACTATTAGAATATACCTTACTGTTTAAAAATATGACAAAAAAATATTAAAATTTCTAGCCCCTTGGAAAAATCAATTTACAGCGGCCGATTGGTTAAATTTTTCAGGTACCTTGTAGAGAGGTAGGTACCTATATGTAATTTTTGAGGTATATATGTTGAAAATATTGACTTTAAGGCACCAACTTCTGAGCTCATGAAACATTTTCGGATTGAAGTAAATTAGGATAAATCAATATAAAATCAAGTCTAATATCAGGGATTTTCATTTGGCAGACGAGTTTTGGGACACTCTGTATATTAATCATATCATATAAGACTTTTAACTGTTTAAAAAATATTCATTCAATATTTTATTCCTCAAATTTGTAACTGAAGTGCCTTATTTCATTATTTTTTCACAAAAATTAACTCTGCTTTTATTAAAAAATAAAGAAAACGTGTTTGTTTAATATGATAAAAGTTTTCATAATAAATAAGAAAAGAAATTGATAAAATCTCAATATAAAAAAATAAATAAATAAAAAAGCTAAAATTGCTGAAAAATATTAAAAATTAAAGATAATGTAAAACATTTGGCCTCGATAAATCGCAATAAAAATATTGTGTAGGTAAATATATTTACCTGGTCTATCTACAGGATGTACAGACAGGTAGAGGCCTTTATTGGAATTCGGAAATGCCACCCAAGAGGCCAGGCACTGGGTTAAATTTAGTCGCATCCATCCCGTTGAGTCCAGCGTCGTGTTAGCTGCAAACACGTATTCCAAATCCTTTTCACTAAAATTAAAAGAATTAACTTATTGGAAATAAAAGGAATAAAATAAAACAATAGTAATATTGTAATAATTTTGATAAATATAAACAAGAAATTTTCAAAGACATGTATTCTTGTTTTTATCTATTTTATATGATGGATTTAGAATTATTTTCCTTGTTTTGGTAGGTAGGTACCTAAATATTTTTGGTTGTAAAAAGTTTTTATGTATTGATAATCATATGAAAAGTCGACGGGAAAAACGATGATACTCCATTTTTTCGTCATAATCTCAGAATATAGACCAGTGGCGGGTCGGATCCAAAATATTCGTGGTTCACAATGACAGAATATACAGGGTGTTAATTAAGTGCTCATACTTAAGGGTGTGATTCCTTGGGTGATTTTAAGAAGAAAAGTTAACATCAACATATGTCGTAAACCTCTTAATTTTTGAGCTACAGGGTGTTAAAGTTTTAGAAAAAAAAAATCTTTTTATCGTAATTTTCTTATCATTACAGATATGTTTATAAAATTTTGTACACACATTTTAATCACTAATTAATCATTTTTACTAGTTGACGTCCGTACTGGATTTGAATTGAATATTATTGAAGAAGAAAATGGTACGCCACTGCTTTTTATAAAAATTAAAATTATTTTTGAAATCCATTTGGAGCAAATTTGGTCCATAGACTTGCAGCGTTTTCGGGTATAAAAAAATAAAAACCAAAATAATTTTTTTTTCTTAAATTCATTGAAACTGCTTTTGATATTTTGCTGAATTTTGGTAGGCACAAACCATGCGTGAAAAACCGGTGTGAACTTAGCAAACAATTTTTAGCGACTAATTTTCCGAAAATTATTTCTGAAACATTTCTGAAATAATGTGTATGGGTATCCAAAGGATTTGGTGTGCTGCCTGGATATGCTAGAAAATAAATATATTTTTATGTCTAGGAACCGATATATTTGATTGCAAATATTTTCTCTTTTGTATCCTACCAATACCACTGACGTCCACGTAGGCATGATTGAATTTTTGGATGAAAAAAAAAAAAAACGGTACGCCTCTGATTTTTTAAATTCCATTTTAAAAATCGAGATTCATTTAGTAAAACGATAAATTCAAAATCTTAAATCTAAAGCAAAATAACAAGAGAATACAAACAAAATAAAGAACCCAAATTATTAAGTGTCCTCCACCCACACGTATCCAAGCATCTACTCTTTGCATAGACATATATTTTCAATGATTTCTGGGGCTTTTTTTTTAGTTTGGCAGCCATTATACATTATATTATTCTTAAAATCATCCAAGGATTCACACCCTTAAGTATCGGCACTCAATAAATAATAGATATCTGCACAAATTTAGGTGTTTATAATATACCTTTCTAAAACACTGAAAGTTGTTTTTTACCTAAATATGTAGTAAGATCTATAATCTCTCACTATGAACCCCCAATATTTTGGTTACGAGCCTCCACTGACATAGATATAGACTATAAAAAATAGGGAGTATCAAAAAGGGTATCAATATTTCCACATTAAAAGAATCTGGTTACTCGGCAAAAATGATAAGGTTCCTGGAAGCAAGATGAAGAGGAGTTCTGCAGAGGGATTCTCATCTTTCGGTACGTGTCGTATTGAGACGCCTATCTTCGTTTGACAGACTGCGATTTTTATGTAATATCTCTACTCGATACTCGACACATAACGTATCGAGTTTGTACATAAGAATCCCTGTGCTGATCGTATTGTTATTCCCCATTAAGTTTGAAGTCTTAAGCATTTATTTAAGAAAGTAGTGGACACTTTTCGTCCGTGTTTCACACATGATTTTTTATTCGAATGTGCTTATAGATATTAAAACAATAATATAGACAATAATTATATAAATCCGAAATATTATTACTTCCTATTTTTCTTATGACTAAGATGGCTGTGATAAATAATAACTAGGTAAGGAATTAGGCATTCCAAACAAATGAATTACCAGTGGGCAGGTTTGGTATATCTAAGGGTGGCGACATATGGTGTATTCTATCTACTTTACGTAAAATCATGAATAATGGATTACATTTAAATATTTTATGTCAAACACAACAAAAATAATATTTAAAAAACCCACCTATACATTTCTTCATAAATTGGCAGGCTTGGCGAGTACTACTTCGAATAAAAATAGCGTCCAAGTTGCAAGACTATGTCGCTACCCCCCTTAAATATACAAGAATTTCCCACTGGCACCGATTGTTTGACAGGTCGTTGGAATGCCTAATATTAGGCATTCCAACGACCTGTCAAACAATAGGTGCCAGTGGGAAATTCTTGTATATTTAAGGGGGGTAGCGACATAGTCTTGCAACTTGGACGCTATTTTTATTCGAAGTAGTACTCGCCAAGCCTGCCAATTTATGAAGAAATGTATAGGTGGGTTTTTTAAATATTATTTTTATTGTGTTTGACATAAAATATTTAAATGTAATCCATTATTCATGATTTTACGTAAAGTAGATAGAATACACCATATGTCACCACCCTTAGATATACCAAACCTGCCCACTGGTAATTCATTTGTTTGGAATGCCTAATTATTTAAAACAATTGAACAACTATTGCTGTCAGTCAGTGTGCTTGTGTCAAATTGATTCAATGATAGTATATTTAGTTTTTTCTCTTATTCAATTAAAAATATTTCAATTTAAATTTGATATACATGTGAATTATGGACAATTATAGCAGTATTACAAGGTAAACTAAAAATAAAACAAAATTTAGATAGCGGAACCACTTTTCAGCAATTCACTTTGTAATATATTTAAAAATGCTCCTTTTCAAATAGGTTTTCTGTACGAAAAGCGACACATAATTAAAACATTTTCATAAAACAAAAACAGTAAATAGGAGAAACCACTGATCTGTATTTACAGATCAGTGTGAGAAACGCATTGCAAAAATAGAAATTTGAAGTTTTTAAGAATATTATCAATTCAACGCCGTTTTGGCTCTCAAAAGAGCTCTCCCAAATTTTTTTTTAATTGTGAGCTACAGCGTTTTTCTCGTCGACTCTTTATATATAAATTAAGCAGTTTTAAATGTTAAATTACAAAATAATTTAAAGATGGTGTACGTATTATAAATTATAGCCACCAAACAAGGTAAGTATATATAATTAAAAAGATTAATTAGTAAACAATTTTACATTACCCTTCATCTGTTTTAACCAGCTGATATGCCGTAACAGTAAAAGTAGTGCCGCTGTGTTTGCTTCCTTTTCTCCTATTTTTATATATTCGAAGTTCAGCTCCAACCACATCTTCTGCCACAGGTACATCGCTTACATTAAACCACAGTCTTTTTCCTCTCTCATGCCTTACGCTTGTCACATGATCATCTTTAACAAAATAAAATTTCCAATAAATATTAAAATATACTCGAAGATTTAAACTATATATAACGCGTCGGGTCTGGATCGTATGTACCTGGGCCAATAACGGGCCCAGATTTGTCAGATTTGTACGGTGGATGAGAAGAAATTTCGATCCTATTTGGCGCTGCCCGTGGTAAGCACACAGCACCCTACAAATCTGATGAACCTGGGCCCAGGTAGTGATGAGCGAGACTGGTCTTGGTCTTGCTTTTTTGCAAGACCAAGACCAGCTGAAAGCTTGCAAGACCAAGACCAAGTGTGCAAGACTTACGCAAGACCAAGACTCTTGCGGTATTGTGTTCTTTAATTGTTGTCTGAAAATAAAAGGTAAGAATATAAAGATTCGTCTCGAAAAACCTTGGTTTTCGATATATAGGGTGTGTCTTTAGAAATGTGTAAATTAATACTGGATCCCAGGCATTCGAATTTAACTGTTTGGGGAGCTGAGTTAAAAGTACAAATTTTACAGACATTTGAGTCAATATTCGATGTTTACTGTAGCCAGGAGAATCGTTAACCAAACAGAAGATCGACTCCAAATCAAGTGGCGATGACGATGAAGATACTATAGATTTCAACAAGCTCTATTCTGCACCAGGTACTTCATCCGGCTCTGGTATATCTGGATCTGGCTCCCAAAACCAAAGAAAGGAAATACACGATTATCTTAGTCAGCCTAGAGCAGTAAGCAACGAAGAAATTTTAGAATGGTGGAAACGTTATCATTTCCAATTCATTAGTGATACGCAAACATCGTAATAGACTAAACAATGAATCTACCCGTTGGCTTCTTTGCATTAATTCTTGGCAACAGCAATAAAATTATCTATCACTTGTTCACTACATAATTTAGCCTATTTTTTATTTTTTATTTTTGTGTTACGAAAATACATTTGGTATTACATAGTTTTTGTTTAATATAGACAACTTTTAATCATTGTTGTTTTCTTTAAATGTCTGTATGTTTAAGTTGACTTGACCCAGTATTTTATGCCAGTATGCTACGCATCTATACTTTTTATTTTAATCCCATACGTCTGGAAGATCCAGGTTCAATTATCGGTCGCAGTTTTTGTTGATTTAAGGATACAATTTTTGTTTTTTATTAAATTGTTGGTTATGAAAAAAAAAAAATATTTCAAATAAAAGAATACACAAAATATGTTAAATAAAAGAATACACAAAATATGTTAAATATAAATAAATATCCAATTGTTGGGAATTAAGCCAGACATTTTATTTACCGTTCTTTTTATATACTACGTTTCGAAAAAATTAAGCTTTTATTCTTTTTTCGTATTCAAGTGTACAGCATATAAAAATTACTAATTGACACATTTATAATTTTAATTTTTAAAACTGTTTACAGCTTTTTACATGCTGTACATTAAGTTTATACTTAGAAACAAAAAAATAATATTTTTGGAAACGTTTAATAAAAAAGGTTTGAATAAAAAATATATGTGGTTTATTTACAATTACAAACCACAAACTATAGAAGATAACTATATTTACTGTTTGCGTAGTAGTTCCTGATTTTATAATGTGCATTAAGCCTCTAATGGCAATAATTTTTACATGGTGTTTCATTATTAACTACAAATAGGGAACACTTAGGCGATATCATAAAAACTCTTTTCGGTGCTGGAAAATACTATAATTCACAGAACAGCAACACGTTTTTTTTGTGTACAAAGTAGCAGTATTTAAGATTTACCAAAAAATGCAAGACTCTTGCAGCAAGACCAAGACCTAGCTGTGCAAGACCAAGACCAACTGAAGGCTTGCAAGACCAAGACCGAGTGTGCAAGACGAAGACCAACGCGATCTTGGTATTGTTTTGCTCATCACTAGGATCAGGAACGGCGCGGGCCCGACGCGTTATATCTATAGGCACCTTATCAAACAATAAATGAAATTACAATAAGATCAATATGAAATTAAATTGGTCAATGCTTATCTATTTATACTAATGCGCCAGTGTAGAAGCTTAACTAAATAGAATACATCGCCATTCTTTAGTGCGCGATACTTAATGACTAATATAATATATTGTTTACTAGGTAGTCTTTTGCCCCTTTCATATCTTACGCTTGGCACATGATCATCTTTAATGGATAGAAAATTTCGATTAAATATTAAAATACAGTCAATAAATATATAGTGATATGTCGAGCAATTACGCACTAATGGGTACAAGTTATATTTTTTTACAGATTGGACTGACCAAAGATGGGGGGGGGGGGGGTTAGCCCGCTAGTGGTTCACAAGAGAACATAAACGCAACGTCCCCTACACGTGATTTCAGATACCACCGTTCTAAGGAAAATCATCTTTACCTAAAATTCCTATGTAAAAACTGTTGAAAGTCCAATAATATCACAATAAATAAGCAAAATGCATATGTAATAAAATGCAATCATGTTTTTCAATCACGTTCTTTATTGAAACCATTAATATTTTATTTATTTACTTATTCCATTCGGTGCGCGATTTATGTACTTATTTTTTATGCCTTTGTTTTCATTATCCAACCTGAAATTCAAGGCAAATAATTTAAATATGTTTTTAAGATAGTGGATACTTCTTCTAACATGAATGAATAAGGTTCGTTCAGTTTGTTCTGCTGCAATGTTAAATATAAAGGGATAAGAAAGATAAAAATAAAGGAGAAGACCCATATTTAGTGTACAGTAAAACAAACCGACTGATTGATTGATTATCATTGATTGATTATGCGACTCGGAGGTTTATTCACTTCATCAAATATTCTTTGTAACGGGATAGTAGAGGCCGTAGAAGGCAGAAATAAAGCACAGAGGGACCTAGGGGATCAAAGAATGATCGGACCGGTCTGAAATGTCTCGCACGACTCTATGAGTTTATTTAAAATTCATGATTATTTTAATAACTATTTTTCAAATTAAAAATGTTTAATTGTTTTTTTAATCTGTAACATTTTATCACATTTATTTTTGTGCTGCCACTTTAGAAAATACGTTTTTCCGATCATTTTTTAGCTCGGAAAGTGCGTCATTGCCGGTCTAGATCGGAAAATTGATATAACTGCTCGGAAAAGTGACATAACTGCTCGACAAAATACCTACTTTCACAAGCTCTTATGTCAAAATTTTCATTAAAGACAAAATACCAGCGTCTAGCCAGAGATAATTTTCGAAGAGTATATTAAATATCACAATTGCCATAACAATACCGTAGCCATCTGTCAGTAGATGTTAATAATAAATGAGTTAAGTTTTGTTATAAATTTTGAGCAATAAATATTATGTTCCTATATTATTGTCAAATTATTGGTGGCAGCACAAAAAATATTGTACGCGCCACACTCGGAAAGTGTATTTACAGGGCCCGCATGCCTCGCCCTGCAAAGCATCACTTTCCGAGCTTGACACGTAAATAACTATTAAAATCACAATAAATTTTTATTGTGGATAAGCACTGAGATAGCTTTAGAGCTTTGCAAAATAATAATAAAAAAAAAATTGCGAAATCAAAATATTCATTGCTAATATTAGCTACAGCCACAACCTTTTTTGGTTCTATTCAATCCAAATTAATTTGGTTCTCGTTATTAATTTTATTCGGTTCTCCATTAATTTCTTGCAAAAATCAACGGATACGATTTTTAAAATAAAAAATATTTCACAACGGAGAAGAATACGCTACGCCTATGCATATCGGGCGGTTGAGAGCAATATGAGCAATAAAGTTTTCGTTAAAATATTCAATCCAAAAATCACTGAGTAGTTCCGTTAATCACTTGGGAAACATTATAATTGGAAGTAATGACAGATTGAAAACAAACATTTTTGTACAAAATATAAACATCGCTTTTCTTAAAATAGGTCCGATAATTTAAGCGTTTTCGTCAATAATTCACAGGAATTGAATATTGAGTTTAAGTGTTATTTAATGCACTATTCTCAATATTTTTTTTTTTTTTTAATTACTAGCTTTGTAAATCTGCTTTTTTTATGTCTGTCAATGACAACAAAGTTTCACGTACGGCGCTTGGGAAGACAAGAAACATTCTTTTCTACAGCGTTAAGTGGCGACTTGTCTATATAAGGGTTGTAGGTCTACACTCCCCCCAGTACAAGGGGAAACACATTTATATCAAATTTAAATATATTATGTTATCTACTCATACTATTTTCAATAAAAAAAAATATATATTCCACGTCTATTTATAACTTTCATAAGACTCCTTTGTTTTACTTGTTCCAGTCATAATCTGACAGTCTGTCCCTGGCGTACAATATATTTTTCGTTAATGTTGCTGATTGGCAGGGCTAAAAGTTAAAAGGCCCTCATTTCAAGTATTCGGGCGACGTCGCTCGCGTTCATAGGTCTTAGATACGGAATTTTTATATGCAAGAGGGCTACGAAAATTTCCGCCTTGCGGTGAAAGGTGAAAAAAGTTGTTTGAGTAAACGTGGTTTTGAATTCCCTTGTTATGGGCGGGTTGTACAAAGAATGCTGTAAACTCAGTTTAGGTAACAAGAGTTTAATTTTTAACTGGTTATATTCAATGTACAAATGTCATTTTTAAAACTATGTTTAACAATAACCAATAATTATACGAGTTTCACAGTTTAAACTAAGATTACAATTGTACAACCCACCCTAAGGGATATACGGCATAAAAACTTGGTAGTTGTAATATTTCGGCCACTATTAGAATTACAGTTACGACATTTTGCCTGTAATGTGACATCTTAGAGGGTTTCGATTATGATTCCTTACTTACAGTTGATAGAAAAAGTTAATAACAGTCAATGAAGTTCAGTGATTTACTAAGACTCAATCAGAACCTTTGCCGGAATCAAATTTCAACCCTCTTTAAGAAATTCTCAGATCCAGCACTGCTTTGATTACGTATCGTACTTATCGTCTGGATTCCACGTTGTCTTTCTGCTGTATCTATATAAAATTATGTTATTAATGAGATATCAATTTCATTTTTGTCTGATGTTTGATCATTAAACAAGCACTTTATATTCTGTTTCAATCCTTGAACAATTTAAATATGCCACATACGATTTAGATATTACATACTCCTAGCATATTTACTTTAGTGCAGCAACAAAAGAAACAGAAATTTATTTTTTTAAGTAGGTCATATACTAGCAAATAATGTTGTAAGCGGTTTATGTTGGATATTGTCAGAATAATAATAACATTTTCCGTGTAATGGCTCATGTTCAAGTCATAGCTACGAAAAGTGGAAATAATATAATATTAGTGCGGTACAAACTGGGACGGTACGAAGTGGGACACCTTTTCAGGTTCCTTCAATGAATATTCTCCCCTACTGACATTTTCAAAATTTCTTATTTACTAATTGTTGTTTTTCTTTTCAGCGAATTTCCGTAAAAAAATTAAATCGCCGCATATATTCGAGTTAATCGGTAACACGATGTCAATGATCTGAGCTCATGTTCATTTCACCACTGACAATAAATACGTTTGATCTAAGAATGTATATATGACCTTTGACGTTAAATGTAGGTCTTTGATTTACATTATAGTGTCCTCGGACGTACCTTCTAGGATCAAATGGACAAGGCTGCAGATATACTAGCCTGAGATTCGTCATTTTGAAAAATCTGACGTATCAAAGGGTTGATGTAGAATTCAACATGATACGATGGTCATTGATGTCGTCGGGAATAGAAGATTTTTCCGGACGCCTTTTAATCGGGAAAATCTACTAGAAATTAGGGATATTATGGAGAAGCGGAAATAATGAACGTCAAATAGGATAGACAATGAAGGTGGAATGAGGGGCTTCAAATGGTGAGTGATTTGATTTAAATTTAATGGTTTCTGTAAACAAATTATTACACCATATAATAATAATGACTCAATTATTTTCAATTAGATATAAAACAAATATAATTAAAAACGAAATAAAATATTTTGAAAATAAAGGGCACATTTTATTTTTCCGTATTTATGATTAATTTTAATATTTTTGTTGAAATTTCTTATGTGTTGTTTTAGGAAGAATGAGTAACTTCAAATGGTGAGTCTTTTGATTTAAATTTATTTTTTTTTTGTAAACAAATTATTACAACAGCTATATTAATAATTTTCATATTTTGCGATTCATTTTTATTTTTCTTAAAAATTCTTATTTTTTTATATGTTGTTTTAACACTATGAATAATTATTAATCGTTAGATATACAAGGCGTTTCATTGCAAATGGGAAGGTTCACATTTTCATTTTATTGCATACCGGCATTAAAAACTAATAAAAAATTTAAAAGAACAATAACTTTAAAAATTACATAAGTTTAAGAATTTACAAAATTAAAAAAAGCATATTTAGCTCTGGTGGTGAAGCAACTGGTCTATTTCGATATACTTATTCGGGAAAGTAATGTTTAAAATCTCAGCACTTATTGACTAAAGGCATTCCCTTGGATTTTTTAATTACTTAACCACAGAGTTAACGTTCTTTATTTTTGCGTACGTGCCCACCAAAGTCGCCACACCTAATTCCTTGTGATTTTTTCTTTTTTTAATTTCTAATTTTTTTTTAAAAAGTTATTTGAATTATATTTATATAAGGACTTCTATAGAAAAAAGAAGCATCAATTTTGGAATCACCCTGTATAGGTCAGTACTGCTTACATTCTAAAAATATATTGTTTATTATCAGAGTATTTAAAATATACGTAGAACTTCAAATTTTCATTTTTTCTAGCTAAACATATCATGTATTTTATTCGATTAATATTCTATAAGAGAAACATTGTGTATTTTAAGCAAAGATGAGATTTTGAAAACTCGTTTAGATAAATTAATTTTTAAAAAATACGTTTTACCCACTGTACTTAAATCATTGCTTACTTATTTATCAAAGGTATAAAAATTTAAAATTAAGATATTTGTAAATTTGGTGCTTAATATTATTTATATTTGAGACATAAATAATTTGTGTGACATACCTTCGGGATTTTTTTATTTACGTCTTGGTCACATTTGAGTTAGAATTATTTTCCTTTTTTAATAAATGTACCTAAACACAAAATTTAGGGGACTTGATATGGAAAATCTCAAGGAAAAATTCGAAATTTAGAGGAGAAAGTTTGGTAAATTTGGGTTAAATTAAATTAGGGGGAAGATAAGATTAAATTGAGAAATACTAACATAGAAAAGTGCGAGTAAAATGGTAAGTAAAATTTTATCAAATGTTGAAAGTGATTAAGTAGATCGACTTGCAAGGAGGAAAGGAGGTTGAGTTGATGAAAGAACATGAGTATAACTGAGAAAAGTAGGACAAGAAGATATGAAAGAGCAAAATTTAGAAGATATAATGATTGAAGAGAAGGAACGTGAGTAACAACGAAAATTGATTATGATATAGGAAAGGATAATGTTGAAATTAAGAGAAGAAAAAAGGGATTATATAGAAGATTTTATACAATTCCTTCTAAATATGAATGAGAAAATGGATTAAATGATGAGAAACAGTAAGAGAAAGATGAAGTAAATTGATATAATAAGCATGGGAACAGAATGGAATAATAAATAATTAAATAAATAGACGAATTTATAGAAATAAACAGTGAATAAACAAAAAAATGAAAGAAGACAAGATGCAATAAAGTAGAAGAATCTAAAGTAAATGAAAGAAGAAAGATGCAATTTAAAAGAATGTAAAGTAAATGACAAAATAGAAGAAAGTTTAGAATTAAACAAAGAAGAAGTAGGTAGATACAAAAGTAAAAGAAAAATAAATATTGAAAAATAAAAGAAAATGTGACAGAAAATCGAAAACAAAAGGTGAAAAGATGGTAGATTTAGAAAGGAGGGCGAATAATATTTCTAAATGTCTTAATTCAAACTATAATAGGTATTAAAATACCAGGGGTCCCCTGGGGGACAAGGTGGGCTAATATATGGATTGTATTATTAAATCATCCAAAAATCATAAAGGTAAGGATAATCTTAAAGTTGTAGTTACATGACTAGTTCTTGTGAAAAATATATGGGAATAATGGTAAAAATTATTAAAATAATTTATATGAAAAATATATAAAAAACAATTATATTAAATACAATTTTAATTTAGATCTTTTGGTGTTTATTTATTATTATGATTTAATTTTGCTTTTAGTTCATCTTTAATAAATCTATTATTATTTATTTCTTCTATATTTATATCAGGATTAGGGGCCAATTTTGAATTTGTTTTAAAGAAAATTATTGCTTTGTCTACTTTAAGTCAATTAGGATTAATAATAAGAATTTTGGCGAGTGTGAAAGATTTGTGTAAATATGAAAGTAAAATTAGAATAGTAAATATTTAATAAATTGTAGAAGACATACTTAAAAGAGGGTATGAAAGGAACATTAGAATATATAGGGAGGAATGGAGAATAATAGTGAAATTCCAGAAGAAACTAGGAGTATCCTGGAATGAGACAAAAAGAATGACAAAAAATAAGAAAGAATGGACAAAAGTTGTAAATAATGGAGTGATATATTTAAAATAAGTCCCGCATAGGTAATTAGGATCGAAGTTTCTTTAGGTAAGTCGTTTGATCAGGGCCGACGAGAGGGGGGTAGCCGGGACAAATTCCCGGGGCCCGGACTCAAGTGGGGGCCCGGTAGCGCCATAAGGGTGGCCCGGCAGCACGACGTCTTATTTTTTTTTTTAGACGTTCGCCACAAGAGAGAGGACCTTTTTTTAGAGAGATTTCACTAAAGAGGAGAAGTTTTTGCTTGAAAACCTTTTTTTTTGTTTTTTGGGATTTCACTAAAAAAAAAGGAGAAGTTTTTGCTTGAAGACCTTTATAGATTTTACTAAAGAGGAGAAGTTTTTGCTTGAAGATTTTTTTAGAAATGTGATTTGAAAGGACTTAATTTTTTTTATAAAATTGTCGTAGGACCCGACCTGGAAAATTGTCCTGGGGCCCGACCTGACTCTCGGCGGCCCTGCGTTTGATCCATATTAATAATAGGTATAGTAATACAAAACTAATAGAACATTTTTTTAAATTTGTTTTCCCCCGAAAAAATATAATTATTTTACAAATAATAATAAAAAGTGAATTACTTACTAACACTTTCAAAAGTCATGATAATATCACTTTCATCAATCTGATGCTGTTCTTCGCCACTCAAATAAACATCGGAACTCCTCTTTGACCTACTGTTCTCTTCACTCTCTTCATTCATCAGCGTTTTATAAACATCGAGAAGAAATCTGGGCGCAGACTTCTTCAACGGACTCTTATTGAACTTCATTGGTCTCTTCGGCAACCCCAAAAGACTTAATATCTCCAATTCCATTTCTTTCTTTTCATCTTTAGAAATAATCCGTTCTATTGCTGTCTGATCGAAACCATTATCGATGTATAGCCCAGATCGCGAACTAGCGCATAAATTCCAAAAACTTAACAATAATAAACAAAACGCCAATACAGACTGCATGTTATTTACTGTTAAAAAACACGCCTTCCTACGCGTTTATAAAACAGACGAGTAGCGTGTCTGCCACTTAAAGCCGATTCAATTCTACTAAGTCTGAGTACACTCGGCTTAAAAATGTGTGGGCAGGTAGATATTAAACAGGTTGTTAGATCATAGAAACAAGTCTCGAGTTCCCCTCCTTCTTGGGTTCCTTGATGTCTCGCAGTAGGGGGTCCGGAGATAAATAATTTGCACCTGAGTCGGTCAAACAGGTATGCATTGTTGGAATATTTACAAGTTTATTAGAACTAACTATGAAATTGAAATCTTTTTCTTTTTATTATAGGAAATTCAATTATTTTGTCAATACACAAAATTCCAAGATTATACAGGGTGGATCAAAAATATAAGTCTCACTATCTGTGAGATTAATTATGGATCTTACGTTTGTTTATTTAATTTATTTACACGTAGACGCTAATTTATTTTATAACTTAATTTACTTATGTACTAATTTATATCACATTAACTTAAATACTAATTTATTTTAACACTATTAAAACCCGACGCCCCCGCTGGCCTGATATTTTTTTTTCTTAAAAATTTAATTGAGGTTTTCCAGCAAATATCAACGTATTTTGTTTGTGGGATTTAAATTGTCTATAATAAGGTCGGACGTTGGGGACGTTCCGAAAGCCAGATATTGCACATTAGGATGTTTTTCGTGAAATTTGAGTGGGACCGACAGGTACTCAATCGTTCTATGTTAAATGCATTAGCTTAAAGGGAAAATTAAAGTAGGCATAAATACCGCGTTCGAATGTAAGACATAGGTTCCTGCCTAAACGAATTTAATGACAATTTCACAAATTCTTTATTATTATTATTATTTTGTTAGAGTAAGCACTTAATTACAAATAATTATCTTTTATTCATTTATTGTGTTCTCAAAATAAAATTTATGTCTTATCTTTAAATGACTTTTATTCAAAAAAAATTGTTATGAAAGATATTTCAAATATTATGTTTCCGAGTAGGAAATTGCAAGATCTATCAAAATCAAGAAAAAAAATTGGGGTTACTATTTAAAAAAATTGTCAATGACGTCACTGCCCAAAAATGGGAAGTGGAAGAAAATTGAATTTTATTTAAAAAATTGCGCTTTAAGTAAACAAAATTGACCTGTCCGAGCATTTTTTTCAAAAACCAACTACTTCCATTATAATGAATTTATTCCTTTCATTTGAACCATACTGTATATTTGCCTGGTTATGTTATGCTGGGAATGGGGTGTTAATATACTGCGACCTAAAAGATCTATTGTATCCCCTTCTGTCGCCAATGCACCAAGGAAATGTCTCAATGCCTATAACGACCCTTCCAATCCTATTTTTTCAAGGAAGTATAGGATTTGAAGTGGCTTCAAGTTAGGTAAATCTCCCTCTTCTATTTGATATCCTCCTAGATATAGTGCCCTTAGATTCTGGAGTGCTATATACATTCAGTTAGGATGTGAATGGAGGTTTCGTCCTCCTCCTCCTCACAGAATCTGCACACACTATCTACTACTTTCAGTTTACTTAGGTGTCCTTTTAGTCGGCAATGCCCGGTAAGGATCCCTGTTACAATACGTAGCCCATAGATAAATTAATAGAGTTTTATTAATTTATCTATGACGTAGCCTGTTCTTGCTCAGGCTGATGCAGGCTTCCGATCTTTTTTGGTTGTATTCACCCAGAAGTATCTTGGCCTATCTCAGCCCCAAGAGATTGTTCCAATTATCGGTTCTTCTACTATTTGCCTGGTATAATGTTAACCAAAATTATTTAAAATTTTAAATTAACATTAAGTAGGTAGGGGTATCTAAATAAAACACTGTCCTAAAAATATATAATTTTTTAATTAATAATTACAAAAAAACATGGTATGGCTAAAAAACTGTAAAAATTTTTAAAGTAACGTTTTAAATATATTAAATACCTTATTTTTAAAAAACTACGTTTAGATGCCAATTCTCAAAAAAAAAAAAAAAACTAAAATTTTATTTAATTTTTTTATGCTTAGTTATTAGTGTTATTACTTACTGCAATGTTTTTTTTTGCAGCAGGTTGTGTTCCAAAAACAGTTGAATTAGAACTAAAAACCCTTACATTAGATATACATACATATAGATAAAGGTAATAAATAATGTTTAGAGGTAAATAAAAAATTTATATTTTGTATTTTTACCTGTTGGATAAGTCATCCAAAAATAGAAAGTCCTCACACCGTATGGGGTTTACATCTTTTCTGATATATTTAGCACCATTTGCACATACTAAAACATCTTCAGGAAAAAAGTGTTCTGAACACTACTCTGGGTTTTTACGAAGGGGCTCATTTTTAAGGACCCCTACTAGAGAAAACCAAAGTTTTCTTTTCTCAAGATCTTGCGGAAACCTAAATAGAATATTAAAAAATATGTATAGGTGCCTAATAGGTAAATCATTTTTAAGGTATTCTACATTTTACGTTAGATTTTCTTTCCCACTATTCAATAATTATTTATTGGTATAAGAATAATTTACTAATTTATAAAAGGAATATTACTTTAAAAACTTTTTTAAGACTGTTTTAGACTACATAAGTTTTTGATACAATTTCTTGTATAATTTAAATTGTATATTATCAAACAATTTACTATGTGATCCTCTATAAGAAATTGTTTCAAATCTTGCACAAGAAATTGTATAGTCAAAACAGTCTTAAGACGGGTGCCCTAACTCCACTGGTTCAAATAAAAACAACATATCTTAACTTAAACATACTTACCGATAAGAGGATAAATTTCGATTTAAATGATCTACCTTATTGAACACTATACATGCATGTACCATAATTCTTTGTATTTCTCACAAAAGTTCACAAAAATAGTATTTTATAAATGAATAAATCAATAAGTCACACAGAAACTGTCAGAAATACAAAATAGCTGTTAGACCCGATTGGCAACGTTGCGGCTGGTTACGGTAACTACATTTCATTCATAAAAGTTGTAAATTCTTAAAATAAGATATTCAGCTTTGTCGTATTTACGGAGTTCTTTGCAACCCTAATATTATGTTTAGATTAATATTGATTTTTAATAAAAAAAATTAGCTTATATTAAAACTTTAAAGAATAATTTGATTAAAAACATATTTTTATTTATATAATATAAAATTATAGTTGTAGGATACATCAAATTTTATTTTTCGAAAGTAATTTCTCCAAATAAATGTTTCAGGCTGATAAAACCGGCAAAGACGCAATAAACGAGAATCTGGTGGGAATAATGATTTGCCACATAAAAATGTAAACAATTTGGTCTCTTAGTTGTAATGTCTTTGGTAAATTGTAATTCTTTTGTGGGTATTTTTTTCATTTCATAGTCAGTGCATTTCGTTTCATATGTTATTTCATATAATAGTCACTGATTTTCATTTCATAGTACGATTAATTATAATGACGGTCAAAAGAAAAATCAATTATTATAAATCCAACCTCAACAACTAATACAATAAGCCCTTCCGGTTTATTGACCATAAGAATCAAGTGCCTAATCCTTTTATGGGCTGGGTAGCTCGGCGACCTGCTTTCGAAGGGGCTATAAATTGTTGTCTTTTGTGTTCATTTAGCAATAGCATACTTTTTCGTTTTGTAGTCTGTGCGTAGATAAGCTATTATCCAAAAATTAGTGACAATTAGTTTGACAGAATTGTCATGTACTTAAAATTTAAAAAATAATATAGTAGCTGGCTGACCAAAATATGAGCTTTGATTGATTTTAATTTTTTGCAATGATTTTACTAGGTAGAATGAATATGAAATATATTCGTTCAGTTGCATGAACACAATGGCATACTTTTTCGTTTCGTAGTTTGTGTGTAGATTAGCTAATACCCATATGGGTGTTGAAAAAATCTATTTTTAAAATCTTTTTGTTTTCCAAATTTACGAATTGCACAGTAAAATGATTTTTGGTCAGCAGAAATTTTAAAATTAAAAAAAAATCCATTGCGAATTTGATTTAAATATAGGTAAATGTGAAAATATTTAAAGCTTCAGATTTTCGGCGTTAAAAGGTTTCAAATTAAGAATTAAAAATATTAAATCTAATATTACTTATGTAATGTATAGTAAATTTTCTTATAAAAAGTTTAATTTTCATGATACCAAGTTAATTAACTTGAGTGTTGAAGTTCATTATAAAAATTTACTTTAGAAAGATGAATAATAACGTCTTTCCTTTTGTCGCTTCTTCTTTCATAAATTTTAGAAGATTACTGACCGCAGTTCCCTGCTTTGACCACTTAGAACTTAACTTTACTACTGAATTCCGCGTAGTATTTAAAAAAAAATGTTTATAATAACTTTATTGATCAGTTTAGAGCAGACACCGAATGAGCTCCCGCAATCTGCAGGTGCTTGAACCATTGCTTACCCAAATTTCAAGTTTCTAGCTACATTTGTCGACTTGTATCATACATGTGGGGTTTTTCCAATTGTTCGCGCATACACCAAAATTTGTTACGACAGCGATGCATTCGCCATTTATTAGACTGATGCGCTTTTATGTCCCGCCTATAATTTGGCGTTCCTGTGCTGTTATTGGCTCTTCTACGCCTCATAGCGGAACTGTGGGCTCGATGTACTCTATCTAGCATTGTCTCTACATGCTTCCTCATAATTCTAGATCAGTGTATCCACCAAATTTTAAGTCAGTGGTTCTCGACAATTAACGGTGACTGCCATAGTCGTTTCTTAGGGGTGTTTTGCAAGTTGATCTATTCGATCGAATATTTTTGGTACTCAGAAACAAGGAAGCCGTAGAGGCCCAAATTAGGCAGCGAAGGACTTATAGGAAGTATTAATTTCTTCTGGAACTGCATAATCTACATCACTTTTAAAAGACCTCCAAATAGTCGTATTGTCGCGCGAAAGCCTACCCTGTCTGTTGTTTACTCCCGAAGTATGGAGTCTAGCGGCGCGCTGGCAATATAGAGACAATCAGACGCCTCTCGAATATACCAGAACAAGCGGTAGGTACGTGACGTTGAGTCCTAGAGATGGAAGTCTAGGACATTCCACACCTTCTCGAGTATTCTGGTTACAGAGTTGGCTTGATATAAATATCGCGGGTGTGAAAACGGAAGTCAGTTGATTATAGACAGTTTAGTATAGGGCATTATAATGAAAAGTTAAAGTGTAATAAATAAATTAGAATTGTTATTTATTGTCTAAGTATTATATAAATTAAATAGTATGTCTGAAATAAATTGTAAATAGTGTGTTTCAAATAAACTATAAATAAATTAGACTATCATTACAGTATTTTTTTTTAGTAAAAACTTTTAGTGTTTTTGAAAAGTATATTACATCTTTCTAAAACACTGAAAGTTTTTTACCTACTGAGATCCATATTCTGTGACTGTGAACCCCCAATATTTTGTTACAACGCCGCCATTGTTTGTCATTTTTTAATACTTACCGGAAATGAAAGCTTTAATTTTTTTTATTATAAGAAGGAAGAGGTCAGTATAGAAGTGTGTGCAAGAAAAGTGGATATGGACAATCCACTCGAATTGTACAGTATATTTTTTCTACGACCCACTAACCAAAATCTACAAATTAAAAAATAAATATTTTTGGTTATTAGGACAAAATTTCTTTTTACAATAATTTATTAATTTTACTAATTTGTAAAATAAAATAAAAATGAAAAAAAAAAAATTAGTCCTCAGCTCCATGGCTACTTTTATGATTTTAGTTTTAATAGTCCTAATTAAATTCGTTTCATATACTCAGATTATTTTTTTTTAATGTGGACCAAAATTTGCTATTATTTATCTATTCTACACAAAAATAACTCATTTTAATGTATATTTAATCTCAACTAAAAAATTTACTGACAATTAGTTTGAAACAATTGTCACTTATTTAAAATTTTAAAAATAATGGTAGTTGGGTGTCCAAAATATGATGGATTTCATTTTTTTGCAGTGTTCTCACTATCTAGAATGGATATGAAATATATTCATTCAGTTGAACACAATAGCATAATTATTTGTTTTGTAATCTGTGCATATTCATGTGGGTGTAAAAAAAAATATAATAGATGCTGTTGAAATGAAAAAAATGTATTATTTAAAAAAAATATAATAGATGCTGTTGAAATGAAAAAAATGTATTATTTAAAAAAAATGTAATATTGAGTTTTTATTAACAAACTTGGGCTGGCATTTTTTACAAATGTAATGTATCAAAATGCTTTTATATTACAAATTTTGAACTGAAGCAGACCTTCTAACCAATATTTTACTTTAAGATGATTAAATAATTATATTTTATCCCAAAAAATAAAATTATGTAATGTGCTGGACTAATTACACTTATCAAAAACTTTAAAATTGGAATGAAAACAATAAACTATTGGTAAGCTAGAACAATAATTATTATAAATAAAAGTGTTACTGAATTATTTTACATATTTTTCCATAAACTTTTTATGGAATTCAGACCTTAATGAATCATTAATAAACACATTTGCTTTTTTCTCAAACTCAGATTTAGCGCAATTCTTAAAAACTACATCATCGTCCCATCGTCTCTTCACTTTGTGATCTGTTTTAGTAGATCCAGCAGAATAGTGAGTTAGTAAAGGGTTTCCACTTAAAATATTTTCCATTCTTATTCTTTCTTCTTCCTGCATTCTCTCTCTTTCTTTCTTGGCTATCTCAATTGCTCTTTCCTTCTTAATTTTATTTAACTCTGCAAGTAATGCCTCAGTATCGTCATCATCATCACTAGAATCTGAATCTTCATCGTCTAATGGGTCATCTGCATCTAAGCTGGCGGCAGGTACTTGATCGATTTTTAGCCTCTTGTTTTGCTCCGTAGCTCTAGCTCCAGGCCTTTTGTCTCTTTCACGGTCTTCAAGTTCCTTTCTGAAATCTCTTGATCTGGTTTCATCAATTGTCCCCTGTCCATGTTCCCTGAAAAAGATTAATTAAATAAGTAAATGCCGAAGTGTATTTAAATAATAATATTACCTGTATTTTAACTTCGTGTGCCCTGGTAAATCTCTGCTGGAATATTGTCTAGAAATGGCACTGAGATCTTTTTCATTTCGACCTTGTCCACCTCTTGCAGGCTCGAAAGTTGGCCGAGCGGCTGTAGTCATCTTTAATTCCGATAATGATTGTTATTATTAATTATATTACTATTTTTCTTGTTTTATAAACGATTTACATACAATATTTATAAAAAAATAAGAACAAATATGTCAGTTTATCAAAATTTATTTGACAGTTGACAGGTGTGATGTTACATGTCACTGTCAACTGTGACAGTATTTATTTCTACACCAGAGCAAATCTGAGATCCGATTGTAGCTGTAAAAAAAAAACTAGGACAACAGTTTCATTATTATGTTATTTTTTTATTTATAGTTTAATAAATGCCTTTTTATATGCATTGTATATGGAATCATGAATAAAATACAAGTAACTTCTTTGTCTATTGCATGGATCAAATCAAAAAGAACAAACTATGGAGTAAGGAAGAACAAACCACGAACAAACCCCATAATTGGGATGTGGAAACAAAAAGAACCGTTATCACTGTTACCTGTAAAAAGAGCTAAATAACTAGTGTTGCCAGTTCTACTGTTTTAATAGTAAATCTACTGTTTTTGTCATTTTTCACATCTTCTCATGCTTAAAATCTAGTTTTTTTTGAATATAAATAAAGATTACAATAATAATTTTTATGAAATAATTTTTATGCCATTATTTTTATTATAATTTTTACAATATTCTCGGATATTCATTATTAAAAGATTATGAGGCAACTGATGCTATGTTATTTATATGGGAGTGTGGTGGCCCACCCCCTGGTCCCCTTTATTTTGATTTGTTCGTTATTTTACTCTTCGAAATGTTATTATTTACCTCACAAGTTTATTTTACTTTAAATTCTATACTTACTGTAATTGGCCTTTTTTCCTCTAGTAGTAAAAGTGATCGTCTAGTTAATTAATTGATAATTTATATACCCACGTTGTGATAATGTTAATTAAGATAAACCAGAATTCGATGCAAAGTTTGGTGCAAATTGATAAATAAAACATACAAATTCATATTTAAACTCTTTTTATTTTTCATACTCTAAATGTGATGCAATAATTAGCAAAGTATATTACAATTGTTACTATATTTACTGAGATTTCACTTGAGTCCCATTCAAACGCAGACCATATTCATTTGCTATCAATAAATATTTTATTTAGATTGATGACAAACGGAGATATCCGAACAGCGTCAATTCGCCAGTTGATTAACTACTGTGTTGTTGTTATTTTGCCGCGTTTGTGAATCCACATCGGATGCATTTTTTACATCTCGAGAGTTTTTTTATCCACATCGGACACATCTGTCCCATTACATTTGCGTATACTGAATCACGTGATCAAAGATTTTTTACATCTCAGATGCATCCGATGTGGATTCTCAAACGCAGCAATTGTTATATTCTTATTTAAGTTGATGACCAACGGAGTTAACGAACAGCACCAATTCGCCAGTTAGTTACCTACTGTATTTATGTTTATATTCTTATTCAGGTTGATGACCAACGGAGTTAACGAACAGCGCCAATTCGCCAGTTGGTTAACCATTGAGTTGATGTTGATTTGATTCTATTTTAGATATACACAGGTTGCACCCTCTTAGGTAAATATTACGATGAGTATAGAGGTGATGACCAACGGAAGTAACGAACAACGCCAATTCACCAGTTAATTACCTTACTATGTTGATTTCACATATACTTTGTTTCAAACCTAGTAGAACCCCTTGAGCTAACGAACAGTGTATTCACCAGTTGGTTAACTTACTATTAAATTTTACCATCTTGGTTTGTACAATTTATCCAAGATAGCTCATCCCTGTATATTTCTAAAATATTGATTTTTATAATTTCTATTGAATTAACTTAATACAAACCTGTATATTTTTTTATATTATTAGAATTTCTTGAAATACTCAAAATTTCCCCCATCGAAAATAGATGTCTATCCTGTCTTTCGGGGTGTATGACCTGAAGGTCATGTGGTTTATTGATAATATTTTACAGCAAATGTCGAGCTCGTCCATAAACGAAAATCCGGTGATATCTCAAAAAAAAGTTACATAAATCTTTTGACTCACCATTGAAAATACAGATATTAGATTATGTACTAATTTCATCTAGCGTTGTGACGGCGTCGATTTAGGTACGTCGTAGCGTTGAGCGTCGAGGCGCCTAGCGTCGTGGTGGAAAAGAAGGTATTTAATATGGTACTGCATTGGGACAAATATACGGTAGAATTATGTAGGTGGTGCGGGACGTGATATTATGAAGGAAATATTTATGGACGGCAAGCGTTGGAAATAAGGCGTGGGACGTTGAGCGTCGAAATGAGTGTACGGTAGGAAATACTTAGATGGTGAGGAATGTAACAGCGTTCGAGATGTAGGGAGCAGGGCGACAGGACGTTGGGCGTCGAGACGTTGACACCTTCGGGGTAGGAGGTATTATAGAATAGACGTCGTTTAGGAAGAGCGTTTTAGGAAAGGTACTGACTACTGAACTTGAAATATAACTGGATACAAATAATAAATGAATGCTTGCACATAAAATAATAAAATTGAATGCATGCACATGAAATAATTAAAATTGAATGAATCTGAGCTCATTTGGGTCTGGCTTTTTATAATAAAATTTTAATGGCTTTTATGACGTCTCTATGTCTTTAGTTCTCATAGAAATACTGTGGGCACAGGGGGTGGCTTATTTATTACTTGCCTTGAAAGCTTTGTGTTTCAAAATATTGACGAAATCGGTCTTAACATCGAAACTAGCAAGATAAGCAAGTTAAAGTGTTTTAATGATAATTACTTCGTGAAAAGAAATATGGTTTATGGTGTCTTCTTGCTCTAGGATCTCAGCCACTGCACGAAATTTGGATCTTTTATCGACGTGGTTATAGCTATTATTTATTAGGTGTCTTAAATAAGATTTAATAATCTGGGAGATTTTTCATTAAATGAAGGATTTTGAATTTAATAAGAATGCAATATTGTATTTATTAAATGGAATTAATAAATTATTAAGGTACCTGGGTGCGGTAGGTTACAGGAGCTACACAAAATTATTTATTTGTGACTGTTTTATTTTAAAATGTAATACGGATTAGAGTGTGTCATAATAACAACATGTGTACAAAGCCAGCGGTGGGGCCGGGCCGGGGCGCCTATCGCAAAAGTATTTATTGCTACGTGACAAAAAAGACGACGAAAAAAAAAGTCCAAAGAAAGACCAAAAAAAAGTTCAAATAAAGGACCTATGCGCGTTTAGCATTGGGTGAACAAAAATAATTTCGGTTAAGGAGCTAAAAAAATCCTTTCGCATTGGATCAGAAGAGATATGGTCACTCTAACTTATAGGTGGCTCCAGTCAAGGTACTTGTCCGATATATGTTCGTTCCGCCGGCACTGCACGTGTGAGAACGACACAGCCGCCCAATCGTAAGCTCAAAATCTGTTCGAGATTGATTAGTTTTTTTTTAAATATTTTAGTATATATTTATATTTTTCTAGAATATACTTATTGTGTTTATTTTTGTTTATAAAAATATACTGTTGTAATATTTATCTGGCAACATTGTAAAGGAAATAGATTACCGGCGTTGTCAATAAGGCACAAAAATCGTAATTTTGCGTTTTTCGTATTTATTTTAAGATTTTTATTTATATTTTCTTTTTACTTTTATAAATAACGAAATTTGTTATTCAAAACAATCAAATGCATTTTTAAGAAAATTTACACTTTCAAAAACTTATTGAAATTGAATATACAATACGATTTTTTTATAAATGTGCCTTTTTTATAGAGCATTCCGCTAATGGTTTCTTCGGTATTGGCAACACTGCAAACTACAAATAACGAAATAAAATAACGTAATAAAATAACGAGTGAGTTGTCTATTTCTAATCTCTAATCTTTATCGATTTTTGTTTGTTTTCGAGGTTTCTGCATGCTGCGTGTTTACTTTTTTAATATTTTTTGACTTGAACAAATAAACTGAAACATAAAAACAGAGCACAATTTTAATTTTGAAGTGGTACAGTTCGTGCGTACAGAAATTCATAAAACTTGAAGAAGGAACATCCCGTTCTATCAAGATAACCTCAAAAAATAACAACACGTGGTACGGTCCAGCAAAATCATGGATGATTCTACAAAAGGCAAAAAGAAAAAGTCAAAGAGCCAGGATGTAAGCAAAATTCAAACCGAAAATGATTTTGCACTTGAGTCTTCAAATAAAACAGCAAAACTTGATTCTTCAAACTGGCCTTTACTCTTGAAGCATTTTGACCGCCTGAATGTAAGAACAAACCATTATGTACCAATTCCAAATGGAGCGTCTCCATTAAAAAGAGATATTTCAGAATATGTAAAATCGGGTTGTATCAATCTAGATAAACCAAGTAATCCCAGTAGCCACGAAGTGGTAGCATGGATTAAAAGAATCCTTAGAGTAGAAAAAACTGGCCATTCTGGAACACTTGACCCAAAAACTACTGGTTGCTTAATTGTTTGCATCGAAAGAGCAACTAGATTGGTCAAATCTCAACAATCTGCAGGTAAGCAATATGTATCAGTTTTTAAGCTTCATTCTGCTGTTGAATTTAAAAAAGTTGTACAGTCACTCGAGAAACTAAAAGGTGCTTTATTCCAAAGACCACCTTTAATTTCTGCTGTTAAAAGACAGTTGAGAGTCAGAACTGTTTACGATAGCAAATTGTTGGATTATGATGAGACCAGAAACATGGGTGTTTTTTGGGTAAAATGTGAGGCTGGATCCTACATTCGTACCATGTGCGTGCATTTGGGGCTACTTGCAGGAGTAGGAGGACAAATGTTGGAGCTACGAAGAGTTAAATCAGGAATTCAGGTAATAAAAATATTTGGTTATGTTTTTCAAATCCCTAAATCTGTTATTTCAATATTGTTTCAAATAGATGAAGAAAAAAATGAGTTTTGACAAAATATATCAAAAATTAATAGTTTTTAATTTACTGGTGTGAAGTTAGCAGCCACTTTCCAGCAGCCCGTTAAAATTAAATTAAATAAAATTCCATTAAAAATCTATTTAAAAATTAATTTGTGTAAGAAGACAATCTAGTATTGAAATAAAGTTAAAGCCAAATTGTTAGAAACTATATTATACAAACTAAAAAAATTAACAAAATCACTTAGGAAGGGGATGATAGGGCCAAATTAAATAAAATTCCATTAAAAATTTATTTAAAAATTAATTTGCCTAAGAAGACAATCTAATATTGAAATAAAGTGCCAGATTGCTAGACCTCCTTATCCCCTTCCTAAGTGATTTTGTTAATTTTTTTAGGTTGCATTTTATAGTTTCTAACAATTTGGCACTAACTTTATTTTAATACTAGATTGTCTTTTTAGGCAAATTCATTTTTAAATATATTTTTAATGGAATTTTATATAATTTGACCCCCTCATCCCCTTCCTAAGTAATTTTGTTAATATTTTTAGGTTGTATATTATAGTTTCTAATAATTTGGCACTAACTTTATTTTAATACTAGATTGTCTTCTTAGGCAAATTAATTTTTAAATAGATTTTTATTTAATTTGACCCCCTCATCCCCTTCCTAAGTGATTTTGTTAATTTTTTTAGGTTGTATATTACAATTTCTAACAATATGGCACTAACTTTATCTCAATACTAGATTGTCTTTTTAGGCAAATTAATTTTTAAATAGAGTTTTAATGGAATTTTATTTAATTTGACCTTCTCATCCCCTTCCTAAGTGATTTGGTTAATTTTTTTAAATTGTATTTTATAGTTTTTAACGATTTGACAATAACTTTATTTCAATACTGGACTGTCTTCTCAGGCAAATTAATTTTTAAATAGAATTTTAATGGAATTTTATTTAATTTGACCCCCTTATCCCCTTCCTAAGTGATTTTGTTATTTTTTTTTTAGGTTGTATATAGTTTCTAACAATTTGGCACTAAGTTTATTTCAATACTAGATTGTCTTCTTAGGCAATTTAATTTTTAAATACAGTTTTAATGGAATTTTATTTAATTTGACCCCTCATCCCCTTCCTAAGTGATTTGGTTAATTTTTTTAAATTGTATTTTATAGTTTTTAACGATTTGACAATAACTTTATTTCAATACTGGACTGTCTTCTCATGCAAATTAATTTTTAAATAGAATTTTAATGGAATTTTATTTAATTTGACCCCCTTATCCCCTTCCTAAGTGATTTTGTTATTTTTTTTTTAGGTTGTATATAGTTTCTAACAATTTGGCACTAAGTTTATTTCAATACTAGATTGTCTTCTTAGGCAATTTAATTTTTAAATACAGTTTTAATGGAATTTTATTTAATTTGACCCCTCATCCCCTTCCTAAGTGATTTTGTTAATTTTTTTAGTTTGTATAATATAGTTTCTAACAATTTGGCCTTAACTTTATTTCAATACTAGATTGTCTTCTTAGACAAATGAATTTTTAAATAGATTTTTAATGGAATTTTATTTAATTTGACCCCCTCATCCCCTTCCTAAGTAATTTAGTTAATTTTTGTAGGTTGTATTTTATAGTTTTTAACAATTTGACACTATTTTTATTTTAATATTCTGTTATCTTTATAGAAAAATTGATTTTTTAAAGAATTTTTATTTCAATTTACCCCTTAATCCTCTCTCTAAACACTTTTTATTTGTTTCTTAAAAATTTAGTAGTATTTTATTTCAATACACCCTCTAATTCACAGAAAAATACATTTCGACGCCACTGGTAATTCGGGTGTTTCCGGTAAACGGGCTGCTAACTTCACACTGGTTTTTAATTTTATATTGAAATACTGCAGTCTTGGATTATTTGGACATATGTAAACAGTCATTTAACATCTCCAATCTCCTCCTTTTCCCCTTATCTTAGAACAGATATTTGTCTCTTTTTATGTCAATTGTGTTTTATCAATCTCATGTGATCAATTCAGAGTTAAAATATTAACAAATTGTTTAAAGATTACATTAATTTTATAAAAATAAATGCAGACTGATCTCAATGCTTCTCTTTTGTTGAAATGTTTGCCTTGGTTTAGGGAATTGGGGGGACAACACTCATGGGGCTCATTGAATATATTTTATTATTTTTACAGAGTGAAATGGACGACACTGCAACACTACATGACGTTCTAGATGCCCAATGGCTATACGATAATCACAAAGATGAAAGTTACTTAAGAAGAGTGATCAAACCTTTAGAATCATTACTTATCCACATGAAACGAATAATCATGAAGGACAGTTCAGTAAATGCAGTTTGTTATGGCGCCAAAATTTTAATACCAGGTATCCTTAGGTACGAAGACGGTATTGAATTAAATGAAGAAATTGTCATTGTAACCACAAAGGGCGAAGCTGTGGCATTAGCAATAGCTCTAATGACAACTTCAACCATAGCTAGTTGTAATCATGGGGTAGCAGCTAAAATTAAAAGAGTAATAATGGAGAGGGATCTGTACCCAAGGAAATGGGGCTTGGGACCCAGAGCTAGCCAAAAGAAGATCCTTATCGCCAAGGGACAATTAGACAAACATGGAAAACCAAATGAGACTACACCTAAAGAATGGTTAAATAGTTATGTAGATTATTCTGTTCCTAAAGAATCTGCAGAAAGTGGATCTCAAGAGGAAACTGAAGAAAAGAAACGAAAGTTAAGCACTGCTGCATTCAATACTTCAACTGAGGATACGGAAGAAAAGCCTGAAAAGAAGAAAAAGAAGAAGAGGAAGGTTGAAAATGATGAACAAGGTGAAGAGGCTTCCACGTCAGTCGTTGAACCTGAAGCAGAAGCTAGTACAGAGAAGACAGAAAAAAAGAAAAAGAAGAAGAAGAAAGATAAACATGGAGACAAGGAAAAAGAAGAAGAAGCTTAATCTAATGTTTTTTTTTATAGATTTATTATTTTTTTTTTTTAATGTATAATGTATTACATTATGAATACATGGATAAGTATAAAAAATAAATTTATGTACAATAATTTTTATGAGAGACGAATTTTTGTTTTTGTTAGATGGACTTATATTGTATATTAAATTGATTAAAAGTTGTTCTCAGGAATACATAATAAACAAAAATATTTTAATACTTTTTCTTGGCCATTTATTAATAATTTTTATTTTTGAACAAGTCACATATAAATTACATGCCTTAACTTCATTTTATTGTTCACTTTCTTGATTTCACATTATTTTGTTAACAGATTTTTTTTAAATAAAAGTCTTGATAATTCTTAAACAATATTTATTTCTTAAATAACGAAATAATTTTAACATGTTGACAATTCATTTATTAGATAAAAGGAATATCAGAAATGCCACTTTTGTGATGTCATTTATTTAACCCAGATCCATATTTTAAATAAAATTAGAGAGCAACCATTAAAATACTTTTTTTTAAGACTTTCATATCAAGTTTTGTTAATTTTTTGCTCTGTTAAAACATTCAATACTTAAAAATAAATAAATATAATTTTTTGTCAACGTGTTAAAGGAAAGAAACCAGCTTATACAAAAATATACATTAATTACAAACTTAAAAAAATAATGGTACATATTTAAAAGATAAATAATTTGTCATGCGACGAACAATAGTGTAACAAAAACATTAAAATATTTTTTTTGGTAAAATTAAAATACTTTCAGTTGCAAGAACATAAATTTTGGGTTCATTTAAAACAATCTGCAGGGTAATTTTTTTAATGGCACATCATAAAAGGCTCGTAATCATTTTTAAAACTAAACCAGAAATATAAAGCTGAAAAAACCTGACGTCACGTAACATGTCCTTTCATTCAATTTCACGAAGTTGAATGCCTTGTTGGATGTTTTATTGTGGTTGACCATTGAGGGAAATGATAGTTTTCTCAATGAACCTTAATTTGAAAGTTTTTTTTCTAAAAACTTAGTGAACTTCTCAATTATGTCAATGCAGCTGTCATTTGTCACATCTAATTTGAAAAATCATAGATTTAAACTGATAGCTTGATGTTCTATTAATTAATAAAAAAATAATTCGCTCCCTTAATAACAGAGTGACCAATCTTGAAAATTGACAATTGTGAGCTTTGCTTTAGTATTATAATGCACTCTAGCGATACATTGTGGAAACGTCAGAATCCGAAGTAAAATAAAGAAAATACGACGATATTTCGGTCTCTCTCATTTTAGTCTCTGATTCAGTCTGGTGAAATATAGACGCATTTAACTTCGGTCTCTGTATGAGTAAAACTGCATGATAACAAATAGAATATTAATTTAGTTAAATAATGGTGCATTTTGATATAGGTCAAATAATGGCAGGAATTTTTAGAACAAAATAGACTCACATTACATCAGGGCGGGCAGCCAATTTCTAAGTTTCATAGAACTGTAGTGACCTAAATTGGAATGATCCAGCTGTAACTTTGTTTTTTTATTAAGTATCCAATTTTTGAGGAAAATCTTCACCTTTTATGATTTATGAAAGTACTTTAAAAAATCAAACATATATCTAATAAACAGGAAAGTAAAATCAATTAAATGTGATAACCATAATTTTTAAAACTTTTTCTTTATTCTTAAAGGTCATGTTTTTTTTTAAGTTGAGTTACTCTAGTAGTAAAAGGGTAATTGGTATTTTATCGACAGAGTGTTGAAAAAAGACAGTACGACGATGTACCAGTGCCAAGGTTGCTGTAACAGTTGAATAAAATGACACATGTTTAGCAAGACAGTGCCAGTGGCTCGACTTATATTTAAAGGAATTCGAAACATACAACTATTAAAAAAAACCTAACTTTTTTTATATACCAATAAATTTGAAATCGTTATGCCACCGATTTAATTTCTCGCCATCAAATTTTACGATATAGCTGACTGACTATGACAAAACTTTCGCGCATTTTGCTGTGATGCACCTGTAGTTTTTAAAAACGTCTAATAATTGATACTAATGACAAATTACAATTGTAAATAACTAAATATCTCAACCTTATTTTATGTTCTAGCATCTGCAGGGATAACTTAAAAACTAGGCTGACTACTATTAATTCTTTCCTTGACAGCTCACAGCCCACACAATATTAAAGACATTCACATTTTCTTTAAGAAACAATTTTACTTTACTGTTAGTGGTTCTATGAACAAAGCTAATTTTAAAGTAGTTATACCAAAATGATACTTTTTTATTTATAAAAAAAAAATGTTTTGGGGATAATACTAAAAATAAAAGTTAAAAAGTTCTATTTACATTGTGCACAATTACCTACTAGTAAAAAAATATACAAAATATAATTAAACCTAAATAATATTTTTTTATGGAAAGCCATGACATGGAATAAAAGAAATCAAATAAATAATTGACTTAAAGTTCCTCATTGTGATGCAAGGTACAATTTTGGCAAGGTCCATTATCACATTATAATTAAATAATATCTGCAAACATTTAAATTACAAAATACATAATAATTATTTAAAACTCAAGAAATCGAGAAATTTAAACATTTGCAACTTATTGTAATTCCAATATTTGACATTAAATGTTAAATTTGTGAATCCTTAACTTTTGTGTGAACCATTCAGGTTACATATCAAATAAAATACTAATTCGAAAGACAATATAGACATCTATTCTAATTTCGTTAATAGTAATAATATTCGAGAGATATTTTTGCACATTTTTGAAATTAAAATTAATTTTTAAAAACTTTTTGCAAACCTTATAGGTTTTTCTTTCATATTTCCATCAAAAAACGGCATATTCAAGCATATGGCAAAATAATAAATTAATTTTAAAGATTTTTATAAATAAATTCTAAACAATTTTGGAAATGTTTAATAAATAATATATCAAATACTAATTTTCTAGAAAAGTTTCCTTTAAGGACCACTCGAATTGGGATTTATTCTAACTACTTTTAAACGGTAATTCAGTGATGAAATAATATTTTAATAGTACTAAAGAAGTTTATGCCCATGGTAAGCGCTTTCGTTTAAGTGTAATTACTAAACCTATACATACATTTCTGTTTGATCTGTCGCATCCTACTATATTTCATTTTTAAACTAGAATGCATTTACACGGATTTGAAGCAAAAAAATATCAAACGAGCATACAAAATAACATGGACCAACTATATACTAAGAAGGAAAAAACAAGGGAAAGACTAATACTACAAGAAATCCTATTGAAGCGCGAGTGTAGAATCTGATCATCATTTTTGGTAATAACGAAAATGAAACTAAGTTTTATACAAGAAAATAAAAAAGATGGAACCTAGAAATATTAAAAGACGATCAGAACAGGAGAAATTAGCAAACTTGTACAAAAATAAAGAACCTAAAAGAATGGAACATAAGAGATAAAATAAAGAAAGAAACATAATTAAGATGGATAAGAACTGGAAATCAAGAAAAATGCGATTACTATAAAAATATAAAGAAAATAATGAGACATAAAAAAAACTAAAGAATCGACGATACTATGGATGAAATAGAGAATGTCAACAGTTAAAATAAGTAAGAACAAACAGGAAGATCATAACTACAGTGGAGGAAGGAGAATATGTAGAAATCCCGGAGGATGATAAAAAAGTGGAAGAACCATTAACAAAAGAATTTGAGGAAATATTAAGAAACTGACAAGTATTAAAAGTAATTTTAAAAAACTGACTTCAAAATCGTACAGATGCCGTCACCACATCTTAACCAAATTTATATGGGACCACCCCTGAGGTTCCCCCTTACTAACAAAAAAAGAATCATAGAAATCGGACAAGGTGGTAAAGAATTATCGCTAAACGTACATAAAAAATGAAGAGTTTGAGGATTTTTCTCATGGACCCAATTATTAGATTTTGACCAAATTTATATGGGACCACCCCTGAAGTACCCCCTTTCTAACAAAACCAGACTAAACAGTCTGTAATAACTAAAGGTAACACCAAAGAAGATGGACGAAGAGTACCAAAGGATGGTGAACACGAAAATAAAGGATGTATTAGAAGGAGAAGATATAGTGAAAATCATTAAAGCAAATAAAATGCGGTGGTACGGGCATGTACAAAGAAAAGGAAATGAATGAATCAATAAATTAAAAAGAAAATGAAATGGCAACCATAGAATAATAGACCTAGAGGAATCCAGATTCTTAAACCTAAACATAAATGGACTGTAATAGTGCCAGTATAGATCAAACCGAGTTTACAGGATTCTAATAGCAGCACAAGAAGTTACCAGAGACAATATCACTGGAAGGAACATTCTCATCTATACAGATAGCAGACAAGCACTACTCATCTTGGACAGACCACCAATTTACTCAGGGTTGGTACTAGAATGTCACGAAGCTTTGGTGCTAATATCCATCAACAATGTGTTCACATTAAGATCATGCCACATCGAAAGGTAACCCCGTCTTTAGGGTAGTCAACTAAATACTTTTTGAACCTGGCCCTTCTATTGGACTGACGACGTTGGTAGTGACAGACAGACAGAAACAAGCTTTTAAGTTATCCTGATAACACTGCAGCAAACAAATAATTGACTATGACTAGACAGAATCCATATTACAGGCATTCTGAGTGGTCATTGCCAAGTACGGAAGCATCTCCATTGTATGGGGCTGTCAGAATCCGCACTCTGCAGGGGGTGCAATGTTCTGAAATTTGTGGAGCAAATCATAGGTTCATACCTATTGTATTAGTAATACCGGCCGATATAAGAGAAACACCTCTTGGCGACGTTGTCAACTACATTAAATATGTAGACTGGTTCACAAGCTAGGAGGTGCCTATCAGATGCACAATGGACCTACTAAGGCCTAAGTGCCGAGGCGTAACATTCTCTCCACACGTTACAGATACAGATGTATTAGAAGAAGACATAGTGAAAATCATAAAGAGAATGCAGTAGTATGGGCATATACGAAGGAAATGAATTAATAAATTAAAAAGAAAATGACAGAATAACAGACCTAGAGGATTTGTTGGAAAGACCAAATATGTAGGACATTAATAAGAGGATTAAGAAAGAGAAGATAATAGGCACGAAGGAATGGAGATCAACTGAATCGGTGACAAAACATGAAAACTTGTAGAAGGAAAAAGAAGTATGGCAGAGTGACTCACTGATATACTTAACCAAAGAGTCAAAAATGTTCCAAGAGCGTCTAAAATTCTGGCAAGGGAATGTACAGCCACATACCCGGTGTTGCATCGTAGAGCAGGACATGGAAAATCCCATGAAATTTTAAATGGGGTCAATTATTGGCTTCCCTAACTATTTTTGTGGATTTATTAAAGATCATATTTCTCCTTTTTTTATGGCCCTGTATTTACGAGCACTAGTCAAGGTAAAAGATGACTGTCAAATGAAGTTGTAATTTTGAAATGTGTGCTTTATTGCCATTAAAAACTTGTGGATCTAAAATATTAAAGATGTATTCATGAATGCAGGGCCATAAAAAAAGGAGAAATATTTAAAAAGAGATTGGCGATAACTCGCAAACAGGCTTATCAAAAATATCTAGTTATTTTTTTGAATGTGGATTTTAGTGCTCTTTAATAAACCAAAATAGAATTTTTTTCTAAAATAATTAGGGAAGCCAATAATTGACTCCATTTAAAATTACATGGGATTTCCTATGTCCCGCTCTACGATGCAACTCCCGGTATATATAATAGGTAATTACAAACGATAAAACTCCGATATTTTAAATTGTTAAAGTTATCGAGCATGATGTGTCAAATCATAGATAAAAAATGTAATTTTTTAGACATTTTAGTCTATATGAAAATGTATGTCAAATAACCAGTCGTTTAGGCGCGAAAAAATCAAACCGCTCATCCTAGTTTAAAAAATGAAGTACAGTCGCCTATATTGTTTGGTGTCCTTTCTTAGGGACAGAGTATTTAACAGCGTTACTATAATTTCGCATTAGGGGTTAGTTAGATCCACCATCGGCTTGGAAAAAGAGAAACTGGGAATTCCTTGTCCTTACACTGGAAGAAAAAGGCAAATCGCTACACAGGAAAGGTAAATTATGAGTAGCTCTAACTAAAGATCAAAATATATTGACAATATACCTATATGATCCATTGTGGCTGTGGATATTTATGGCCGATGCCCTAATCAAAATATAATCTCTAAATTGCAGTTCCCTAATAATCAACATATATTACAGATTTCTCTGTATACTGGAATAGAATTACATTTAATAAATAAATATAAATCACGACTCTTAGTAGATTATAATAAGTGGATACTAAATAAAACATTGGTAAGGATGTAAAAGAAAATAAATAAGAAACATATTTAAAACATTTGGTTCAAGTGGTCCGCTTACGGCTAAATGCAATCTCTACAAAAAAATTAAATAGCTAGCTCAGCCAGTCTTGAATCTTGATTTTATAAAAGTATAAAAGTCACATACCACATATTAAGGCTTCGGTAATAATTCAATTTTAGAATTTACGTTATTAGAGTATTTCCTAAATGACTAATTAGACATTTATGTTAATTTATATTTTAATAATCAAAAAAATGCAATACGAACACTTAATTAAATACCTAATCACAACGAATCAAATGACAATTCTGAGAATATTTAAATATTAAATTAATAAATAAAAAATTTTAAATATAATATTCAGTTAATAACAGATCACTAAAATATCAAAACAAAAATAGATTAAATTAGCTAGTCATTCTAATACAAGAGACACTTGTAAATTGACTTCTTGATAGTCTTTTTCTGCGACCGCCCAGAAATTTGACAATAAGAGCGAATATCATTTTAAGGTTCACTAGGCCTTGCGATACTAAACCATGAGGTCTGTTTGACAAGCTTGCATAAATTTTTTTAATGAAATGTACTCTGTTAATGGCATATATAAGGTAGGTCAATTGTATCTGCAGCTAAACTAGAAGATTTAGAAAAGTTCCAATTCAATTTTACACAGCTCCAAAGAAGCTACATTTATTAAATCATTTCGACTATACAGAGTACTTAATTTTCACATAAGTTATGTTTTTAACGGGCTTTACAAGCAAATTTTGTTTTTCGAAATTGGATATAGCGTTTTCGGGTAATCTGAATAATTACTACTATAATAATCAAATGTCGACATCATATCCCAGAGGCGAGACCTAGTGTTAGCTCTCATTGATAATTTTCTTTGGAGGTTCGCAGAAAAAGACTGTACATAACTCCGGAAATTGTGGTTACTAGTTTTAAGCTTGCAGGATTTAGTTGCGACTCACGTCATAAAACTGCCTACTTATCCAGTAGTCTATAACTGTCCGGTTTTGTTACATAAACAACTATTTATCAGAGCAAATAATGTATGGACTATTTCTACATAAAATTGTATTTTCAGGATACAAACAAAAACGAATTAAATAATAACGAAACTTAATAATATACAGTGATATTTCAAATATTTGAAAAAATATTTGTTTATCGATTTCATACTTTGGAATTTATTAAATTTAATATTACTGCTATAACAATCCAATGTATGAGTATTTGTTTTGTATCATTACTGGACGACAGACGTCGTGTATTTAAATTTAATAAGTTTTTTATTGGGATTTCAAATTAAGATCGCAGCACTATTCTTGACATTGGAACTACTCAAAAACAGATATTTTTAGATACTTTCCGTTTGTTTATTTTGTTTTATATTACAATTAGTAGAGGACAATTACTTGATGACTTTCTTCCATAATCAGCACAAACTACAAAGTGTATAAAATGAGCTAGGCATGTTATCTAGAAGTTAAAAGCCATATTTTTAACATACCAGTTAATTTAATGTCCTAGTACAGAGTTCTGAATAAACAACACATGTCCACCTGGTTTCACAAATAATTTTTTTCTTGTTTACCCTTTATTTACTTTTTTATCAGTAAGAATATTGATACAGTCTGATTTCACTAGTTGGACAGTAAAAAAATTCTATAAAAATATAGAAATTGTTCATTATCACAAAATTCCACACATTTTAGACATGTGTCGTTTTTTTCCAAAACATATTCATTTTTTTTAGTGAATAATTACTAGTAGTTTTTGGTACTTTTATTTGAATACGTAGTTGTTGCAGTAAATTATTTAAAACGAAACACATTTAATTACCATGAAAAACAAAATTTATCTGTCCATGAGTAGTAACTAATGTTCGCGGTAAAGGGCGTATATATTCTTTATACAGGTCTCAATTGAAATAATGTAGTCCATACATCATTACACTCGAATAGCATCTACACACAGTCATGACAACAAATATCTCTTAACTTACGTATTTAATACTTTCAGGCTGTACTAGAATTCTGTGATGCTCCCGTTACAACGCTAAATAATGCCATACTGTTTCTTTTAAAGCTGCCCATCTCGTCGTGCGGCCAAAGCGTTTCACCGAATAGCGCGGACAATGAGGAACATAGTTTCTTGTAATTTTGTCGCAATACCTCTTGATATTCGTGCTGCTCGATGGCTATGAGTTTGCTGTTGATTTGTAAGGCTGAGTAGCATATTTTAAGGAACTCTCTGCCAAACAGAAAAACAGTGTTATTTACATAAAAAAAATATAAATATATAAAAAAGCATTTGCAGCAAATGTATATACAGTGTGTCTACTGTAACTAAGTTACGTTTATTATTTTTTATTTTATTCCATACATTGATATAATAATTATTGAATTCAAACGTTTTTATTTTTGAATTTTGGTTTTATTTTTATTAAAATAATTATTTGAAGGTTGAGATTAATTCATTCAACGATGTATTAGTGATGGCGTAATTTATGTTCCATTGACACACTGTATAACCGTTGTATGAAGCTAGTATAGTAGGATAATGCTAAAGTAAAAAGTGTTTGAACACAATAATCTTCAGTTGTTCATGTCCTATTCTTAATTTTATACCATTATATAAAAGTGAATAAAAATTAATAGTGTAAAACTCAAGTATTAATTAACCATCAGCGATCAATCCAAAATCCAACATCTAACCACAATAGAAAAAAATGTTCCCTATTATAGTAAAATTCAACCCAATCTCAACTCATTCAATCTTTTCCAAACCAAAACTGGTTTATTTTTTTATATTGATTATTTTGGCATTTTATGTAACTTTCAAATACCCTTTTGTAATAATTTGCAATTGTAACTATAAAAATACATTACCGAAGACAAGTATAAATGAAAAAGAAGATTTTAAATTATAATTCATACTTAAGCACAGACATGACCTAAAGACCTGACTTAGACACAAATACAGTGTCCACATCTACATTCTATGTCCATCGTCCGCCAATGATCTTTCCTTAAGGTTATCCTACTAGAATATCTTCATACAACGGTATAACATCCAAAGCTTGACATATTTTATACTCACCTAAAAATATCCTTTAGCTCCTCAACTTTTTCATCGGGATACATATTACACAAAGCGGGATCTAAAAACGCGCTTGCATAAGCCAACGGACCAGCGTTGACTTGCACACATACGCTTCCTTGCAACCTCAATTGTAATTTCTTTGCATCTGTCGGTTGGGTAAAAACTACGTCCTCCAATTCGGCTACGCGGCATTGCATTTCATCGATGGCTACTTCAATGGGCGTCAATTCAGTTTGTCGCACCGACGTTACGGCTATTCTTTTCTTTACGTAAGGAAAAAAATACGCGGCTGAAAATTAAGGTAAATAATAGTATATTATATAATAAAAAGGATTGAAAGTGCATCATTTTTACGAGCATTTTTTGCAGTTGCGAGGCGAAGCGCAATGCAGTTGTGAGCATGTGGAAAAAATTGTTATTAGTTTTAATTACAAAAAAATTCGTTTTCTTTATAAAAAATTCTGAATCTCTTGGAAATTCATAATCAAACATCGAATTACTAAAACTTAAAAAAATTCCAACACATCAAGAACATTGGATGTTTTATTTATTAAACAAAGTAAGTCGAAATCACTTAAAACTAAGTGCAATAGTTTTAAACATTTTAATTTTTTTTTTTTTTTAAAAAACTTAGTTAAAAAAAAGCGATGTATCTATGTACATTTTAAATGACCAACATCTAAGTGTAGTGATGGTGAGGTGGGTATGAATATCTGGGACTTTGGCCTCTAGTATAAAGTAATTGATATTTTTGTAGACCGATAACAAAAGATTTTAGTAACTTACTGGTTAATATAGTTCTTCTTTTCCATTGTTCTTCGGGATTTCCCCTGGCCTTTCCTTCTTTAGTGAAGGGGGTTTCGAACATGAAGCAATTAATGTCGTGGTTATGCTCAAATTCCGTTTGTCTTTCCTCGAGTTCCTCTTTTTCAAAATAAGGTGTTACATGTGTAACTTGAATATACGCCAGTTTTGGATCCAACTCTGATTGGTTTACCTAGAAATCATTCGAATATATTATAATCAATAAATTCTAGAGTTGAAACAAGTTTGAAAACCTGTATACAAAAGTAGGTACACATTTTAATATATCAATTCTGGGAGTTGTAAAGTAGATTAGCAGGAAAAATCTAGTAACTAAAATAGGAATTTGAAGATATACATAGAATATCTAACACTGAGTGAAATAACTAAAACGTCTGCATATACAGAAAAGAAGAGCAGTTTAGGTTCAAAATTACATCATTTATAAAGATCAAAATCATAAATGGACCTAGTACTGGTCTCTGTATAACAAAAATTTTGAAAAATACAATTTAAATTTGAAAGCATTGTCACTGATTTAAAGTCCTATTATCGAATTTCTCTGTAGAACTAAAATTTCAAAAATTAACCTTCAAAAATAGAATTTAAATTTGACAGCGTTACGTCGCTGATTTAAAGTCCTACCATTGAATTTACAATACATTTTCGAGCATATTGCTCAAAAGCACCTGTACTTTTTACTATTGAAACAGTCTTATCAGTTTAAGATCCGTACTTACAAACCTTTTTTAAATAGTTATCTATATGCAAATCTTTAAAGAGAGAAGCGTCGATTCAGAGAAAAAGTTGGGATGAAGGATGACATGAGTTTTCAATCATGCTTTGAATGATTACTGTGATTAGTAACATTTATATAAATGAAGTTGTTTCCTCAAATTATTAACAAATTAAATATTTATTAATATTTTACTTTGAAACATTTAATCTATAGAAAACATGTAAAGAATGACAGTTTACTTATTTTGGACAGAAATCAAAAGAAACATTATTCAGGCGAAAATATCACATTTTATGTGCATAATTTACAAATTATTAATTCATTAGTGACTTACTGGTATCGAATCCTGTATCATCTTGACTACATCGGCTCCAAATTTATCACAATATTGCTTAAACAATCTTTCAGCGATCTCACTCAACGAGGTAACTTTAGGTTCCTTGTAAATATACTCAGTACCACTTTCATCTTCGAAATACGCCTGCCCGTAAAACCCGACTCTATAATACCGTCCCAACAGTCTTTTGCAACTCCTATTAGCTTCAATAACTTTTACGTAGTTCTCGGCCAGAGCCGAGTAACATTTTCTCAGCATATCGTAGTCTCTCTTTTTCTCGTGGATCGGTATTATAAGTTTGTACAATTCTCCTAAAATTTCGTACCGTTCGGCTTTATCTAAATATTCGGCGCAACGTTCCAGTTGTTCCTGGAGAATAAATTCGGAGTATTGAATATCCTGTACGCCGGAATCTAGCTTCAAGCCTTTCTCGTCTTTTGGAATGTTCGATGATATCAATTCGAATTTTTCGGCGCCCCATTTGTGGATCTTTTTCAGTTTTAAGTATTCCGCCATTAGAGCGGCGATGTGAAGCTGGCAGCAAGCGGCCTAGAAAATTAATATTAAAATCTTATTTATTATTAATTGAAATTAATCATTATTTAGGCTGTTTTGTTGCCCTCAGAACGTGATACTAAGACGTAAAGTCCAGAGTGATTTGAAAGATTTAACCCATGTTAATGAATACAATTACTAATTTTGTATATATTAATAATTTCTAAGAGTTAGAAATCTCTCACGTTTTTAAAAATAAAAATTACCTCGGAATAGTTTCCATCTCTGACATGATGCCTGGTCATCGTTTCTAACCAAGTGTGCCTTAATTCAGGAGTAGAGGCGTACGAATTTGCTAAACTATGTTGTAGGTCCACCAACATTTCTGGATCATGATGATGCTCCCTCATTTGTACTGTTGCCATAAGTACTGTTCTTACTCTTTTCGTTAAGTCTTTTACCTCAACAGGAAAACCTAAAAGAGAAATTAAACTTCACTATTTTTAATAGTTCTTTTTTTTTTTAGATAGCTCACATATTGTCTCAAATTTTTGAAAAAAATACAGTAAAAAAGGAATTTGTATTTTTTTTTCAACACAATATTAAAAGCTTAATACAAGACGAGAAAATGCTTCTAATAAATTAATGTTTAAGGCGGGATTGTATGGAATAAATACAATAATTTTACACCTATTAATAGCGCGGAAAATGCTGCATAAAACAAAAATAGTGAAAAATTTGTTATTTGAAGAAACTCTGCATTTAAAAGTGAATAACAAGACAGATATTTACGGATAAAAAACAATAAAAAAGGTTGTTGATAAATAGCTTATCTTTGTTTTTTCCACTGGCTGTTTAAATTTTTGGTAGTGGCTATTTAACCAAAGATGCGTATCAATGAAAATATATTAATGCCTATTTGCGAAAATTGTACCGAAATTATTAAAAAGGATTATGATTTTGTATTTTGTGATAGCCATAGAACAGTTTTCCACAATCTAGGAACTGCTATTTAATGACATTCAACAGAATATTGGGCAATCGCAAGTCCAGAATCAATAGGACGTCATTTTTTTCTGTGATCAATTTTCAAACAGACTGATTCTCATCAAAAAAATAACTACTCTTGAAAACAATATACACACATTTCAATCTGAGGTCAAAACAAAAATATTAAAGCTTGGTGTGTCTCGACATGTTCAATCAAATACCGAGGATCTTGAAATTAACGAACAAGAATCTCAAAAGAAAAATGTAATCATTTTTAGTTTAGTAGAACAACAAAATCATTTAAGTGATAAAGATTTAGTAGTTGAAGCTATACAAATAATCAATCCTGGCACTCCCCTATTTACTATAAATTCCCAGATACGGCAAGCCTATTCAACATCAACTTCTAGGCCCAGACTTGTTAGTTATTCTGCAAAATAATGAGGACATTTGGCATTATTTTCAGTCATGACTGTTATTCGCAATGTCAAAGAAATAAAAAGTGTCATAATAAATTCAATTTTGTAATTGATACTTCAGAAACAACTCCAAACCAAATGAAAAATATCAACAAATGAGAAATGAGCTAAAAGTCCGCACAGACAAAGGCGAAAAAGATACAAGATTTAAAAACTTGTAAAATTGTCTAACATGAATAATAACAACAATTAATTAAGTTTTGAAAATTCATAATCAAATCAAACTACGAATTATTAAGACCATTCCAGAACCCCAAATAGTCCAAGCGGTGGGTGGTTTCTATTCGCAAAAGTTCGGAAAGAAATGAAATTTCGTGAGATGGTAGATATAGGTCCCCTGATACTACACCTAAGTTTGCGACCTCGGGGGGTTTGCCGCTCTAGGGGCCGAGGGATGAAACCTCTGCATCGCGACGCTTTTCGGGAAATAGCGCCGTTGTGGTAAGTGATATCGAAAAAAAGTTCAAATGAAATATATACAGGACAAAATCGAGCACAATTTTGCAAATCAACCCCCTACTTTGGCGCGTCGTAGAGCGGGAACTATTGGTCGCAGACAAAAAATGTAGAGGTCAAAATTGTGCACGATTTTTTTCGATAACACTTACCACAACGGCGCTATTTCCTAAAAAGCGTTGCGTCGCAGTTTTCATCCCTCCACCCCTCGAGCGGCAATCGCCCGAGGTCGCAAACTTAGGTGTAGTATCAGGGGACCCATGTATACCATCCCACCAAATTTCATTTCTTTCCGATCTTTTGCGAATAGACCCCCTTATTCTTTACCCACCGCTTGCACTAAAAGGTGAAAATAAATACTTGGAGATTAAAAAAAAAAAAAAGACTGTCGCCGTCCGAATTTGAACCCAGACATTTTTGTTCTGTCCTTACCGCTATTATGACGACATTGACAGGTAAGGGCATTCGTGTACAGAAAAAAAAATAGAAGAATAAAGTAGAACAGGCACAAAGATAGATTGGCACCCACAGGAATAGGAAGAATAGTTATTGGATAACCTGAATTACGTTACGTTGTTAGTTTTAGTACGTTTTTGTTAAAAATAGTCAATTTAGTACCATTTTCAGTACTATGTGGACATTTTTCGAATAAAGTGACGTATTTTATCAACAAAATAGTCAATTCAGTATTATTTTGACATTTTTTGAATAATGTGACGTATTTTACTAACGATGGATGACAGTTGAGAGTTAAGTAAAATAATTTATATTTGAAATTGAAATTTATTGCACGTTTGTTGGTTGTAATTCTGAAAGTAAAATGGATTAAGACTTTTTTGTTATACATAAAAATTATATAATTTAATAAAAGTGTTAATCATTTTGTTAATTTTGTTAATCATTTTTAGTTCACTTGTTCCATTTGTTCCTATAAGGTAAAATTTTTGTAAATGTTTAAAATGTTTCTATAAAAGTTATTTAATAGTTAACGAATTTAAATCTCCAGCCATTTTTAAGGTGTTGTTCTATTTAGTTATTGGTACATTTTCATAAAATATAGCTTCTTTAATTTGGTCATTTAGTACGTTTTAAAATGTTTTTCAGTACGTTGTGTCATTTTCATTCTGGCAGTTTTGCAACGGGTGTTATGCCTATATAGAAGAATAGAGATGAAGCAGTCTTATCAGTAAACGTCCCATATAATCCAGTTTTTTTGTTTCATGTCACTACCATCCTCATTTAATTCCCTACTCATTTATCCCCAAGTAAGGGGGATGATATATTATTCACCCCCTGACCACTTTCCCCAAAAAAAGAGGGAAAAGGGGAACGGCCAAACCCTTCTTGGTACGTCCCCATATAATTTCCCTCCATAAAAAGACAAAATAAACTATCCTGCAATGTTCTGGCACCGTTTCTTCCGAAAACACCCCTAAAAAGTATTTTTTGCGTTTTTAGGGGCACGTTCTGACATTCAAATCATCTCGGTACCCCGCTATTGTGTTACCCAGACCGGACCAATACATACTATTAAATTTGTTGTAAAATAAAAAATTACAGTGTAAAAGTTATTAAATAATATATGGAATGAGCCACAAAAAAATGTTTCTAAAGTAGGCCTTGAAAATTCACACATGTCGCAGCTTACAATTTTTCTTTTTGTCAGTTATCACGGACATGACTCGTATTTCTGTGTTTGTCAGTCACGGCCTATTTTAGAAATATTTTTTGTGAATCATTCTTTAATATATGCAGTTAAAACTTACCGGTTCCTTTCATTGCTTTATCACTCGAAGCGTAACTGTTTATCAAAGACAAACTTTCCTGAAATCTAGAGTTATTAAGACCGACAATATTTCCCAACATTTGTGAAACTGAAATAATAACTTGCAAGTGTACTCTCGTGAGTCCTTTACGTCCGGTAAATTCGAAATTGCTTCTCATCAGTAAGTACAAAATTGCACACGATTCTTGTCTAATCGAAGCCAAACGACTGTTACAACACTTGAGCAGCTCATAACACAGTCTGCCACAAAGTACAGCATTTCCTGAATTAGTAAAAAAAAAAAATAACATTTTAATTAATTTTTACGTGTTTTTCCGAAGATTATATAATTTATAAATGATCTATTTCCTGCCCTACATATCATGTGTATTAAAAAGAAAAATACACGCTAGTGGAAGTTATCAATGGGCCCGTTCACTTTCATTTTTGAATGTGAATTAATTATATATTTATAAAGATATTAAACTCTTTTGTCTGGTGGTACTTTTCCCGCTAAGATATTTTTGCTAGAAGTAAGGGAATTCCCATAAAATTCTTTCAGTGACTCATTGCGTCAGAAAATCCCTAATTCCGTTCACGTCTCGTATCGGTTATGCTTAAAGACGGCGAGGTTGTCGGAAGTATCCCTAATATAGCATTTCTGCATTTATATATGTAATTTAAATAGCAAAATTCCATTATTTTTCTAAAAATCATGAACTTATATTTTCAGATTTAAAGCTGGGCTTATTTTTTAATTTTAAATTAAAACAATTATTTATTACTCAGGCTGAAAATTAACCAGACCATAATCAAAAAGTAGAAATTTGATTTGCAATATTTATCTGGTAAACGTGGCAACGTTGCATTTATTTCTAGAAGTGTGTGTAGACAACACTATTTAGAAGCACTTACAACGTTGTCACGTTTACCAGATACATTTTCTCAAATAAAATTTCGATCTGGTAATATTCAGCTTGAGTAATACTAATTGTTTTTATTAAAATTTAAAGAAGGTAAGGCTTCCAGCTTTATCTGAAAATATAAACACATTATTTTTAAAAAATAATATATTTTTATCATGTAAATTTCTTTAATAAATGCAGAAGAGGAATGGTGGTGCAATGATACATCCGACAACCGCGCCCTTTTAACTATTGACCGATACAAGACCTGAAGGGAATTAGGGGTTTTCTGACGCAATGAGTCACTGAAAGAATTTTATGGGAATTCCCTTACTTCTAGCAAAAATATCTTAGCGGGAAAAGTACCACCAGACAAAAGAGTTTAATATCTTTATAAATATATAAATAATTCACATTCAAAAATGAAAGTGAACGGGCCCATTGCTTTATAATACGATGAAAATGTATACAAAAAAATACTTAAAATGTAAACCTTTTACTCTATTATTTTTAAAAATAAACTAAATTGAAGCTGTTATGGTTATAGAACGCATGATTTAGATCTCCTACTATGCGTCTGGTATGATACGCAATTATTTAGAAAGAGAAATGGAATAACAATTACAGGCAAACATCATTATTAGGATAACATTTATATCAACATAATTAACCATATGCAATCGATGTTTTGAAGAAATGCATTTAGCTTGGAAACAAACAATTCAACAAAAATCTTACCTTGAAATAACATGACTGAATAATTATTAATAAAAGCTCTAAGCGAAGCGAAAACATGTCTCAGCAATGTTTCACTTTGTCCAATTTGTATAAAACTTAAGTAGATGTCAAACATTTTCTTTAAAACTTCATTTTCTGGATCAGTATTCAGTAATTTCTTTCGAAAATGCATACTATACAGTCCCATACAATCCAAAGTTATGAGACCTATTTCGCTAGCTAAATGCTGTTCTAAAATTGCTTGTTGTTGCCTGTGAACTTCGTTTTCTACAAAAAAAAAGAAACTATTTAAATCGAATTGTAAAAAAAAATAGTAATTTCGATAATATTTCACATAACTATCGTTGAATTGTTATTTTTATATTAAGTGTACGAAATCATGATTATTAAATCAAATGCGTCGTAAAACACGCACTATGAAATTGTATTATTAAAAATAAGTCGAACACTAAACAAAGGTGATAATATTGTTTGACAACTTACCTGAATCAACCAAATTCTCTCTGGGTGCATGAATAACCAACGTCCCAGTATTATCATGACTCATTTCGGAAGGATTCATTCTAGCCGGTAACGTATGTGCCTTTTTCGCTTTAGGTTTCACATTTTCCGATTCGCTAACTTTAACAACATTCAAATTTCTCTTACCAAGGTACCTAAAGCAAATCAAACTCAGCTCCATGACTGTAAAAAAATTAACAACATCGTGTTCGGAATAGTTCTCCCACCAAGCAACTAACTGATCTTCGTTTAAATATTTAATGACAAATAAGAATATTAAAAGGACATCTTTTACTTCTTGAGGTTGTAATTTGTCATATCTCAATATATGAGAGGTTGTACGCGTATGGGTTTTTATCTCTCCATTTCTGATACTGTCATCTCTAACGATGGTTGTGTCTTGAGAAATAGTGGATTGTGCATCTCCAGACATTGCAGATATATCTGAATCCACACTTAGAGAATTTCCATTAACTAAAGCTAAAAAATTAGGCAATTTTTAACATTTACAAATATAAAATGTACTATACAAAGGGGAAGACTGGCACAATTTACACATTCTTAATTAATACAGTAAAAACAAACAACGTGCAAGAAAACAGGTCTAAAAAGTTTGCAAATAAATGTGATTTATCTGCGTCTTGATGAGAGGCAACACGGTAAATTAGTGATGACATATGTTTATGGACTAAATAGATTTTGAACTTTTATCATTTAGTTTGTGATTTCAGGTCTTAAAATAAGTAAGCAGATTATATTCATTTAAAAACTATAATTAATAATTACAATATTTGGTCACAAATTAAAAAAAAACTCAAAAAATCAAAACGTATAAGTTAGTATCAATGGTAGAATGTTTTTTTTGACTGGTCAGGAAATGTCATACTAATTTTTTGAATGAGTGGTAATTTCATACAAAGGTGGATTATGAGTTCTAATTAACGTAATTAAGTTTAATTGATTAAGCAAAGCAGGACAGTTGATAATTCCAATTATTTAATTAAAAACATTTGCAGCTGGTTGTAAGAACATCCTTTAAAATTTACGAATCTGATAAATTTTGAGAAATGTTTAGACTGTGCTAAGTTTACGTCATTCTGAGAGAACATTCTCAATCTATGAACGTTCTTGCAACCAGCTGATAGTCTAGTAATTTTACATTTGAGTTTAGAAGTAGCTTTTTAATTTTAATTATATAAAATAAACAGGAAAAGAAAAACTTGTTAATATCATTGACAAACATTTTTAAGTTTAGTGGACTATAATTAGATCCCTAAGGGACTCCATATAAAACGGGAAACGCTAAGGAAAGTTGATAATCAAATCTTACAAATTGTGAACGATTATATAAACAGTCCTATCCATATAAAGTTTTTTTTTTATCAAAATACTGTGACTAACTTTATAAAATGCCTGTCAAAAATCGGTCCCAATTTGTAGTTTTCTTTTGAATATATTTAGCGGGTGTTAATTATTAATTACCAAATTGGAGTTTGTTGATATGCCTAAAAGAAAACCACGTTGTTCTATAGTAAGCTCAGTTTCTATAATATTCAGCAAAAAGATCTACTGCATCAATTTTTTAATTACTGTTCGTATTATTAAGAAAGAAGTATTACTTACATTGACCTGCAATGGCATCAAAAAAGGTTGAATTCCTAATATGCATAGGACTATCTTTGTCCATGTGTAAAGTAAACCGGTGGCTTCTTGGTGTACACTCGCTGGCTGAGCTTTTTCCAAAAAGAAAAGAACTACTAGAAGACATTCTATTAACTATACTATTATTGCCTTCTTCGTCTATTTCACCCTTGACATCTAATCTACTTAAATTTTCTAACACCACAGTCAACCAAGGTAGGTAAATAAGCGCTATCCTGCTCATCTGTCTCTTATTCTGATACCGGTCATCCAATTCGTGCTTAGCTATGAGACTTTTCAGCGTATTAAGTGATGTTTTTCTAATGTGAGTTACTTCGTTTAAAGAAGTTCTAACTTCTTGCAGGAGCAAACCGACTAGGAAATGGTGTTTGCAAAACTCTTCAGATAGCGTAAAGTCTTGTGTATTGTCCGGAGACTTATTTCGAGGACTCAGCTTGCTGTATTGTATGGGCAAGTTAAAAGATATGTAGTGCTCGTGGTTAGAAATGATTTCCAAGAAGTTAAATTTATATTCTTGAAGTACCCTGGAGTCGCCCGGACTGAATTTGTCCATGTAAGATTTGATGATTTTGAAAATGAAGCCTCTGTCTACCAGAGAAAGACATTTCTAAAAATAAAGCAGCAATTAGCGTCTAATCCTGTTCGGACGATCAAAATACGGAGCCAATATGCTATATTAGGGATGACGTGTTCCAATGAGAAATAAAAATAGGTAAATAGTGCCTTAGCACCTTCTTTGGTGTTAAAAAAAAATAAATTTCTAGAAATAAACTTTTGCAAAACAAAAAATATAGATTACCTTTAAAAAATATGCCATGCTCTTATTTAATTCCTTTGTTTCTATAGGCATTTCCTTATATTTATTCAGTACGTAAGGCATCAAAACTTGCATTAAATGTTCTATTTTCTCAAGGAAATCTGTAGAAAATCTTTCATGTCGATGCATCTATAATAAAAAAAATAAAGGAAATAAATTCCATTACTCAAATTTGACCAATTTAAAAATAAAAATAAAGGAAAATGAGAAAAAAAGACCGTGGCACATAATGCTGAGCCACCATTTTCCTCCTATAAGTATTTAATTACATTATAATAAAAACGGCAGAGAGCAAATTATTTTCAACACTAAGGAGAACGTCAATTTTGGACCAGTTTCGCCGTATTTTTAGGACTCCTCAGCAAGTAATAGACATTCTCAATTCTAATCTCATTTTCTTTTATTTTTATTTATAAAAAGTAAAAGAGTATAGAATTTATTTCAAAATAAAGTAATGAAAAATTGTAATTCACAAACCTTAATCCTTCCGGAGTTGAGCAGATGCTGCGCCATACCCTTAATGATAACTTCAAAAAAGAAATCAGAATGGTGCATAAATTTATTTACTACTAAAAAATCGGTATTATTAGGATGCAAAATTACTGGTAGATGGCGACACATTTCTTCATGAACGGTTGTAGCCTTCTTGCTGTCGGGAGATACGAAAACGTATTTTACGTAAGCATGCAGTATTTCCTTTCGTTTGACGTCGTAAATCATAGTCACTAAATTTATCAAAACTCTAATGACATTTATACCTATTTCTTCGCTATTGGTCATGACTAACAATGTAAAAAGTTGATTAAAAAGAGTGGGTAAAAAAGTTATGAGCGTTGTCAGGTGAATGGCGTGTAAAGCTTTCAAAATTTTACACGTTTCGCTTTCTGATGGTATAGATGTCGGTTTTGTGTCCAACAGTCTTTCGGCGTGATTAAAAAGATTGTATAAATGTTGGTCTTTTGTATATATAGTGGAGACTAAGTTAAATCCTACAGTAAAAATTGGCTTCTGGCCGTCTATCCAAATTATTTCAGGACCCGCATTCTAAAAAAAAAATATATATTGATAACCAAAAAGCCCACAAGAAAGAAATACTATTATACTTACGCCTTTGCCCAATCCAAATGGATGAATAGACAAATATCCTGGTAACAAGTGAGCAGCTACAGGTATAACTTGTGTATCTACATTCAACTTTCCCTTCTGCAGCAATGGTAACCAAGCATAACCGACACAATTCTCTATGCCATTCTCTCGCTTCTTGGTAATATCACAGGATATATGGTAAAAAGTAAATAACAAATGATGAGAGAAAAGCAAATTAGTTGGAAGCCTTATTTTGACCTCTTCATACCAAGTAGGAAAGGTATTGTGATGCAAAACAGCGCATGAGGTTTGTGACACCAATAGAGGTTGTCCAGGCCTGCCATAAATGCACTAAAAGAAAACAAAATGGGTCAAACAATAACAAAGGCTACAATAGGAATCTAATGAATTAGTTGTATTTCATTACCTGTAAACCTTTGGCCTCTTCATTATCAGAATCCCTAACTTCTATGACGCAAGCTATATTCCTAGCCCTCGCAAATGTCTTTTGCATGTCAAAATTTAAATTTAAAGGATACACATATAAATGATTAGTAAACGTGGTATAAGGATTTATATCTTTATCTGAAAGACCCTCCAATTCTGCTAATTCTAAAGTTGGCTCAGAAGTTGGTGGCAAGGGAAACGGTTTCAGAGGTGCTAAAGATGTTGATAAAGTATCTACAAAAAGGGAATTAATTATAAATATATACGTTTTCAAAATGCGAATATAATTGAATTGCATGATGGATACTGTTCCTAATGTATTAGAAAAGCTTCCAAAGTAATTAAAAAATAAACATCATCTAATTCAACAGACATTCACAATCTTAAAAATCAATTAACTCTCCACAAACAGTTGGAACTATATTAAATAATTTTATTTTGAGATATTCATTTTAGTCCGATATCGTTGCCGAATTCTGTTCAACATAAAGACAGCTCTCTTTAAAAATACATCTCAAGTAAGTGAAACAGCAATACTTTCCATGCTGTAAATTTTACGCTTCTCTACTTGTCGTTGCCTGCTGACCGATCCGGTCTGGAATATGGATGGATCGATAGTACCATGGACGTACGAAATTTCTAATAAGGAATCGCATTTCGCGTAAGAAAAAGACGGGTATAACTTTCCGCAAAGTAGGTGTCCCGGGACGTGGTGGTCCCCGGCAGTGAGTAGAGGAACTTAAAAATTTCTAACCATCGACGAATAGTTTTCTACTTCTGCTTTCAAGCCTCCGAATGACAAGAAATTTGCATAAGCAGGCCCGGAATTAGTATCGTTTTAGGAAGAAATTTGAAAAGATTATTTATAGTTTGTAAATTACTTTTCATGTCATAAAAAGTTTAAATTAAAGTATGCTAAAATGCAAATAAACCAGTTTAACTTTCTTAGCAAAAATCAAAAAAAAGAACACAAACTTTGGAATGCACTAACTTATATAAATCAAATTGTGTATGTATATGCATATTACATATGAAAATGAAAATTATTTTGAAATGGGGGTTTAAGGGGGGTTGAAACTTAAAAACAAGCTCTATAATGGGACAAAGCCTATTGATTCTTCAAAAAATCTGATTAGGGCGCTTAACGGGGGGTTGAAATAAAAAAAAATCAAAAACGAGAAACGATAACTTGAAATTTTCAGGACAAATCAAGCTCTATATGAAGACGAAGCCTATATATAAAAATGGAGTAGTTAAGGGGGTGAAATTTAAGAAAGTCAGAAATAAAAACAGAAAAGTGATATCAACTTGAAATGTTTAGTAAAAATCAAGCTCTATAAGGGGATAAAGCCTATTGATTCTGAACAAAAATTGAATAAAAATGGGTGGTTAAGGGGGTCTGTTAAACTGTGAAGAGTATAATATTGAATGCCAAGCATTATATATCTTCATTCTAGTTGGGAGGGTTAATGAGCCTACATTGAATTGTATATACCCCAATGTCTTTCTCTTTTAATTTTGATTTTATATAAAAACTACTTTGATGTCAAAAATATCTCTCAAGCATGAATGTCATAAATATGACCATACGTGCAGATGTCTGTGTGTCTGTATCCACAATACCTCAAAAATGTATACAGAGAAAAACAATAAATTTAAAATTTAGGGCTTTAATCCATTCTCTAACGAGATGATTAGATTGTGGGCATATTCGGAACATCTGGGGGTACTTTATAGAGATTCGTTTTTCTACTTTAAGCAATATATCTGTTATTTACGCTCAGAGAAAAAAATTCGTCAAATAAAAGTTGCTTGTGATATGTATGTATGTATGTAGGTATTTGAATTTTGACCTACCCTGTACAGATTTATTTCGAATTAAAAAATAGTGTATCGGCATAAAATGTAGACTAACATCGAAAATCTTTTACCACAAAAGATTGGTTTTCAATTGTTTCTTTTACAGTCTACAGGCCATTGAGATCAATATGATTTTCATATAAAATTGGTATTAGCGTATACTCTGTATAATCACATACTATTTGGTATTGTTATAATGGGAAAAGCGAGGGCAATTCAAATATAAAATAAAGGGCGTTCCATTTAAAAAACCTAACTTTGATGTTTCACTTTTTTGGAGAACCCTGTATGATTAAAATTATGTTTAAATTGTTATCTTTTCGGACATACATCTCGTTGTAAAAATAAATTAAAAAAAAAAAACAATAGTTTTGGCTCTACAGATCGAAGCGTTACCGGTGGCTCATCCTGTACATAAGTCATTACCTGACAAGGTTCATTTTTCAAAATTTCAATTAGATATATCTATAAAGACTTTTTGACTTGTTTTTTTAGTGAAAACAAAATATTAAAAAGTACCTAGGGAGAAACACATATACTCGTATAAACTTAGCCAAAAATATTAAACTTTGGTAAAAACTGTTGTTTTATTTATAGACAGAGCAGTAGGTATTTATATTATTAAAATTAATACCAATAATTACAAAGTATGACAGTAAGTTAAATTTCATTCGCAAATAAACATATTTTTTAACCATATTTGTTAATAATACATCGAATTATTTAATTAAATTTCAAAACGCTCCTATAAAAATTGTATTTATTCCGGCCCTGTTCTGCTTCAAGTGTTACAGGTTTTATAGCGCCATCTGTGAAATTACCTGGAACTTCTTACTGCACAGATTCCTACGAAGTGTTGTTAGGACATTTGATTTGCATTGTCCCTAGCCGATTAGGTTAATTAATAATTAGCTTTCAGGAAAACCAAACATTATTTTGAAGTTCGATTTGTTTCATTTATTTGATATGTTAGTTGTACGGGTGGTAACCAAAAGAAAACGTCTAAATATGTTTAGTTTTATAGTAAATACGTCATCAAGTCATGGGTTTCTATGTGGTTTGGATACCGGGGATCAAAGTCATTTTTCGAGTATTTTTACACTCTGTTCCTTTAGATTTCTTTACAACCCGTAGGCATAATTCTTAAACTGATTTATATATTAAAATTAATGCTACGAAGTTTACTTTTCCCAAAAGCTTCGCCAAAAGTAACGTCTGCATATACGGGGAATTAACATGGGCGATCGCCAGTCTTAATGTATCATATTTCACGTCGTTTAATATATATATATATATATATATATATATATATATCTAGCTACGTGGCATTACTGGGACTCCATTCCATAAATGGCCTACCAAAACTCCACCGTATATACGCCATTATATACACCGTTATTTGTAAAGACTAATTCAACTACCATTAGTTGGATAGGTCAACGTAACGTCCACTATATACATTTGACATATGTTTTGACACTGTTTATGTTAATGCGCCTCCTCTTACTAGAGAGAATGTATTTACTGAGGCTCCAAGCACTGTTGCCACTTTTTAATAATTTATTTAGCAAAAGGAAGAAAAACTTAATTACTCAGACCATATGTTTTTATTTAAAATAATAATAACCCGTTGAAGATAAACCTTCTTAGCGAGTAGTATGCGAATTCGTCGTTTCTGCCGGCAAACCAATTGCAATAGTTCTATTCTTTTTAAGTCTTCTCAAGTTTTGTGTGTATATATTATAATGACTTTTTTGCTCAATACTAGTTTAAAATTAAAATTTTTGTTTTCATAAATGTAATAATGGTGTTTACAAAAAGATGAAAAATTAAATAATGTTGTTACAGATACCTCTCAGAAATTTTTCGCCGATATTATTATTACATATAAGGTTTTAAAAGATCTGGCTAAACAATGACCGATATTGTTTTAACAACAACTGAAGAACATTTAAAAGAAGTAAATTATAAAATCACCTCAATGAATAATATATCAGTACGCTTTAAAGAAAATAAAAATCTACATGATAAATTTGATGAACAAGAACAAAAATATAGATTGAAACTTTTACGTCTACATAGATTACCAGAAGGTACTAAAAATAATTTATAAAATAAAATATTTGATGGTTTTAGGTTTTAAACAATGCAGAACTTTTTATGAAGAATAACTTTTTCTCGTTAATTTAATAATAAAAAAGTTTTTAATATACTGCGTACTTAAGTGGACTCACTGTATATTTAAAACTGGTTAAAAAATTATAGAAATCTGTTAATAGTTTCTTACTACATAATATAAATTTTTAAACGAATTCAAAAAAAAATCCTTAAAGCTTACTGATGAGTAAACATTCTCATTATATATCCATACGGTACGACTGGGCCCACCTTGTTAATTTTTAGGCTCACTAAGACTCTGCTGTAGAGTCCATATATTATTAACAGCGGAGTCTCAGTGAACCTAAAAATTAACACGGCTGGAGGCCCAGTCGCACTTTATAAATATAGCGAGATATATAGTTTAGGTATATATATTAGGACGTATATAGTACCTTAATATATAAAGAACCACAGTTCCATTAAAAAATATTTATTTATAAAAAATTCATGAAAAAATAAAAACAAACACGTAAATAAACATGTCATATTTGCACTAAAAAAAGGCCATAAAAAGAAAACTAAAAATTCAAACTCCTATGTAGCAAATATTCAACACTTTTTTGCGTACCGATTACACACTTTTATATTCTCCCATTTCCTATATTTAAAAATCTGATGTGTCCAACACATGACTTTCCTATCTAGTTATTATAGGCTTTTCCGGTTATTTTGTACAACCTATTGCAGCACTTCTATAAATGTTTAGAGGAGGATAAACCAAATATATACATTGTCCACATATATCTACCTCGAAACATTTATCTATAGATATTCATTGAAAACGGAAATACTGAAAAATTTAAATTTAGCACTTTTCCATTACGGTCCATTTCAGAAAAATCATGTATAAACAAAAATTATAGAGATCGATATCGCAAACAACTTTTAGTTCAACAATTTTCATAAAAATCAGAATTTTGCACATTTTGTCAAATTTCTCGAATACGGACCATTTCAGGAAAATTTGACATATAACAAAAATTATAGATAATAATATTAGAAGTAACTTTTATTTGAACAATTTTCTCCTCCAAACATAAATAACAGATATATTCCATAAAATATAAAAACGGCCTCCCATAAAGTATCCCCCCAGATGATTCGACTTTGTCCAAAATCTAATCATTTCACGTCAGGCCCAAATAAACCTTAAGTTTAAAATTTTGTTTTTTTCTTTATCAGTTTTTGAGTTTTCTTCAAAATTCGAAATTTACACATTTTCTCAAATATCTCGAATACGGTCCATTTTAGAGAAATTTTGTATAGAATAAAAATTATAGAGAATTATATTACAAACAACTTTTATTCAAACAATTTATATAAAAAATTAGTTTTTTTACATTTTGTCAAATTTCTCGAATACGGACCATTTTAGGAAAATTTTGCATAGAACAAAAGTTATAGATAATTATTTGAAGAATTTTCTTCTCCAAACGTAAATAACAGAAATATTCCATAACATATAAAAATGACCACCTATAAAGTATCCCCCCAGATGTTCCGACTCTGCCCAAAATCTAATCAGCTCATTGGACGCTAAAACAAAGCTTAAGTTTAAAATTTGGTGTTTTTCGTTGTATCGGTTCATGAGTTATACAGACACACACGCACACGCACACGTACACGTACACGTACACGCACACGCACACGCACACCCACACCCACACCCACACACACACACACACACACACACGCACACGCACACACACACACACACGCACGCACACACACACACACACACACACACACACACACACACACACACACGCACGCATACACACACACACACACACACACACACACACAGAGACATCATCGCAAAAATAGTCAAAACGGATTCAGGGGACCTCAAAACGTAAAAATCCGTCGAAAACTCGAGGTCAAAAAAAATCATGATTCCTCTACTTTCCTTATATCTGTATACAGATAGGAAAGTAAAAATTAATCATTTTAGGTTAACTGAGACTCTGCTGTAGAATCCGTATATAATGGATAGCGGAGTCTCAATAAACCTGAAAACTAGCAAGGCTGGAGGCCCAGTCACACTCTATAGATATAGCGCTAGATATAGTGTATATTAGGAACATATCTTATAGTACCTTAATATACAAAGAACCACAGTTTCATTAAAAAATATTTATTTATTTTTGTGTACCTATTACAAACTTGTATACTGCCCCATTTAGTATCTTTAAACCTGAATATATATTTTTTTTTATTTGAAATTTTGGGAAACTAAACCAAGGAATGTACACTACCTTTTTAATTATATTAGGTGACGTAATCATTAAAAATGGCAGACGGGAGCCGTTATGGCAAGTGATATATTATTTGAAACCCTTTCCAATGATATCAATATAACTAAAATATTTTTTCTTTTTACTCATAATGAATTCTTTGTTTTAAATGTTCAATGCTTTCAACTGGTGTACCACAAATATTTAACCTTTGGCACTGTATTATTCTCGTTTAAAATCAAAGATTTTTATGAATTCATATTTCATGACGGATCAAAAAATAAATAGGAGGTGGAGGGACTTTAGATCCGCATTGTATAATCGAGAGCAGAGGCTATGTGAACCTGAAAATTAACACAGCTGGAGGCCTAGTCGTACCGTATACATCTTCAAAAATCTAAACGCGGACCATATAAGCGAAATCCATTAGGGACGAACTTAAGTTGGAGTGAGGTGGAAGTCGTACATACCGTGAGTCAGGCCATTGAATAGGTAGTGCGCTGCACAGCTCATATCGCAATGAGTCTCAAGGATGTAAGCATACTTATATTTATTTAAATCTCTATATTCCACACGAAAAGTTCGAAATGGTATATTTTAATTTTGGATGCATGAAAATGAATAATCCACAATACGACACTTCAGTGGAAAGTCAATTTTAATGATTTATAGGACAACGTAACAAAACTTAATTCGAAGGAACATGAACTTAAATAGATTGTTGCCATTAAGGTTAAGAATAAATAAATGTAATGAAAATACCAATAAACCAAATTAACAAAATTATGCTGCACATTAAATTACTATTATAATAAGCTTTCAAATGAGCTGTCACACTTAACAATACGTACCACTTTTTTATCATGCTAAAGGGCGCTAAAATCAAAAGTAACACTATAAACAGTCACATTTCTAAAAATTATTCATTAAATTACATTTGCGTTGATGTGTAATACTTAGTACGTTTTCTATTTAAATTGTATTGGTTAGTAGTGGGAAGGAGGAGAGGGGAATGTTGTGTGTCAGTTTAGGATGTGATAAAAATGTGCCAGCCTTAGAATAAAAATTGACCTAATTTAAACAATTCTTTGTATTAATTTGAAGCAAGTGGTGATACAATTGAAATCAGCATAATAAAAGGAAGCTTAAAAATTTGTATGTTATGTTGGGAATGGGGTGCTAAAACACTACGACCTAAAATATTTATTGTACCCCTTTTGTCGCTAATGCAGCAAGGAAATGTCGCAATGCCTACAACGATCCTTACAATCATATCTTCCTTGAGTGGCTTCAAGTTAGGTAAATATCACTCTTCTATTTAATATGCTCTTAGGTATAGTGTCCTTGGATTTTGGAGTGCTACACATTGTCAGAATGTGAATGGAGGTTTTGTCTTCCTCTTCACAGAATCTGCTCACTATATTCTACTACTCTTAGTTTACTTAAGGTGTCCTTTTAGTGGGCAATGCCCAGTAAGGATCCCTGATACAATACGTAACTTGTTCTTGTAAAATTGGTAAAAATATAGGGTGTTCTATTTATAAAATACTGTCATTGACGTCATTACAAGATGATTACAAGATATATTGAATTATGAGAAAATAAACTAAATTAAAATAAAAAGTTTACTTATTTTATTTTACGTCTTGGTCATATATCACATTTGAGTTGGAATTTTCTTTTTATTTACTTTTATAATAATGCCTAAATATACGTACTAATCAAGGTGCTAACCTTATTATTTAAATAATAGCAACCAAAAAATTATTAAACATTTTCTAAAACAAAAATGTTTATTGTGGCATTTTATTTTCTACGGCGCTCTGTAGTACTTGTCGCGTTCAAGATCGAAATTGATACATTTTAATTTTTAAAATGACTCGAGTCGAAAGACAAAATCAGCGAGCCTCTTAGTACGTATATATAATCAACTGCAACGTTGCCAAACCAAAAGCGCGCAGCGAATAGCTTAAGGCGCCCAGTTGACATGTAACATTAAACATCTTATACACAGCGAAATGTATATTAGCAGCGCACCAAGCGGCGAACGCCTGAACTAATATTTTATACAGGATCAAAAAACGGCTCAAATGGGCGTCCTCGAGATTTTTGTGTTAATGGGTGTTTTAGGGTGTCTACATCATCTGGAACAATTTTCAATGGGTTGTCACTGGGGATCCGTATATCGGAAGCCCAGTAACAGCGGAGTCTCAGTGAACCTGAAATTTAACATGGGGGGAGGCTCAGTAATACTTTGTAGATATATATATATATATATATATATATATATATATATATATATATATATATATATATATATATTTAAATGTTATTAATAAAAATAAGTCTAGCATTAAACAAATAAAACCAATCTCAATCAGTTAATACTAGCATAAAGCATAACTGTATTAGAATCACCCGAGGCCAACACTACTCAAATACTCAGCCGTCGCATATGGCACCCCCTTAAATCGAAGTGGAACACTATCTCAATCAATTTTAGTTACTCGCTCATAACACAACTCGCACTGATTAAATATTAAATCAATATTAAATCAAATTTCCATTTGCAGGTATCAGATCAGGAGACAGTGTAGGTTACTTTTTTGAACCTCATGGTCTGATTCATCACAATATACTGTTCCGATTTTCCTCGTGGGTATACCTATGAACATTTTTTATATACGCTAATAGGTCCAAAAGAAACTTTATTAAGATATCAACAAACTGTGAAATTTCAATGACATCGTTTTTAACATTTTTGGATTAAAATTCGTTTTTTTTTTAATTTAACACAAGGTGGTAGAAACTAGTTTTAATAAGATGAGAAAACCTAAAACCCTATATCTTGGAAACTAAGCGTTTTGGGGCATATTATTTCTTGTGGTGTTTATTCAACTAAATAATATTCGATTGTAAGATTTATATTTAATATGACAATCTCTAGAATGACATTACATACATATTATATACTTAAAAATATAAAACGGAAAAACTATAGTAACCTAAATAATAATACACTACATTTTTATTAAGCAAACATGTTTATTTTGATGTCCCTTAACAAACCTAAAATTTTGTTGGAATATTTACCACTCGAGAATAAAAAGACTCAACTATGTGATCACTTAAAATATCTGCCCAAGACATATATTATTTGGTTTAGAAATTAATTTTCATTACTATTTGCAAGGAATTTAACAAGTATGGCTGGTTATGTAATTTAAATACTTTTCAAATGATATGGAATTCGTCCAACTTAGTTTTTATGTCTGCTATTTCAATATAAAATCGCTTTAAAAGAATTAAATAAATCATAAGTAAGGTATAATTATTACGATATTGTTAGACTTACTTGGTGGAAGATCATTTATGGTAGACAATTTTATATCTAAAGATCCAGGAATCACAGTAAACTTATTGAATTTATCGGGCTTTCTGTAGTCTGATAACAACTTCAACAACTCTTCATCGGTAATTTTATTTGGCTCTTGTCTGTAGATGGCGTGAAAATCGGAAGTCGTATCTAGCTCGTTACTATACAATCTAAAGGATTTTATAAAAACACAATAACATTTGCGATAATTTTACTTTTGTACTACTAAACTAAAAACTACTTGCCTAAAAACAGGTCTGGCAGCCCAGGCAAATGGCATTCTATATTTCCCAAGCCGCTGGCAACACATTGCAATATTTTTATAAACTTTTTGGCTTACTTTCGGATCCTTGGAGGCTTTAACATAAGGTTCTGATGTCTGGCCTATTCCTCCTTGCAGAACTTTCTCTATCCTAACGACTAGAAAAATATCGGGGTGTGGATTTGTAATACTCATAAGAGCTTGGCGTGGGTAAAACAGCCATTCTGAGTTTAAATTATCTGGAAGACCCAGTCTAAGATTCTTCGAATCACTGTTGATCCCATTAGCAAACGTATTTCTAATGCTATTGCTGTTAACGTCGAAATGAAAGTTTTCAGTCAGTTTTCGCCCGTATTTGGCATCAAATAGGCACAAAGTTGTATGGTACGGTTCCACTTGGCAAAGATTTTCCCTATCGTCGACTACTTGTAGTTTTAACCTAATATTTTCGCATCTCAGAAATACCCTAAATCCGAACACTTCCTTATAGGGTTCTACTTGGTCTTGACTAGAATTTTGAGGTTTGAAATTCATCGCTAGGTGCGGATGAAGCTCAAATATCTTATGGCGATTTTCTTTTCTTAAATGTGCTATGCTATGATCAGTCTCACGGGCGTATTTCATTAATTGGGGATTCATGCTTTGTTCGAGTCCTTTCAATGTCCCAAACGGTTGAATTTGTGGAGATGGTGGAGGTGTACTACGTTCTGAAACAACAATTTTCTTATCAAACGAGAAAAATCTTCAGTACAGGAAAGCACTACAAAAATTACAAAGAACAAAGATGAAAAATATAAGAAAAGAAAAACAGTAGATATATTACGAACAAGACATGAAAAATATTGATCAAGAAGACAGATATACTATCACCCAACGCGGATATAATGTCAACCAATATGAATGTACATTTTTAGAATAAATGGCATCATGGCGACATCAAATAAGAGTATGTATTAAAATATGCTAGTACAGACCTACATTATCTACCACAATGTACATGTGCACTAGATAGCTGTCGAATTTTGGGACACTCTGTATAAGTAGGCAATAACAAAGAGGAGATATTTACATAAAAAAAACTTTTTTCATCTATACAAAAATTACTAATCTAATAATTGAACATTTTTATTTAATCTTGAAATTTGAATTCACTTAAAAAACACAGCATGTGATATGTTATTTAGAAATAATAATATTTATTTTATGATAAATCTAGACTCTAGACTTTTGTAGTGCATGATAAAACGTTATTAGATAATAATTCAGCTAAGAAATATTTCTGATAAAAGTTACAGAAGTCACAGAAAGAGTTTATCATAAATTGTGGTTTTTAATGCTGTCATTTTATATATATTATTCTGAAATTATGTAATTTCAATAGATATAAAAAAATAAAAGCTTACTTCCGGTCAAAATAATTTATAAAATACTTCAGATTATCATAAAATAATATTCTATCGCTACTTACTCATTAAAAATATAACCAAAGTGTGAATCATATTTATCAAGCTGATTGTAGTTTATCAGAAAATTTCAACAATTAGCAAGAAATTCCTGTTAGTTATTTAATACCGCAGAAGATATATATTAAATATTCTACAATTTAGAAAATATAATAAAGACATAGTTCTTACCTCTTTCTAGAGATGCTGCTCGCTTCTCCTCTTGAATTTTATTTTGTTGTAAAACTGAACTCAATTTACTCAACCAATCTTTAAAATCCCCTTCATTTTCTGATGCTAATAAATATGATTTATGACCAGACGTCATTCTCAACTCGAAACAAAATCTTCCCCTTTTTAAATTCTAGAAAAACAAATTCTTTATTTATAGTACTTTCTTAATATTGATTTTTGTTTTACCTTTACTACATCTGTGCAAAAATCCATTACTATTGTGACTTTAGCTTCGCCCTTTTTCTCATCTTTGTACATTTCCAAAATATAAGTACCATCTACTTCTTGTCGTAAATAGCAATACCTTCGTTTAAAACTTTTTGAGCCAATGTTTACAAACGACCTTTCGTATCCTATTTCCGGTCCCTTCAATAAAAACCCCTCCTTCGTTATATTATCTAACCTCGGTTTCAAATCGTCCACTGCATCAGTATCGATGTCAACTTCATAAATCTCTTCTTGAAACTTTTCCTCTTTCGGTTTTATCGGTAGATCTACGCAACTTCCGGAATAAGCGCTGTATTTGTAATGGATCAGGTTCCAATTGCATGAATAGTTTTTGATGCATTGTTTCGTAAATAAATTGCAATTTTCTGTTTCGTCGGTTGGGGGAAAGGTTTGGGATAAGGTTCGGAATCTTCTAGGTAACACAATTTGCTAAAAATACAGAATTATAGGTAAAATACTTTTAAATGTGTTAATATAAAAGGGTCAGTTTCAATGGTGGGTTTTATTTCATCCCAATACAAATATTTCCAAATTCGACGCGCTATTAACAGAAATAGTAAAACTCGACAACCGCGGGTTGATATTTTATTTTTTCTTTAGTTTTGCAATAGTCGTGCCAACTTAATTATTACTTTAGACAAGCTCGGATTTTAGATAACACTGTGTAAAGCAGAACCCATTTGGGTTAAAGTCAGGGCTTAATACATGACGGTAAAATTTTTATAGGCCCGATTCGCAATCGTTCTCTTCTTGATACATCATACTTTTTCCTTATACAAAGCGCAGCATAAGATATCAATGGAGTAGATCAGCGTTTCTCAACCTTTTTTGGCCCGCGGACCAGTAGATTTGTTAAATAAAAATTGCGGACTGTAAATTGCGTGACAGTAAAATTTCTCCGCGGACCACTAATGGTCCGCCGGACCAGCGGTTGAGAATAGCTGGAGTAGATAAATTATGTTCTATATACAACGATTGGAACTTAAAATACAATTAAATAAGGAAAAATGTTTGAAATTCATAATATATTAACGTTAGCACTGTATTCATTGCTCAACTAATAGCAACGTTTTATAATTTTGTTTTAAAAATGTTAGAGAATGTGTCCTAATTTTCCTAGGTAGACTGTTATATATTGAAACGGCGTTATATGTGAAAGATCTTTTGAAAAATGATAATCGATAATTCGGAATCGTTAAGTTGTGTGGATATCTCAAATGTAAACTGTGAAGATTTTTCCGATACATCAATTAATTTTTTTAAGTATATAGGAGTTGAGGTTGAAAGAATTCGAAATACCGTGGCCGCCATCTGATATTTAAACACATTTCCTATATTGAGCCAGCTAAGTTCTTTAATTTTATTTGATATTCTATCATACTTTCTGATACCAAATACAAAACGACAACAAGAGTTCTGAATCGTTTGAAGTCTGTATTTGGTTATTTGATCCAAACAAGGATAGTAAATTAAAAGTCCATAATTTAGGATGAGATAAGACTTTCACAGGGCAACTTACATAATTTGAAACTCAAAATACCTCGATTCCTGTATAATTGACGAATAACCAGATACGATTTTTTGACTAGAAGCAAAACATAGTCCTGAAACCTTAGTTTGCAGTCATAAATAATGCCTAAGTTTTTGGCACTTCTACATGATTTTAGAGGTTCATTTTGAATGAATAACTCTGTTGCACATTTACTGGCATTTAGTTTAAGGTTATGATTCATAGAAAATATGCTGCATTTAGATCTGAATTCATGTTTTGCGAGGCTATATCTACTTCACATGGGTCAAAGGAATAATATAGTGTTGCGTGTCTCAGCAAAAGAGTGAATATTTACATGCTCCAATAATTTATAAAGGTCTGAAATATATATGGAAAACAAAAGTTGACCAAGAGCCTTGGGGTACTCCTGATGTTACACACATAAAATTAGATGATTTCTCTAACGTTACTTTTTAGTAGCGGTTACTTAAATAAAATTTGAAAAATCTTAGTGAGGTTCCATCGAAACCAAAATATTTGAGTTTGGCACAAAGAAGCTGATGATCTATAGTTTCAAACGCTTTAGAAAAGTCAAGCAGAGTAACTGCTGTAGCTTTTCCTTCATCCAATGATCTTATAATGTTATCTGTTAAATCTAAGAGTAATGTTGTAGTACTAAACCCCTTTCGAAAACCTGATTGTTTAGTGGTTACAATATTATGAGAAAATACATATGTATATATTTGTTTACTAATTACTTTTCTATAATTTTGGACAACGTCGGTAAAATACTTATGGGCCGAAGGTCGCTAAATGTTTCAGGCTTATTTGATTTTGGCAAAGGCTTGATTAAGGAATACTTGCAGCTGTCAGGAAAGTAACCAACTTCTAAACCGCAATTTACAATGTGCGTTATGTAAGGAGCACAGACTGAAATAGAAAGTTGTAACATTTTTACTGAGATGTTATCAATTCCTAATGCGTTTGATTTTAATTCCAAAACTATTGACTTAATTTCATTTACTGTTGCAAGTTTAAAAGGAAAATTAATACCAGGATTAAATAGATTTGAATTATAATAAAATGTAGTGTTAGGACAACAATTTATCTGACTGAATACCAACGTAAAATACTTGTTTATATCAGTAGGGACACTTAAGCCATCAGGAATATGGAATGAAGTTTTATTTGAAATATTCAGGGATTTCATTGCTTTCCAAAGGTCTTTTTTGTTTTGCATGATAATTGATGATCAATGACTCCTGCATTTAAAACTAAATCTGTCCTATTCGTGAAAATTACATCTAATAGTGTCTGAGAAGTTATAGTTATACGAGTGGGCTCTGATATTAACTGTGAAAAATTCTAAGATTCCATGCAATGATTTATTTGGTTATCAACCAACTGATTTCATTCATAGTATAATTAAAAGGAAATATTGTGATGCTATCTATAATGTGACTGGAGAGATGGACATTTGATAGAGCTTAATTTTCACTCTCATAAATGTTTTGTTAGGTTGTATTTATCAAATGACTGAAATACTTGCACAATTTATATTGGTGGGAGAGAATCTGTTATCTATAAGGTGACCGCGAGCTATTTTATATCTCCAGTAAAAGTACTACTCCAGGCGACGTTCGTGTGATATCTATAGGGTGACCCACCCTTCGCTGTGAGATTCCTGTTGGGTAGATTTTAGCGATAGTTATATTTTCTTGTAGACACTACTATTATCGTTTTTAATCACGGAAACATCATCTTGGAACTTCTTTTTAGAACAGTATTTTCAAAGCACTATCTACCCAGTTTTAAAATCAGTTATTAGTGGCCATATAGTCTGAAGGAGTTATTCCGTGTTGAAAAGAGAAAACATACAGTCTTAATATGTACACTCATTTTTAGAACATCCTATATATTCGTACTTTCTAAATAGTCTGTAGTTAAATAACAACACTGTCTAATAATAAACCAAAATTTTAAAAATCTAATGTATGTTTCTAAACTATACTGTCAGCTCAGATTGTAGTAACTATTTTTATTGTGTGTATATTAAGCTTGTTGAATACTTACAGACATATCATCTGGGGGATAAAGTAACAGCTCTCTTTCAGGATCATTTTGAAGAACTGTTTTGTTTTTAATGACGAATTTCTCAAAGTCAAGAGGCTCTACTCGATGTGGTTTATTCTGAAACGGTAAAAATTTGTAAACATTTTTAAAAACCATAATCAAAGTTACAAAAACATCTACTCGATGTGGTTTATTCTGAAATGGTAAAAATTTGTAAACATTTTTAAAAACCATAATCAAAGTTACAAAAACATCTACTCAATGTGGTTTATTCTGAAACGGTAAAAATTTGTAAACATTTTTAAAATGGATAATCAAAGTTACAAAAACAAATAGTGTAGATATATTAAACACATTTTCAAAAACTTGATTCAAATGTGTTGGTATGAAGTTCATTTCCAATGTGCTTTTTGTTTGTGTAAATTGAAAAATTAATGAATGTATTTTACTTTATTACATTTATCTCCGACTATATCACTTGTGAGGAATGTGCAGGTATGACGCAATTAAAGTAAGTATACAAATATAGACATTTAATGTTGGGGAGTAAGTACTACAAAATTATTAATAGTATTCTGCAATTTTAAATAAATTGTTAATGCTGTTTTATCTAAATTAATTTTATGGTATTTAATATTATTAAGGCACAGTTAAAAACTTGACTCAAAAATAAGAAGTAATCTACAAAAAAATGTTTCTAAAGTAGGTCTTTTTTTTTTAGTTTGGATTTAATCCAGAGCCACACATAGTTAACTCAGACATGACTTGTTAATCATGGTCTAATTTAAAAACATTTTTTATAGATCACTCTTTATAATAAATACAATGCATTATTAGAAAAATCTAGATATTGTTGACAAGACCTACTTCATAAATAAAGTCAATATTATATGATGACATCTTAACCAATCCCAATATTAATATAAATAACGAAGTAATAAATGGCAAACCTATTTTGCTACAATTCTACTTAAAAATGTTATTCATTTGTTCAAATAAATGATAAGAATTTATTTCTCCATAGGGCGTAGGTACCCAATTATGTTTTTAAAAACTTGATAACAATTTAAATAGATATAAAAAAATATATAAAGGTAAAAGTATGTACAATTAACAATCTTTTGTTTTGTTTCATAAAATGATAAATTATTCATTTAATTATTTGCTTTCAAAAATGTAGAAAGTATTACTAAGTATTCCCAATTAAAAATAGGGATCACATGGTTTTCTGATTATTTAGGATTTGATACTATTTTTTCAGTACATGAAACTTTTTTATCTACCTTTTCAGCCCTTTCAACAAGCACTACGTTGTTAGCTACGCCCTATACCATACTATATATAAGGGAATTTTGACTCCAGACTTCCTTTATATCCTCAATTAAATTATTCTGGATCTACAAGAGCAGATGAGGGGCATCAATTTTTTGTTTTATTCTCTTTTACTCTCTTTAGGTGTCAATGTATACTGTAGATATTTTCTATCTGAATCTGTATAACATCGTTAAAAATACAAGTGTAATGAATTTGTTATTACTATACAGTATCAGCTATCGAACACTTTCCAATATGCCTGTGCACAAGGGCGGTATAAACTAGCAACACTGATATTCGTTTCCTGTACTCTCTAATGCTAACTTTCTGTAGTTTTCACATTCACTTGTGTAACGGTTATTGGAAAAGGTTCAGTGGTGACACTGTATATACCTATACACACTGTTTTCCAAGATATATCAAATTTCTTCTGTATTAAATATTATTATTAAGTAAAAATTATATCAGTGTTAAAATAAAATAAAGAAATATGATTTGGACAAAATACAATGTTTATTTAGGACATCTTTTTTAACAACTATTTCAACACAAAAGAAGTTATTTCAACTCATTTCTACACAAAACGCTTATTTTAATTCAACTTTTGCTCAATAATAATTTCATCAATTTGTATTACTTTCGTCATTTTTTTCTGTTTCTTGTTCTGAATTTTCATCTATGGGTTTCATCCTACTTGCGGCTTCTTTAACAGCAGCCACAGCTCTCAGACAAACTGGATCATACTCAGAAATCATATTGAATTTCATGTTTGTTATGTTACATTGAAAAATTTTTCTCTTGTACATTATAATTTCCAGTCTATTAAGGAGGTTCATTTGCCGAATTTCTATTTCAAATCCTAAGTCAGTCAGATGTTTTATTAGACCATACAGCCTCTGCGCTCTGTGGGTTATCACTCCATGAGCTTCATAAGGGCCATACTCAATTTTTACAACTGAATCAGCAGTTTGATCCAAAGCAGAATTTGTTATTTTAAACATCATAAATAAGAAATGTATCAATTGAATCAGTGTACATGTATTTTAATGAAATAAATCATTTTGTATGATCTTCAAAATGATTGAAATATTCAAATGAGGTTATTGTCAACCTGACAATTTCATTTATTGCATGTGTAAATGTGATTGATGAAACGCTAACAGGTTCTAGTTATGAAGACTAGAGATAAGGAGACGAATCAGCATACTCGAAATACTGTCCCAAAAAAACGCACGCTAATTGAGCTTTTTTAATTCACCGCAAGGGCGCTGCTGCTAGTACCGCTGTTCAAACTACATAATTATGTCAAAATAATAAAAATAAATTTGTTTATTGCCAAATAAAGCACAAAATATAGTGTTGTATTTATTTCTAAATAAGTCTTGCATGTTTTAATTAATAATTTATTTATCTATATAAAATGCAATTTAGGTAGGTATGAACCAATTCGAAAAGATTTGTTAAATGATGAAATTTGGTAAGTACAATTTTGTGTCTAATTTTTTTTGAATTATACCTAAACATAGGAGTTAAGAGCAAAATAAAACACAGTTAACAGATTTTTTATTGTTATAATACAAGCATAGAGTGAGATTTGGTAATGTATATGATATTGCCAAATCCTTTAATTTCGGCATTCCCCTTTTTATTTTGTTAACAGTACCATCAGTAAAAAGTGTCTTATAATATCTGGAAATGTCTTCTAACAAGTGTAGAACAGCATCATCTCTAGAAAGTGCCATAGGAATGATATATTTGCTGCCACTGTTCTAAGCATTTAGGATCCTATAAAAAACATTTAAAATGACAAAATTGGGGTCCACTAAAAAAATAACAGTAGCAACTCTTTATCTAACATTAAAAAACAAATTTTCTTTTCTAGTAAATTAAATTTAATGTATAATTATTGTTGTGTGTAAGTCAGGATCTATGACTGCAAAATTTTATTTTATAGAAACTTGTAATAAAATAAACTACACTCCATAAGATACATATTGTGACTAGTTTACAATAAATATTATATTTAGACATAAATACATTATTTTACTTACATTAAAAGCTTTAAAAAGACATTGGATTGATTTCTCCTTGTGTTTTCTTTAGTTTTACGTGTGATTTGTATCTTTTTTACAATGTGGAATGAAGTAAATCTTACTTTAATGTTTTTTGTCACTCAAGTTACTTGTACTCAGGTACTTTTTTTCACATTATTTTGATTCTTTTCACCATTTTTTTAAAAAATCGCTTCATTTTACATTGACTTATATAAAAAAATGAACGTCAGTGACGTTCGACCTGCCAACTACAGTCAATTTAGCAAACTTTATAAAAAGGACAGAAATTTGATCATTGCCAATTCGCCTCCTTATATCTAATCTTCCTAGATCCCACATTAGAAAATTCTACCCTATCTGTTATGTTGATTAAACATAACCTGAAATATGATATAAAAATTAATAAAGCATTACTAGGTTGCCTATATATTCCCCTTAATTACAAAAAGTTGAATTATTTTTTCTTACTTCCCTCATTTGATATTTAAATAAATATTGTATCATTTGAAAGTACGTTATAAAAGATGCTAAAAAAACTCATAGGTTGCCAATTTTTAACTTGACAACCTTAGTTTCAAGTTTATTTATTTATTTACGGGTCAGAGCCCATTAAAACAATACAATTACAGATAATACATATTACATACATTAAATAGTAATAAAATCCTAAATAATAATAAATTAATTTAAATACATAAATATTAAAAACAATTAAAAACAATCAAAAATCTACTCCTCACACATACATAAATGGTTAGAAAAATCTGATGGAGAAGTAATCCATTCCAAGTTACCAGCATTAAACAAATAATTTCATTAGATACTTATCCCCACCTATTATTCAAAGGTAACACAGCTTAAATTAAAGGTAATTTTAATTTCTAAATGATGGTACTGGGTTGCCTAAAGCCGGCTCCTTAAAATAAACTAAAAAGTTCCACAATTCAATTTAATACAAACAAATGATATCAACAAGGTCAGAATACACTATAAACCAGTTATCAGATTTCCCTAAAATACCTTAATTTTACATATTAGTAAGAGTAGATTATAACTAATCAATAACTTTCGGTTCTATATACATTACACCATGTGTGCAGACCAAAATATACTTTTCACACTGCTTTAATGGAATTAAAAATCTGCATACACCATGTGTGCAGACCAAAATATACTTTTCATGCTGCTTTAATGAAATTAAAAATTTGCAGTTGCGAATAAAGTAAATTTAAAACACATTTAAACCCAAGCTTTATTATAATTTATCTGGTTACAACTGTTACTCCATTCGATTTGCAAACAAGAGAACTGTTTTGTGTTGCACATCTTTGCATAGGACTATTTTTTTTTTACAAACAACCACACCACATTTTTAGGCTCTTGAAATATTAGAATCATTTTCTAAAAATTGCTATTTTTAAATAATATTGGGTGTTTTGCTAGAATGAAGCACTGCTGTTTTTTAAAGTATTTTTTATTTTTTTCAAAAAACAACTATACCACATTTTTAGGCTCTTGATATATTATAGACATTTAAAATACTGGGTGCTTTGCTTGCTTCAAACAAACCCGGCAAAGCACCACAGTGTTTTAAAAGTTTTTTCTAAAATCAAATAAACCACATTTTCAGGCTATTTTTAGGCTCTTGAAACATAAAACATTCCAAAAAAAAATGTGATCTACTTGTTTTTATAGAAAACCTAAAAAAAAAAAAACAAGGAGTATAAAAATAGCCTAAAAATATGGCATAGATTTCAAATCAAAATTCCTTAGTGGTTCTACTGCCTTCTTTGGCATATTTTGATAGAGTGTGCTTTGAGTAATTTCAAATTCTATACACAAGTCGCTCAGTCGACTTCAGGAGTTAAAATTCACTTATTGAATTAGGTAGAGTATTATTATTATTATCATAGATAATAAGAAACATTCCAGTTACTTAAACTTCATAAATATAAACAAAAATTTGTCAATATTAAAAACATTTTTCTAGGCAGTATGTACTTTCTTGAGATAAGTAGGTAAAAATGGTGATTTATTACTAAGGTAGGGTAATTTGGATATTGTATTATGTCCCACTATGGGCGGGACAGTCTTGCGTTCTCTACCCAAAGAATATAAAAATATTTCACTCAAAAAAAAAAAATAAAACTGTGGCAATACATTCTATAAAAGAATGATTTTTTCATATGAACATGGACTTGTGAGGAGTCTCAGTATTGAAAACCAAGGGTGACATAAACAAGTCATGTCAACAGTTCCTTTCCTATTTAAAAACCAAACCAAAATATAGGAAACCAGCCCACCAGACTGCACAAGATATTAGTTCTACATATTTTACTTTTCTAATTTTTAATAAATAAACTTAACTATGAGTATTTCACTTATTTTTAATAATTTGTTGCTTTATATTCTACTGTGGTTTACCATATTTTACTGTTGTCATTTTAGGCTAAAAATAATTAAAAATTACCCTGCTATTTACAGGCATCTCGCTCTGAGGAAAAAAAATATATTTAAGTACCTTATGTATACAATATAAAAGGAAGTGGCTTTTTTGATTATCTTTTTAATGATAAATCGTGTGATAAATACAAAATTAACAGTTCTTTCAAGAGTTAATTGCATAAACTTAAGTCATTGATAAAATATACTGTGAACTAAAAATATAATTACAGGATAAACATCAGATTTAATTGGTATTTGGGGAATACTCTACCTAATATTTGCATTCTGTTTACATGGCAATTTAGCACAGTTGAAGGTTTTTTCTTTATAAAAATAATTACAACAGGTGCCAAAAAAATGTTTTGACGTTAATATGTATTTCCTAGATATCGCAGATCATAAATATAAACTTGAGAGTATTTTTATCTTTAAGCACTCTATGCTGTTAAAACTAGATCGAAAATTTCAACTACTGCACCAATGAAAGTGGGTGTAACATTAAAGTAACGAAAATAGTTATATCCATTAAAAATAGAACAATACAATTTATTCGAAAACTTCCTAGAATGGCACTCGTCAACTTAAAATGTATGTAACTCGTTTTGTAAATCTAAAAATAAATTAGTTTAATTTTGGGCTTTCACTTACTTGCACGGTGCTTTCTCTAACAACTTGTGAGACAGTTTCCCTCAATTGAGCAGCCGTCCCAGGTTTTGTTAATCCACGAGCAAACTTCCTCTCGCTCATATTTGACACTGATAAATTAATTTATAAACAAATAATAACATATTTGACATTATTTACTCCCATTTCGCTTTTTAATTTCAATCAATCGACCGAGCATGTATAAAAGCATTGCAGTACCTAAACACAAACAACACAAAAATAAAACCTGTTATCAGACATAAACCACACAACCTTCGAAAACACACTGAATATTTACACAAGTACTTTTTGCGTTGCGGTAATAATAATGATGATATAACATTGATGAAGAGAATTGAATATTTCAAGGTTTATTTGCCGAATAGTTAAATAATAAATGTAAATATAATCCCATCACTAACTTTTAACGAGCCGCCTAATATAATTTACTTGACAGCTGACAATTGACTGTTTGGACAGTGGCACTTCATCATGAATCATGAGTTACAGAACGACTAACGGGAGATATACAAACGCTGTTCATGCTTTGCTCAAAATATTCCCTTACTTATATATACGAGGGATATACTAAACACAGTTTCTTTTTATTTTTCGATGGAAGTAAAATATTGCGTAGGTATCAAACAAAATTATTATTTTAAAATGTACCAATAATACATAAATTACCGGGTCTGTCAAACTAATAAATAAATCATATAACTATGGGTAATTTTTTTTAGGATATAAATTAATGTAACACCATACCTAACAAACATATATTCAAGACAATAATAGTTTGTTGCTTCTTTATACATTGATCCCAGAACACACCCGCAAATAGTTGTGACTGATAAACATATTTTCTTTCGTGGGGTCCAGTTTTTGTATATTTGGGGTGCATTTTTAGTTTTACACAGAACACGAATGAACCCTACAAGATCTAGGTGGACCATGGACCATTGAACAAACGAACAAACGACAAAAAAATAAGTTAAGACATTATTATTAGATCTGTTTTAGCGCACTTAAGTGAATTATTGATTTTTTTGATATAGCACGTCTTGAGTATAAACAACGATATTCGGTCCAATATTTTATTTCTATATTTGTGTCTAGTTTTAAAAAATTCAATGGCTTGCAAACTATTCGCAAATGGGTCTCGAGTTTATTAGATAACCCTCGTATATAGAAGTGAGGGAAGTTTTTGCGCATGGTCGATTACGGAATTCCTGAAATTAGTCGCTTCTATTTAAAAATATTTCAAAATAATGCTACTAAAACTATTTTTTACGAAAATTTTAAATATATTGTTAGATGTTTTTTGCCTGTTGTTAAAGTAACAAATATCCTCTTTGTTTATCTACAATTAATAAATGATTTGGATAATGACGTCATTAACACCATGCTGATTTTTTTCTAACCAATACCGTTGTCCAAAGTGATTGGAGAGTGTTGTGTTCTGTGTTGTCCAAGTCCAAAAGTCAAAACCACCCGCATATATTTATTTGAAAACAAAATGTTAAATTTTTACTATATTTAGAATAATTATTTTAAAGGGAATAACTACTATACATTGTAATTGTAAGGTAATAAATTTTATATTGAACACAGTCATTCTTGTTCAAAAAACCTAAAAACTAAACCAATTTAAATTTTACATCCCTTTTTTCTTGCTTAATTTTATTCTAATGGCGCATTATTTGAATCTAATTTTAATTTTCGTTGCTGCTTTTAGAATCATTGGCGAAAAATGAAAAGCCGTCCTAAATAACTTAACGACCTGTATTACAAAATCTCCAAAGTTTTGTAAGATGGAAGACGAATTAGACGACAAAATATTTTATCAAACATATGTGTCCCACATGAAAATCATGTCCCGAATAGCATGGAGTGTACCCCTCAAATTGTCCCACATAACCTTTTCTTCTTACATTTGGAGAGTATTGAAACTATACGTGTTGAAACCAGAATTTTTAGTTTTTGGAGCTTTAATTTTGTTTGTATTTGTTTATATCCAAGCTGTTGATGAATGGAGTCGTAATTTATTAGGGAGACTACAGTACACCATAGGTAGATCAGGAACAAGGTCGAAAGTGGACAGGCTTAGTTTCTTCTCTTCAACAGATGTTGAAAAATCTAGCTGGCAGATGAAAGTAGGAGCTATAGCTGCTTATGCTGTACAGGGCAGAAGACCCAAAATGGAAGACAGGTTCGTTATAAATGACAATATAAATAATACAGGCGTAGCCTTATTTGCTGTATTTGATGGTCATGGTGGTGAATTCGCTGCAAATTATGCCAAAGAAAAATTAATCCAAAATCTATTTAATAAAGTTATTGAAATTAAAAGCCTAATCTCTGGGAAACCATCTCAAACAACACGTAAAGAACCAGAAGAAGATGAAAAGAAAGATCCTGAGAAACCAGTGACCCCTTCTCTTTCTGAACGGAGAAAAAGTTTTCGTCGCACTAGCTCAACTACTGATGAATGCATTAAGACTGGTAAAGAAATTACTGACCTACAATTATTATCAAAACTGGACAGTATTCAACCCATATCTAAAAGCTCAAGACCTTTAAAAACAACACCTAGTTTTAAGAAAGTTCCTGCAACCTGTTATTTTGATAGACAAGGCACTGTTAACTATGAGAAACTTCTAACTGATGAAGTGCTGGCTGCAGATGAAACTTTAGTGCAAATAGCTAAAAAAAGTTTAGATGTTGCAGGTAAGTGAAAATATTTTTTTTTATTTCCCAAATTCCCTTACAATTTAAATTTAAAATAAATTATTGTCAACAAATATAAAATATGAACACTGAAATTATACTTATAAAAGTTTTAGAGCCTACAGAGGACTTTAGTTTTTAATGTAAAAAATGGTTTATGAATATAGAAATGTGGTTTATATGTGAAAGGAATGTTTTTAAATTTAGGGCACTTGATCTTTGCTCATGCATCATCAATATAAAATATATTACAAAATATAAGTTGTATATAGCATAATTATTTCCTTTCCTGTATCTGTAAAATATAGGTATATATGATAATGATATTCATGTTTTATCAATTACATACTGAGTGCAGTTAAAAAAATGGCTAATTTTAATTCCTCATTTGATTAATGATGAATGTTACCAATATATTGAAGGATTGAGAACAATATATCTGATCCTAAATTATTTTGGCACTTCACTAAAGATAAATCAAGAGGTGCATTTCTGAATGAAATATACCTATCTGAATAATAAAGTTAGTAATAGTGACTGTGATACTGCAAATTTATTATACACATTCCAGATAGGAGATCACAACTTTGTAGAACTGGAACACTCAATTAGATTTACCTTTACTTCTAATTCAAGCTTATACTCTCCTGATAATTTATTAAAAATTGCTCTTAAAATTAATAGTGGAACCAGAGCTAATGACATTTTTATATTAGATATCATAGACAAAATTATGGCCATTAACATGATTGGTGCTAACATAGATATAAACTTGGATTTTTTGGTTCTTCATATCCTTCATTCAAAAGCAGTATTACTAACCACTTTCTTAATGACACTTGAGAGTACTATTACTGTTCTTATGTTTCTCTAATCAAATGTTTGTTTTACTCAGAGGTTGTGCATATAAAATATAATATTTTTTACATGTTGTAAATTGGAGTATTCTCATTAATAAATTAGTGCAGTTATTATCTGATACTGATTATTTATTTGTGTTGCATATTGTAGATAGAATGTTTTTATTGTTTAGATCATACATTTTTTATTTTAGGTACCACAGCTCTAATAGCCATCTTAGAAGGAAATAAATTAATAGTAGCCAATGTAGGTGACTCTAGGGGAGTAATGTGTGATGGAAAGGGTAACGCCATACCCTTATCATTTGATCACAAACCTCAGCAAATGAGAGAACGAAAAAGGATAAAAGAAGCAGGCGGTTTTGTGACTTTCAATGGAGTGTGGCGTGTAGCTGGCATTTTAGCCACGTCCAGAGCCCTTGGAGACTATCCTCTGAAAGATAAAAAATTTGTAATAGCAGATCCTGATATCTTGACATTCGATTTAAAAGATCACAAACCATCTTTTCTTATATTAGCTTCAGATGGCTTATGGGATACATTTTCTAATGAGGAAGCTATTAATTTCATTAAAGAAAGGTTACACGAATCTGATTATGGTGCTAAGAGCTTAACTTTGCAGTCTTATTACAGGGGATCACTGGATAACATAACTGTCATAATCATTAATTTTAAAGATAATGCTTTCAGTCTTTTTGACAGGTCTAATACAGATAAAAACAATTAAAAGGCTGTTTCTGGCTTACCAACCATTATCAGAAAAACTCATCTTTAATATTGCTGACCATTAACAACAATTGTGGTCCATTAGAATTTTTAATAAATATTTTTACAAACTTGAAAGTTTACTTCAAAAGATTTATAACTTAGTGGAAACATTTGTCATTTCTAAAGTTCTAAATAACACTATTTTTGAATTAAATATAAAATAAAAAAGACAGCTTAACATTATTGAAATGTTTTTATTTATCTTGGAATCCAGTCTATTGCTTCTTATAAAATCTTAATTATATTTCAAAGTTTTAATGAAAATTAATATTTTCTGTAATAAAAATAATTCATTACTACATTATAGTTCAAAACGAAAAAAAAAAAAAAAAAAAATATGTATAAAATTAAAGTATTTTTGCTTAAAATATCTGATTACTGGTTAAATTTTACAATACATGACATTTTTTTAAAACCCAAAGCTTCCTGTAAGTGATACGATTTTTATGTTTGAGGACGTTGAGTTTAAGATTTTAATAGTCTTGCTATATTGGCTTATAAGTGATTTCATCAAAGTTTTCTCAATAACACTGGTTTCATTTAAATTGCCTCTCTTTGATATTTTATAGCATCGAATTTCTTAGAGCCTAAGTGTGTCCATATTTATTTTTAAACGATTTAGGTATGTAGGAGGCCATTTTGGAAGTTACTGCAATGTTTAAATTATGTTTTTTTTTTTCTAAGATAAGTTTTAAAAAAACGTTTTTACTCAACATCGGAATTTTGTTTACCATTATAGAGTGGTACAGTTAACTATTTGACTATACATGGCCAACATCTCTTATACAGTCTTCAGCCATACCCATATTCTAAGTGACTAAAGTGATGTAATCAGTTAGCCAAAAGTAGCATTAATAATTAAAGTACAGGGTGATTCAATGAACCGGGACTATTTCAAAAATCATATTTGTAAAACTCGAATGTAAATTTTATATAGGGCACAATCGTTCATTTTAAAACATTGCCTGCCAAAATGGAGGCCACCATTTTGTCGCACACATTTTTGAAGCCTTATTGCAAGGCTGTCGCTCAGTATTTCTAGTGGTATTGGAGCTACTTCACTCCGAATCATTTTAATGCCTGGATAGTTCTTTGAAATACTTTTGTTTTTAGGTACCCTCAAAGGAAAATTCACGTGCAGATAAGTCAGTAGAACGAGGTGGCTTGGGAATACCAATTTTCTTACTTATAAGACGAACAGGGTGCATCTGTTTTACACGAAAAATGCACGTTGTTCCCCCTTTCAAGTATACATGACAACTAATAAGCCCGCTTTTCCTCTAATTTTTCTGCTGTGGCATTCCCAAATCGTCTTGATACTGGATCACCCTGTAGTAACCCTACAACAATGTCACTGGCCTATTTGACAGAACTGATACTTAAGTTGTCATAAAAGTCACTAAGAACGGCCATTCTCATAAAAGTTCTTGTTTTACCAGATCATGTAAGATGAGGGTATTGTTGAAGACTTCTATTTTCGACTGGTTTTCATACCACTCACTTTAATGCAATATACCATCTATAATACGAATCTGTACAATAATTATTACAACTCAGATGGCACCTGAAAGAATATCGCTATTTTATTTTCATGATTAGATTTGCTAATATTTAACTAAAAGAAAATGTACAAATAATGTTATACCTACTCATAATTTGTTAATATTTGCAATAAATGTATTTTATTCAGTTACTCAAACTCATGTCTTAACTATATTACATTTGATTGTGATGAAATGAGCCTTGTTATATTAGATACATGCATTTTTGTGATATTGTCTATGAAATGAAATGTTTTTGATACTGATTTGTTATTGTTTAAAAAAAAATCAAAAAAAGATGTGCGTGATAATAATGCAGTCAATATTAAATTGCGATCTTGTTTTAGCTATTAAGTGGTGATTGTGTAACCAACCAAAGTTCAGTTTTTATAGGAATTATGAATTTTACCTGTTTGAACTGATCTAGTAGCACTTTTGAGTTGCTGATGATACTCATAATGCCAAGTCAGTTTTATGCGATTTAATTCTTGAAAAAAATAAAAAATTATATTCTGTATATTCAAAATTGTGTTTGTGTGCCAACAGTTACGGTGATTTAAAATTTTATTTCTCTTTGTATATTTGTGAAATAAATGTTGTAATGATAAGACTTTTATTTACTTAGAAATAGTAACAAATAAAATTATTTTTTGATATAAATAAAAAATCGATGAACATATATATAATACATACAAAATTATTTAACAATTGATTTTTCCAATGTATGTACAACATAAGTAAATGCATATCAACATCTCTCAATAAGCACTTTTTGTATTTTATCGTAGTCAGTAAATACAATAAACCTGTTTTACATTGGCGAGCGTAGTTTACATTTAGTTACATCGACATTAAAGGATTTCAAACTCGTGGTCCGAATCAAAATATTTGCCACTAGGTCCTTGGAAATCTAAAAAAATAAAAACAGTCTGACAATAGTCAATTTTTCAGGCTCAGAGAATAACATAGAGTTATAGGTGGATTCTCTTAGACAGACTAAGAAAGAGAGAGGATGCGTAACTCGTATTTCAAACAGATTGAACGCCATTTTTTTGGTGCAGAAGAAAATAGTATATTCGACCGGAGTCTTTCGGCCCATATATGTATAAAACATTTGATAATTAACTATTCATTTAATATATATTGTAAAGAAAAAGAAAGTTAATCTTCTTGGGTTATTTAAAAATGGTAAACTGAGGGTAAAGACGTCTTCTAGTAAACTGGACGGGAGTTGTTAATGCCTGTCTGTTAATGATGTTAATATTAATTGGTTTGTCGGCAAGTTTCTGGGTTTTCTCGTATAAAAGTCTATTTGGAGGGTTAAGGAGTGGATTCTCTGGATGTCTTAAAACACTTCTTTCTACTATCTCAATATTATTCAAGATGTATTTTCTGTAAGTTTGGAAAAGACACAAGCATATTCGATTAGTGGTCTGCATGTTAGAGATGTATATATCTTGGTGGCGATTTTAATATCTATGCCTTGGTTCTTGTATATCAATCCTTTTTTATGGTTGTAGAGTGGTTTTTGAAGTTCAATTTGTTGTCTATTATTACTCCAAGGTATTTAATGTTTCTTTGGGGTTTGACCAAGATATTTGATATTGTCCCTGTAGGTGAATTATCTTTGATGGTATGATTAAATAAGAACAATGTATACTTTTTGAGGTTAAGTATTAACCTCCATTGTTTGAGCCACAGTTGAAGATTTTCTATGTACGATTGCATCACTGCACTATCCAGTCTATCCACTATTGAGGTATCCATATTGGAGAAGTTAGCAATCACCATTATAGATATTTGTGATGTCATATCAAATGTTGTATAAAAATGGTGAGCCTTGGGGGAACTCCTTGGAAAACAGTAAATGGTTTTGATAACACATTGTTTATTATACTCTTCACACAGTAGTCTGTGAAGAGTATAAGTGGTAAAGGGAGATTGAAATATTTAAAAAAATTCTAACTCAAAAACGAAAAATACTATCAACTTAAAATTTTTAGCAAAAATCAAGCCCATAGATTTTGAAAAAAATCTAATTAAAAATGGGGGAGTTGAAATATTGAAAAAAAAAATGGGAAAGTGTGGTGTTTTAGACAGAAGTTATAAATTTTGAATATATGTTCATGAATGTCGTGTTAATTTTCTCATTCAGTTTCTGCTTACGTAGTCATGACCAGGGGCCGTGTTTTTTCCTGAGAAAACTATTTCATAATACTCGTCTTCCTGTATGTCTATAATGTTCTGATTGGGGTTGTGTCTTGCAAAAAAGTGTTCGTACCAATTGTCAACTTCTGTTTTTGTATTATTATCAAAGTTGTTTTCTTTATAAATTTCAGTGATATATTTGGTTTTTGTAGAATCTGATATCCCCAGTACGTGTATAAATGAATAAAGAGCGATTTGCCACCATAATCTCAAAATCGGTAAATTTGGACTTGTTCGATTTTTATTAGAAACCCCTCATTTGTAGTGTTCAGGTCTTGGTTGTAAAAGTTGAAGTGAAAAAAAGAAAGAAGATATTACATTTTCCATTTAAATATATTAAACAAGTAAATAATACGGCTGTAAAAATAGAAAGTTTTGTATGTAGCAGTCATATTTTCATTACTAAATTGTCTGTTTTAGAAGGGTTTAGATATCCTGTGAAGTATTCAGAAAGAAATAATTTTTGGGTTATTACACCTTTAATATTTCTGGTTACGCCACTGTCTAAAACTTAGACAGAGAAAGGTATTTTATGTCTGAATTTAACATCTGGTACCAAACGGTTGCATATAGAAGTTTGACGTTAGGCATCTCCTCTTTCTTAGACTAGGTAATCAAATCCAGGTCATTTAACAAGTAATTTTGATTTTCCAAGAAAAAGTTATAAATTTGCACAAAAATTAAATTAAAATTACAATGATTGAATTATTTTTTATACTTAATGATAAACAAATACCACTTTATTTTAATTAAAACTTTTTTAATAAAAAAATTGGTATTTTCTTTTAAGAAATTTATCTCCTGTAAACTATACAAAAATGTATTCATCTGGATTTATAGCAGGGGTAGAAGTTGGAAAGGCTTCTGCCAGTTCTCCCACTTTATACACATAAATTGACAGGTTTGCGGCAGATCTAACCAAAGTGGACGCAATACATTGGCGTACAAAATTATTTTATAGATGTTAATAACAATTTCGAGTAAATAGTTTAATAAATTGTGAATAGCTGTTGAAATTTTGTAGAATTATGATTTGGATATTATAATAAATACACGTTTAATAATTATGTATAGTCCATAAATACATGCAATTGTCCGGTTCTGCCGGTAACAATTTAAGGTTAACATTACTGCGAAATTCTTGAAGCCGTCCGACGTGGTTTGACGTTTACCCCCTTTCTACCTACCAAAAGCCTTTCTAACTTCTACTTGTGTTATAATAACAAATCTATTACACTTTTGAATACCTGAGAAAGATGTAGTCCCTGCTTCAACCGCATTTTCCAATATGGGTGACCATTCTTTAGGCTTGTTATAACTAATTTCAAACATTGGTTCTTTTTCTGGATCTATCAACTCTGTTTTCACCCTCTGGCAAAAATCATTGAAATCTGATTCAGTTTTGCAAAAAAAGCACTGAAACAAAATGTTCAACATCACATCCAGATAAACCAGTTTTTGATATAAGAATCATATAGTTGACCTAAATATTAAATAAGAAAATAATACATCTCGTCTTAATTTTGCATGTGTCTAGAAGTTTGCAGTAATATTTGGATATCAGAAGCTCAGTAGAAGATTATTAGCCTAAACAAAAAACATATCTTCACTATTTTCTTGATTTGATAGATTAAATAAATTATATATGCTTGAAAAATCCTTAAGATGATTCATTTCCTGTATACAAAAATATAAAACCTTTCTTTAATCATAAAAAAATTAACGTTTACCATAGCAACTGATGGATCCATTCTGAGTATATTTATTCTAGATGCATATTTGCAATGATAAGTCAAGTCTGCTTCGATTTGTTCATCTGTTTCTTTATCTTCGACGAAACATGTTTTTTGTGTATGATGGGGATCTAAATAAACCACTTCTCGGCCCACACAACCTGTGAAATAAAGAGCAACATTGGGCTTGCCTCCAATGACGCCCAAACTTTGTTTGAAGTTTGAATTGAAAACATTTCTAAAAAAACGAAAATAAAATTTATATAAATATTTTGGAAATGTTTTTTTTTGACATAGATTGAGTTCTTGAGAGAGAGAGAAGAAACACCTCTGCATGTGTTAACATTTTCTTAAATTTCTTTTGTAAAACAGTCAAATAAACAGCAATGATACCGACACAAGTTTTACAACTGAGAAATGACATCAAGGGGAGGGTCAAACATTATTTTTCTTTCTGTATTCGGTTTATGTTCATCTCAATTATGTTTCTCTTTCAATAAAAGTCAGTGCAAGAAATTTAACAATCTAATCTCCATGTTGAATAATTCTGAGATAAATGATTAGTTAAGTTGGCCAAATATCTAAAACTGTTCCTAGAAAGTATATTTTATTTTTAATTATATTTTCCTATTGAAGATTATCCCATGATAAGAAACATAATTTATTTTTGCATTATCATCCTGTGAGCATTTTTATATAAATGCTTACAATTATTTGACAATCTCATGGTTTTTAATCTTTGACCACCATTGAGGAATAATACAATGAAAAATACATTTTTTCTCAAACAAATCATATTTAGAGGAATTAACAAATCTGTGTGTAAATATTGTGTGTTTTATACATCAACAAATTAACTACTTCAATAAATACTTGAAATGTTTGTTTTGAATGTTAAGTGGTTTGTGTTTATTTACATAGTCTATAACTGATTATTATTTGAGTTTACTAACCTGTAAACCACTAATGTAAATAGGATTTATTTCTGTAAGTCCTAAACGTAAAGGCACTATGAGGAGTAAAGGTTTCCAATCAGAATTTGTTAAATGTGCACCATCAAGTTTGTTTTTTGTTAAACATAATTCTCCTGAAAATAAAATGTAACTCTATTAAAACAATTTAAGTCATATGTGGGTCATTCATATTCTTTCTATAGCTATGGTCGTTCAACTACAAATTTATCAATTAATACATAAATAAGGTCTGCCATACAATTTTTGAATAGAATTAGTATTTTATTAAAAATCGATACTGCACTGGATTCAGTAGCCCCCAAAAGGGTTTATCTCAAAATTTCATTAAAAAATATTCATTATAACAAACTTATATTTTTAAATTATGTAGCTAATTGTTTTATGAAGATTTTAGACAAATTCTTAAAAATTTGTAACAATGTCCACAAATAATTTAAAAGCCATGGAGCCAAAATATGAAAGTATTGGTATTGGAGGTGATTCATTTTCAAGTAGGTCACACTTCTCTTAGTTATATTTAGAATATATACTTTAATCCAGCTCTCTAGTTTATTTACAGCTTGGTTCATTTTGAGAATTCAGAAAATTAATTAGTTTCATATTTTAGATGATATAAAACAACTATTGTCAAAATGATCCAGATTTTTTGCATTTTGTCATTGAATCTATATGAACTTACTTATATCTGAAACTATTACAGTGTTGTCTAGAGCTACATGGATAGTTAATCTGCTCCAGTCATCATATTTTACTAGTTTCCTAAAAATTAAATAACTCAACATTCATAACGCAAAGATTTATTTAACATTACTTTAACACTTGTGCAACTGTGTTTGGCCCAAACCATTGTCCAACTCCTTTTCCTAAAGAGGCTCCCATTAAAGCTATTTGATGAATGGAGTACGGAGCTTGCCTACTATCTTGAAACTTTTTCAAAATCTTTAAATAAGTTTGATCTTTTGATTGAGGGTCCCACAACCAGTCTCGTCCCAGGTGTAATGAGACTAATGCTTGGGCTAAAACCATTTGTCCACATCTTAACATACATCCCCATCCTTTATCTGAAGTTAGACCTTCGTTTCCCCCTATAGGTATAAAGTTTTTCCTGTATGTTATCCAAATTTTGGAAACTATATCTTGACGTATTTTATTGATATCTAAAAGTGATTATAACCGTTATCCTCTTATGATAGCGTATGATAAAGGGTTTGTTTACCTTGGATAGCATTATATCGTTTCCCAAGTATCCAAACTGGCTCGGAAGTTTTTGGAATATCATCTGGCTCCAACGTGGCTTCCAAACAAGCTTCAAACATACAATCCATTATATCTCTGGTAGCCACACACATTTATTATTAATATAAAAATTATTATCGCTTTCATTAAACTAGATGAAATATTTCTGAAAATATTTTTGTAATTCCATTGTTATTATTTTTAATGTGACATAATGACATACGCCATTTTAAATTTGACGTTCTTGTCACTGTACAGCTGATTTAGCGGTTTTTTAGCGATGGACGTTGAAAATAGATTAAATAGGTCTTTTCCTTTGCATCGAAAGTGTAGCACTAGGCTACACCAATTCTGAAAATATCGTTCCATATATACAAATTGTATGGATGGAACGATATTTTCAGAAGTGACGTAGCTCAGTGCTACACTTTCGATGCAAAGGAAAAGACCTAATAAATATTCGATTGGAAACGATGACGATCTTTTTTCCATGCTTTCAAGGTTATTACAACTTTATTTTCTGTTAGCTTCGATTGAATAAACTGAATTTTTACTTCAAATGTGGATATAAGATTCATTTTTATACAGGTTCGGAAATTTAAACGAATACCATACAAGCCCAATCTATTAGGCGGAAGTCGTACATGCCAAGCATCACGTCAGGACACATAATAGGTAATGCGCTGTTCAGTGTTGTTTATTTGTTTCACGCGTGGTTCTATTATACCTTGTCCAATTCACTGTAAAATAGGAAATCCACTTTTAGATTTCCTTGAACACATATGTATACAAATTAAACATTAATTACGTTAATTACAGTCCCGTGTGTATTTCGTTTGAAATTTTTTTGGGTGTTTAAATGTGTACATAAGGTATGAGATAACGAAACAAATATTTTTGGTGTTGATACACCTAACAGTAAAAGAATAATTTGTAAAAGGTGGATTCCTTGGGTACTTTCATTTACACAATAAAATTAACGCCTTAAAATTGGAGAGGATGAAGTGTATTGAAAAAAGGAGTTCCACATTTCGATTTTCGTTATCCTATACCCGATCCCCGCCTCGTTCGCTCTCACTGGTGGTGTTGGTGGCCAAGCCAAACACCATGACGTACAGTTGGTTGCCTAGTTAGTAGTACATTACAAATTTTAAGTAAATTTTGCCAGTGGCGTAGGTGGCGTATGGCATGGATAAGAAGACTAGAGATAAGGGGGGGAATCGGCATACTCAAAATACGGTCCTAAAACTAAAAATAATAAATAAATTAATTCATGATTATGGAGATTTACAATCGTTAATCACGTGCTTATTTATTATTTTTACGAATTTATCTGTGCATTGATTGAATGTTACACAATTTTAAAGTTATATCTGTTTGTTTAATTTAATAAAATAGTATTGGGCAACAAAGGGATTGCTAATATAGGAGTGGTGAGTGCATACAATAAAAATCAATTATTTATTATCTTGCACTCTGATAATACCTAATTTGATAATAAGTATGTTTATTTAGAATACATTATTTGTATTTTATATGTACCATTTCCGTTCATATGTTAAAGAATCCGGCTATGACATATAGGTAGTATGTGATAGGATCTATTCATGTACGAGAGAGATGTTTTTCTCTTACTACTGTATAAAAATTCTTCGACTGAGTGACAACGTGAAAGACTATTAATTGGTTGCGAAATCAAATCACCGGCATTATTAAACTACTTTTAATCTTGAATTCCTCAGTATAACTTCAACAAAACTGTACTACTAAATTTGTAATCTTCTTAAAGCACTATTAACCAAGAAAATTTATCACAGCCTCGGCATTGCATAATTTAACTTAGAGTAAATTTCAACATGGCGAAGGCACGGTAAATTATAAAACAATATGTTGTTCGGTCTAGTGAGAATCTAATTCTGGCGAGGAAATGAAGCCAACCAGCTCATCGGCATCTCGCGCCGATTGTGTCCAACCAATCGTCTGCAAGGAAAGCGCTCACGTGATAGTAATGGGCCCGTTCACTTTCATTTTTGAATGTGAATTATTTATATATTTATAAAGATATTAAACTCTTTTGTCTGGTGGTACTTTTCCCGTTAAGATATTTTTGCTAGAAGTAAGGGAATTCCCATAAAATTCTTTCAGTGACTCGTGTGATGAAAAATGACGTTACTCTCTTGAGAAAGTTCTAGTGCTAGTGTGCCAGTGGCGTACTAAATTATATGTTTTAAATAACAAATATATGTTGAAGGCTTCTTCAACATTTCATATTCCTCCTACACATATGTTTGTTTATATTTATGGAATCGGATATACCCATATAAGCGATTTAAAGATGTCGGCACTTTTATAAACTTTAGTTATTTCCTGTCAACGTTTAGCGCGTCAACGCAGTCGCCATTGTCTTATGCGCAGTGAATAAAAGTGCAGTGAACCGGAGATCTCATTTCGTGCTCATTTCATTCAATTTCATTCCGATTTTCCAACAAGAGCGTTATGAGTCGCGCTTTGGCACATCTGGCTGCTTTTGCTATTCCTGCCGATCTGTACTTCACCGGGAGACTGTCTCCATATTGACCTGAGCCAAATCCCTAATCCCTGTTCCAGATGGTTAATATTTTCCAACATTCTAAGGCCGATTTTGTTTTCCCGTCGTCATGGTTTTGGCTAATTCGCCTAAAATTTTTTTCCTGTTTATGGCGAAGTAGCGAATATAATTATCTTCCCGGTGTATTTTTCACAAACCTCGAACTTGAAAAACAAATAATAAAATTTCTTATAAATAATTTTTTTTTTAAGTTCAAAAAGAAAATAAATTATTTACGTTAATAAAACTGACAAACCCAGTATATTATTTAATAATATAACATTTTCTAATTAAAACACGTGGCACATATTTAATATTATCTAATTTAAAAATATTTTTATTTTACAAATAAGTAGAGACCTTGAAATTTCGTTAAAGATATTGCAGAAATATATAAATAATAAGTTTTTGCCTGCTGGGGAATGTTAAGTTTTTTTTAACATAATTATCGCATGGATGATTCGTAGGTTTAGTGTTCCACAGAAGTACTAAAACGATTCCCAAACTTCAGGTGTTACTTCAGTGTTAGATAAATACTGAAAAATACTGTGAGGAAAAATGTCAGAGGTTGAAGACGGGGACGTAGAATATATACCGGGTGTTCAAATTAAAGTGATATACCGCCGAACAAAAGTTTTATGGTTTTTTGGGGGAAACATTTTGGCTAAATTCATTTTTTTTAGCTGACCATAATATGGTCATATCGGGGTGGACTTTTTTTTTAAATTGGAACATCATTTTTTTACATATTCTTAAAGTTTATAAAAAAAATAAGAAACTTTTAAGGGAAACATTTTTTTATTGGACTTATTGAGTAACACCTACTTGAAAATTTTGCTACGCGAAAAAAAAATTGGCCATATTATGGTTAGCTATAAAAAACGATTTTAGCCAAAAAGTGTTTTTCCCAAAAAACTATAAAACTTTCGTCTGAAACGTTTTTTTTTTATAAAGGCGGTATTTAACTGTAACACTTATTTAATTTGAACACCCGTTATAACTCTAATTTTATAAAATATTGGAAAGGTCAGCCGCCATTTATTAATGTACCTATATGTATTCTACTTCCAAGGTGGTTTGGAAAATTAATGCATTGCTGGTATTGTCCGTGTCCTTAACCTTAACATACCAAATTTAAAAATACATTTATAAAAATGTTATAAATAAATATGGTCAATTCTTTTCGAAAACTGGCCAGGAAACTAATTGCGTCAGGTAATATTTTTCAGACAAAAAAAACTGTGGAGCAAATGGTGTGCGAAATACAAGAAACAGTTGTGGACAAAATTTTTTATGATACAAAATAACTTGCCTTGAAAAATAGACGGTTATAAAGTATTAATTTTAAAAATGCTGTTACCAATTCAATAAAGGATTAAAGAAGTGGGTAAATATGGGTAAAAACTGTGAAAAAATTAGTATTTTAAACACCATATTAGTCTATACTCCTGTTTTGTTAAAGAATCCTGTAATAATGCATAATACGTATGAATGAATAGATATCTACGTCTAATAATTATTATATAATTTCTTCAGAGTTTTTTTTTACTTTACCTATCGACTAAAATAAATTTCAAAATTAACACTATATTAATTATTTTTACTACAAGTTATAAATACATACAGGATGTCTCATAATTTTAGAAATTTGAATAAGCAAAAAATGATAGGTTAAGAGCGTTATCCATGTGCTAAAATTGACTTAAAAGTAATTCCAGATAATTCCAGATAACGATTACGGTCTCCTTGACCATGAGAACATAATACCCGATTTAAATGATAAGGGGGTCTATTCTGTAAAAATTCCTTTATATTTAACGGCCTTTAAAAATATTGGCGGCCTTTAAAAGTATATTTGTATTCGTTAATTTACTTCTATCATTATTTAAACAGATTTCTTTAAGATAGTCCTCTAATGTATTTTAAAGATCCGTTTAAATAGTGACCGAATTAAAGAAGAAAATATTTTTAAAGGTCGTTAAATATAAAGGAATTTTTACAGAATAGACCCCAAGGAGTATTAAAATAAAGAAATATTTTTAAAATATTACAAAAAAACTCTCTTGAAATAGAATTGATTGAAAAATAGACTAGAGGGCAAGGAGAAAATCCTACATAGAAACAAGCTAGAAGTGTACACATAACTGTTTTTAATTTTGGTACTAATTGTAAAACGCGACTAAAAACAAATTTTATAAAACATTTGGTTTATTCCACGCACATGGGAAATGAACATACAAGATAATATGGCTTAGAAAAAGAACAAATAGCACTGAGTCAATTTTCAGAAGTATTTATTATGCATGTGAAAAATTGTGGTTCTGTTTGTCGATCTGGATTTATGTTATTTTGGGGGTTAGTCCTAATGACCTGGTAGGAACTGATTGTGTATAAGTGAAATTAAATGCCCTGCTTCTGCTTCAAAGTTAATATTGCAAGATGTAATAATGCAAACAATTATAAAATATGTAATAATTGACGACAATAATAATATACATTTGAAACAAAACCACAACTATTTCTACCGGGTCCAGAACTAGCTTCACATAACAAAAAGGCAATCTTGTTTTTTCGTGATGTTGGCTCCTTTTTTAGTAGAAAAAATTGAACGAGACAATAATTTCTGGCATAACACAATGGAAAGAAAACTCCAGTGTTTATATGAATTATTGTGTTCTCCCAAAAATATTCGACTCTCGTTTATAAGGGGGTTAGAAACACGAAACCCTCCTCGAAATGATGCTCAATAATGAGTAGTATGGATTGTAATAAATGTTATAGATACAAATTCATTTCATTTTTTTATAGCAAGTAATGTCCTATTAAAAAAAATATGTTGACTAAATATCCTTTATCTGTCGACAATCTCGTACATACCTGCGATTGTCTACATATAAGTAATTTTTGAAATAAATCTATATATTTTATATTTTTTTGCATGCTATTATTTTATATTTTCTGAAACTTGTGGTCATATTTCTACTCTATCATAAAAAAAATCAAATTGATAACTCAGTACATTCAAACACTCTTTATATGAATCTTATAAAAAATAACATTCCATCCCCCTTAAATATTGAAACAACTTTAACACATTTTTCTGATGATATTATCAACTGCCTCTTACAATTTCTGAAAGACACTAAGATTCGTCTATAATTGGAATCTTAATCTTGTTTCCTCTGTATTTTACCTATTTGTTTACCCTCTTACCGAGGCCTAATTTTGTTTGTCTATTAAAAAACGTCCTGATGGGTCCCTGGACGAGAAGCGAGTGTCCCCGTCCTATATTGTTTATTTTTTTTTCTTCTTCTTACACCTCTTGCTGTTAGGAAATATTCTTGGGTAGTTCTAATTATGGACGAATCTGTGTCTGGCTGAATGGCAATGTGCCTATGCCAAAAAAAATAAAAAAAAAAAAAACTCGATTAATTTACAATCTACGGTGGTAATAATTGCTGATTTTTGTGTTTTTCTTGTCATAAAAAATGTCTGACCTATATAGGTACTGAAAAATATCTAAGTGGCCGTTTCATATACTACTTATTTACATAATATAGGGTCTGATTTGGTTTTGCGCCAATTTTTATCATCTCGAACAATAAGCGACTTTTGTACTAAATTTTGCTCTACTAAAAACTAAAACGTACACCCGAATCCAACTTGAATATCTCTCAGAGAAACATCCTACAGACATCGAGCACGCGACGTTGCCAAATTGGACTGAGAGGTACTGTGTCGCGTATTATTTAGCAGATTTGAAATATGGGTTAGAAGCGTACTGGAGACAACGTGAAAAGAATCAAAGTTGTCCAAATTGATGGGTGAGTAGAAAACTGAAGAAGAATCAACTTTTTAAAATTCTTCTAAATTTTGAAAAAAATAATCTAACTTATTGTAATTCTTTGAAAAATGTCAAATTTGACAGGTATAGCCGATCGACAGAAAAAATCAACGTCATTTTTTATATAATGTTATCTCAATATGCGGGAGAATAGAGACATACTCTGGGACACCCTATATAGATTAATCGTAAACCATATACAGGTATAATAGGATCGCACCGCAGTAGGTATAGCTCTCAAAAAATATTATACAAAAAGTATTCTAGATTCAAGCAAGCGTTTTATTTAAAAATTGACATATATATTCTCACACACTATATATACCTCTAATATTACCGAAAGAGATAAAACAAAACAAAAACGAAATAAAATAGGTATATAGGTACCTACACCTACCTTTTTCGTGTAATAAATACAAATTAATTACCTGGTCTCAATCTAATTGTTATTCCATTATTTTTTGTCAAATAATGACTCAACTGCCGCACAAATAATCTCCTTTCACTTCTTTGATTATCCGGACTCATATTTTTTTTACTTTATTACCACGAGTGCACTTATTAAAAATTCGGCACCAATTGACATTGGATGTTCTACAAGAATAACTTCGAGATATATTCGTTGCATACTCAGTGGATCGAGTAATATAATTAACGCGACAAAATCACAAGCTGCCGTGTATAATTCCACATTAACTGTTTACTAAACAAAACAAGTGCTAATTTGTTTAATCAAACATTTAAACACTACACGGTGCAATCATAATCGTATAACGACATAATATTAAAGTAATAACAAACTTTGTTTTGCGATATGGAAGCTCGACCGCAAATGATAGTACGTGTTTGCAATATATTATGTTTAATCTTCGAGATTATCTATTAATATTGTTTATTTTTGAACACGGGTCATTTTTTATGTGAATATATTTTACGAACATGGTTTTTATGCATATACCTACACATGCTTAATGGATTAAATACAGTTATACAGGAAATGTTAAAAAGTCTAGAAAAATAGTCACTTATACCGCTCAAGGTGGACAAATCCAGAGAGTACTGTCTACAACCAAAAACTCCATACAGAGCTTAAAAATGAGTGAGATGATCACATCGCCTTCCACTGCGACCCAGATGGATCTATTGTGGCTCTTGTCTAACTTATAGTTCACCGTACAAGCCTCACCTTTTGATGAAGGCCATGTTTGAATGGGTGAGGCTTGTCTAAAGTCGGTAGACTTCAGTCGGGTGTATCCGAAGATCTGGAACCTGTAATTTCCAATCCGATATTTGTTGCAGGCCTATATCCTTCTCATGTGGTTACATATAGACGGCATGTCTTGTCATTAGTTCCCTGAGAATGCCTAGATTTTTAATGCTCCTTTCCCAGATCTGAGCAGAGGCGTTTATGGAAGCAATAGGTATAAACCAATGGGGTTGAAAGGCCCAAGACCATGCTCTTGGCTTCTGTCCGAAAACTCCTGCTCCTACTCTTTTTTCAGTTTAGGCAGAGGATTTTATTCCCCCTGCTCCATGCGTCTCTCTTTGAAATGAGCACGCTATATGACTTTTCTCTATGTGCTATGGGAGAAATAGCGAGTCTGGGACCATGCCGAGGATGTGCTCTGATTATTAATCTCACTCATCACCCCATTTTGTGGAGAGGGAGGTTAGATCCAGCATGGTCTCCATATGACTCCCTTTGATGTGTTTGACATTCTCGATTCCTCATAGATAATACCTCTCTGAGTCCATTCGATCATTATCGAAATTCGATTTTAATGAAAGATTTACATCAGAGTCATACTGAGTTGCCTTGCAATATCTTGCTTAAATTAACACAAATAAAATTAATTTTAAAAAACCGACTCCAAAAATCGTACAGGTGTCATTACAAATTGAGTTTGCTGATTTTCGCATAGATCCCATCATCAGATCTTGATCAAATTTATATGGGACCAGTCTCGAGGTACCGCCCCCTTTCTGACAAAAGAGAATCATAGAAATTGGACAAAGTAGCAAAGAATTATCGCTGACTATACGCAAAAAATGAAGATTTTATTGATTTTCTCATAGATCCCATAATCAGATCTTGACCAAATATATATGGAACCAGCCTCGAGGTACCCCCTTTATGGCAAAAAAAAAGAATCATAGAAATCGGACTGAGCGGTAAAGAATTATCGCTGAACATACAAAAATAAAAAACAAATTTCGCCGTATTGAGAACCTCCTCCTTTTTTGAAGCCGGTTGAAAATCAGATGAATGGAATTTAAATTACATTATCGCGAAAATGATGAAAACTGATTCTGGGGACCCGAAAACTATAAAGATCCGTCGAAAACTCTAAAATTAATTCCTTTACTGGTTGTTACTGGAAAGTAAAAAGACAAATTTTACAAAATATAATGTGAGAATTAAAAATATTCCGACGAATTGAGAATCTCCTCCTTGTTTGAAGTCGGTTTAAAACTACAAAGTAAATAAACAACAAAAAAATACAAGCGTATGTATCGTCACACCAATAATCCTTCCTCCATGGTCACACCTCTCTTGTTTATTTGAAATGGAAAATCGCTAAAAATTGCCTAATCATCAATGACATATGTCACTTTTCTGTCAACGTCAACTTGGTAACACATAACCTCTAAAAAGTTGTTCCATTACAAAGCGTTTTTTGTTGTGAAAATTGATATTACAGGTTTTTGAAAATGGAGTGCTTACTAGGTATTAAATTTAACGATTTTGTACTAATTGCTGCCGATATGACGGCGGCACAAAGCGTTATCGTTATGAAAACAGGTATATTCAAATATTTCAATAATTTTCGGTCTACTAACTAGCTGCTTTTTAGATGAAAATAAGCTGTTTAAACTTTCTAACAAACTCGTAATGGCTGTATCAGGAGAATCCGGCGATACTACACAATTTGCAGAGTATATAGCTAAAAATATTCAATTATATAAAATGAGAAATACATATGAATTAAGTCCTGCAGAAGCAGCTGCTTTTACTCGTAGGAATCTAGCTGATACACTCCGAAGCAGGGTAAGAAAAACAATTAAAACGTATGTCCTATCATTTAAATGTTTTTCATTCTAGAGTCCTTACCATGTAAATTTACTTTTGGCTGGATATGATGCAAAGGATGGGCCACAATTATATTACATGGACTACTTGGCTTCTATAGCCAAAGTGGATTATGCTGCTCACGGCTATGGAGGCTTCTTCTCACTATCCATAATGGATCGCAACTATTTGAAAAACCTCTCCAAACAACAAGGTTATGAATTATTGAAAAAATGTGTTAAAGAGGTTCAGAAGAGACTGATCATCAATTTACCTAACTTTAAGGTGCAATGTATTGATAAAGATGGCATACAGGATATGCCTAACATTACCCCAAAAGATTTGGAATAATTTTAGTTTAATAATCGATTGCTGTTTATTGTATGCTCTTTTTTAATTTAAATTAATAAACTGTACTTTTGGTAAATAATGTTTTTGTACCTTTCAATATTAACAAATGCTTTATCACCATTGCATGCTAAGGTGCCATCAGAGAATTAACACTACAGGCCAAACATTTTATTTTACATGATTTCTACATATTTTATATCTAAAATAAACCATTTTTAGCCCTTTTTGTGTTTTCTTAGTGTCTCATATATAAAAGACATGATCTTACAGAAAAAAATATTGTTTTTCTACCTGAGACTCTCAAATATAAAAGTCCAAAAAAATCAAATATAAACAAGTAAAATAAACTATTTTCAGCCCTTATTGTATTTCAGTACAAAGTCGGGCCAAAATGGTTTATACCTATTATGACATGTGTGCTAAGCAACCATAAATGTGTTTTCATGTTTCAATGAGAATCACATCATAAATAAATATTTTATTTCCAGAAACACCTTCCACCAGCAAACTTTCATCTTTCCTTTTTAAACCAACATTGGTGTAATGTTTGGCAGAGGCCACAGTTGAGATTCCCCATTTAAAATAGACTGGGTGTTATTTATATTTAAATGACATTGTTGTGAATAGAAACGTGCCTGTCTTACAAAAATAAAAGACGTGGCATCCAGCAAAATAAAGATGAGAAGCTTAATTACATTCCGTGAGATACATAAAGGTTTAACTATGCATTTTGATGGCAAGTCCGAGGGGATATTGTGGTCCACAGTCAGAGACGTATTATTCTATTTCCGTCTATTCAATGGCATCGTTTCTCTATACCTTTCTCCTGGAGTCAGTAGTGAAGAGTTAAAGTTCTGCACTTTATGAATAACATTGAATTAAATATATATTTCAAGAGAGTATGTAGAGACTAATTTATTAAAGATTTTTTTTCTCTAATAAGTGACTTTAAACAAACAAATGTACAAATAATAAGACGTCAATGTCACTATATTTTCAACAATTATGGATGAATTTTACAAAGCATTCATACAATCAATATTGGAAGCCTCTTTGTTGAAGGTACTTAATGATGATACATTTTTAATCTATCCTATGAATATTCATTAAAAATGTTTCTATATTCAAGGTTTTACATGCAGGTAAATTTAAAGATTGTTTTTAAAATTAACCCTGTAAGTTAATATTTATCGAAATTCATATATTTAAATACTCTTTTATTTAGGGTATCATAAAATAAAACTCGTTATTTTTTTCTTATAATTTTCTAGGTATGTTTTAATAGAAAATATAAATAAATTTAAAAACAATATAAATTGCACTAAGGACCGCGGACAATATTTGTGATTTTGACCCAAGACAAAAACCTGAATGTGCACAAAAACAATTTTAATAAAAAAATATGGAAGATTTTGAACCGTAATACAAACAGCAGTACAGTCAATTATGGTATAATGAACTTATTAATTCAGCCTCTTATTTTACTTTTTTGGCTTCTTGTTTTGACAGAGGTTCCTTTTTCTTTTCTTCTGGTTTTTCTTCATCTGGAGAATCTTCATATCTAAAAATTTCATAATAATAATAATTGTTGACAATAACATATTTCTTATTAATTTTCATCAATTTATTTTAAATGCATTCTGTTTAGTCTTTTGATAAAAACTTTGCAATTCAATTTTCTAAAAAAAATCTAGAATCTGTGGTAATAACATGTATTGTTTGACTTACTTAAACATAGCTGTCAAGTCTCCTTTTAGCAAAGCCAAACCAAGTGGTGTACCTATACAAGCTGGGACTAAGTAAAGTAGGGCAGGCTGTGCATGTTTAAAAACGTGCATAACAAAAATTGTGGCCATCAATCCTAGAAAGTAAGCAATTACTGAAGCATGGAAATAAGTCTTTGTTTGGCGTTTCAGACTGTTGTCGAACCTTAATAAGAGGGCAATGAATATACCAGGTATTACTATATCTCCTAAACCTAACATGGCAAAATTGTCAGCTGCCAGTCCATTTTGTAAAAGATCTTGAGGAAAGACAACTGAAAAAATATAAGTCAATTAAATAAAAAAGAAAAGTGAAAAACCTGAAACATCCTTATGATAAATCAATAATGGCTGAAACACAATTAAATTCTTATGATTTAAGTAATGTTTTTCAATATTTTTTACACTTTACACACGCAGAATAAAATTAAATTGATGTTATTTTTGTGTTTAAAATTCATCTAAATAGAGTATTCGTATTCATCCCGATTTAAATATTTTTTAGAAAAAAATGATAAGATATTTTATAAAATATACTTAATTATTATTGCTTATTTCTTAAAACTTCATTTTGATTCGACCATTCGAGATAATGTACTTGTTTAATCCATAATTCTAATTTTATAAACATAAAACTTATTGATAAATGCATAAAAGTTTGTGTTTCAGCTTTAATGAAAGAAAAATTAAAACGAATTGTTCAATCTTTGTATAATATTATTTAAGTAAACAATAAAAGCTTACGTTTGATTGGTGCTTCAAAACTCTTAGCTACTGTAACCATTACATCCGTGCCAAACACCCAAAAGATATCGTAAAAGAACAATCCGCACAGCAATATGCAGCCAGTAACGACATTGTTGAGGTGCAACAGTTCAACCGCATTTACGGCAAATGCCAATCCAAAGAGGTTGTTTGCGACCCAATGTTTTTGAAATAAATACCAAGCTCCCACAACGGAACAGGCTCCTAAAGATACAACATCGTATGTGGAAAATCTGTAGTCTATTAAGTACTGCGTGGCATCTCCTTCGCCTTGTTTAAACATAATGTGGAATGGAATGTTTGGAATTGCTGCTGGAACAAGCTTACTTACCACTGGGCTGTAAAACATCAATAGTATTTTATATTAAATATAAATATGGTTGCATAATGAACATACTTTACTAGTATTTTGTTATATTTTTTGTTATACAGAGTGCCCAGAAACATTAATTAATTTTCTAATATACTGTATTTTTAGTAGGATTAATGTTTATTGTTGTGTGCTCATATAAGTCAACACTTACAGAATTACACAATTTATTTTGAATTATCACTTTTTTTACTTATCGCCGAGGCTTTTTTGAAACTTTTATTCTGAATATAAAACTAATTTCATCTGAAGGAGATGTCACATGAAAATTACAAGAAAATAAATTTAATGGAAACTAGTATTTTTTTTTTGTAATTGGATAAAATAGCTGAAATTTAAAAAATCTCAATAGGTATAATTAAAGAGATTTAAAATTCTTAAATAAATTTAGAGGCGTTTTCACATTAGTGTATTACACTGTTGCTACACTGCAAAATAAATGGTGTATTTTACTGTAAATCACCTTCAGTTACAATAATAGTTACAAACAGAAAAAGATATTAAGCTGATAATAAATTCTAGCATTCTAATATAATTTCGAACGCCTTTTGTTCGTTTTAGAGCCTCCCATACTAATTTGCAACTATGTAGATAACACCAAGAATGCTTGCAATTCAGTTTTTTGTATACAAAATTGATCTAGTAGTTGTTTGTCGTTGGTATCGGTAGATGTGAATACACCCTAGCACATATTGAGACACAAATTTCGCTTCTTAAAAAAAAAAGATGTATTTCCAACGCAACAAGGGTTGAAAATGTGCAACCGTAGTGAAATGCTGCAGAATGGGGAATATTTTTTTTTATTTCAGAAGTTTATAGCGACCTATTTACTTATAAATTTAGTTTATATAATTGATTCCACGAAAAATATTTTTGAATGAGTTTTAAATTATTATTGTTATTTTTTTTACTAGATGTTATATTTCTGGTTTGATATGTGGCAATAATGCCTAGTAATTGATGACAGTAGTGCAAGGACCTATTTATTTACCAATTTCCAATACATATTAAATACAAAATTAATTAAATTAACAAAATTTAACACAATTTTCATATATTGCTATTTAGCAGGTATGACATTCTCAGAAAAATAATTAAAAACGTATACAAGTTTAAAATCACAGAAAAACAATTTAAAGGTAAATATACTCATATAAATATATATAAACACAAAAAAAATAAAAATAATTTAAAACCATCAATAACTAGAATGACTTCAATTCTAGGAACATGACTGGCTTATCTGACTTACCTATTATAGAGATTATTATAATTGATTACAACCATGACATAGCAATAATTCAAAATGGCTCTAATTTAACAACCTATGGTACTTGTTTTGATTTATAAGTGGTAATGGAAAAAACTATATAGTCAATACACATACATTTAGTTTTAAAAATGAAATAAAATCTTGATGAAATTAAAATTTGCAATAAAAGAAAAATAGTGTTATTACATAGATGCTTATTTATGAACTGGCAATAAATTGTAGCAAATGTTTTTTTTAAATTGAGGTAGATGTCTCATCTGTAACTATTTTTAAATGCCAGCCCCTACATTCGAACTATGACAGTTCAGATCGAAAATTTTTCCAAATTCAAAAATATTTTTGGAAAAATTTTATCAAAAAACATGGAAATTTTTGGTATGTGGAAAAAATCGTAGAATTCAATTGATTCATTTAAAAAGTTCTACCTTATTTTTTAGGGATGCCACCACCTTCATCTTCTCCCTATGACAGTGGTTCCCAAACTGGGGGGGGTACGAAGCAACATTAAGGGAGGTGCATTAGTGCCCTGAACTAATAATTTTTTTTTTGTTTTAAAATAATAAAAAATCATATTTGACAAATTCAAATAAAAATGCAGTATTAGCTTAGACTAGTGATGCAAATGTTACTTTTTTAAATAAGTAGTAAAAGTAGTTTGTGTTTATAATTGAAGGAACACAATCACTTCTTTATTTCAAAAAAGGGGCATTATAGAAAAAGTTTGAGAACCACTGCTCTAGGGGATACTGGTGGTAAGATTTTTATACAAAAACGTTGCAAATCAGATCTATTGTTCATGTTCCAAAAATTTCATTTGTAACCATTTTTAAATGCCAGCCCCCCATATCCAAACTATGACAGTTCTAGTTGAAAATTATTTTTGAAAAAATGTTATCAAAAATTTTTGGATATGTATGTAAAAAAATCGTATATTTCAAATGTTTAATTGAAAAAATTGTAATTTTTTGAGGGTGACACCCTCTCCATATCAGCTTGGGGGGTGGAGTGGGCGAAATTTTTTTATGCGATTTACATATTTTTAGGATAATACATCTATATCTCGACCAGGGTTGGAAAAAACCTATGGATTTTAAAAAATATAAGTAGGTTTTTTTTGTTTTTTAAGGTTTTTAGTTCATAAATGGAAAAACATTATTAATAAAGTAAAACAAAAAATAAAAGGTAAAGTTAAAAAATAGAATTTTATTAAGTATTTATATTAAAAAAAAACACATTCAGCAAATAAAATAAAAATGACAAAAACATTTTTTTTTTTTTAATTGTCACTTACTATCACTAGAATCAATAAGTTCGTCAGTGGTAACTTTTTACAAAATATTGGTATTTGTTTTTATATAAACTAATGTTTGCACCCTTTCTACTGAGAATTGATTTCTTAACTTTGAACAGATAAATCCAAAAGTTATTTAAAAACCTAAAATCGCAGAATTTTCACTTTTAGGTTTTTTTTAAAAAAACCTAGGTGCAAAAAAACCTGTACTTGCCAACCCTGATCTCGACCCAAACTACCCTAGCTCCAAGAGCACAACCCTAATCTATTACTGTAATACCTACCATTTCTTCAAGTTATGTTTATTTTAATAATTATTGTAGAAATTAAGTTAAACTGTCAAAAAATATGGTCATTGTCTAGTTTGAGCTCTTTTTGCTAGTGAAGAAACTAAGCATAGGTACTTGTAGGTATCACTATTCTAAACAAAAAATTTTAGTACCATATCTTGAACAAATTAATAATGACACCTATGCTTAGTTTTTGCGTAATAGAAAAGGGCTCAAACTAGACATTTACCAAAAATATATAAATAAGCCCACGCATTTATAAAATATTCTGGATGACTAAGTTTTGATACAGTAAATAAAATAAGTAGTGCCTAGTTTATAATAAAAATTAATATTTAAATTTTAAACAATTGAACATAAAAATTAATGAGTTGTTGATAAGATTTTACATTCGTTTTATTTTGCGCATTTTTAATATATTTATTCAAGACTGTATTGAATAAAAAAAAAATGGAAATTAGCAAACTTTCTTATTAGGTTTATAGCTACTATAACTTACCTTAATAAATGTGTTAAAGCTAGAACACCCAAAAAAAAGAAATATCCAGTCAACAGCAGATTAATGTACTCTTTAGAGAACAATTTGAAAACTATGTATAATGCAAAAAGAGCGCAGGAAGCCATAATTGGAAATATTGCGGCATCTTTTTTGGTCATTTTTTCTGGTTTCTGAAAATAAATTAACAAAATAATGACAGTCCAACCATTATCTAAACTACAATCTGGAACTTACATTTTCCTTATGGTACACTACAGACCTATAGGAACCGAAGAATATTGGAAGCAGTGCCATTATAACCAAGCTTCCATAAGCAACGGCCATTCCCTCTGGAGTACTTGGAGTCTTTTCAGTTGCATTTTTGGCATTTTCTGTTAGATTTTCAGTAGCCTGAGCTATAATTATGTTGACGACACTTCCCATGTTTTTAAAAGAAATGAACTTGACAAATGTAAACGTCACACATTTGTCATTGTGAGGTTGACAGAGCCACGTCAGTAGGCATTTTTTAGAGATGCACATTGGCTTTTTACCCCACTCCTGTTCATTGAACAGAACGCATTTAAATAATGTTCAAATATTTTACTCCAGTACAAGAATTAGATGTTTTGTGGTGTAGGTACAAAAAAACAGTTCGACGGTTCGATAAACAAAAGTCAACTCCGAAAAAAGTGGAAAAAATCTCATTTGGAAAATATTAACCATTTATAAAACATTCTATAATTGAGAGTAGAATATTTTGTAATTCCAATATTATGATTTACTTTTAGAATGAAAGAGGCACCAGTCTGCAAATAAGTTTCCTTAATTTTAAAATGTCAAATAATAGAATCACACGATTTCACCCTTACCATGGGGAAAATATAGTATTATCAGAAGATAATACCGTAGCTTATAGGAAGAAAAGTTTCGCAAATGCTATTACGTTCAGTGACAAACCTTTGGCACCCGGTGAAATTTTCCTTATTGAAATAGAGCAGAATGAAACAGGTTGGAGTGGTCATATGAGATTAGGTTTAACCCAGTTGGACCCTTTAACAATTTATAGAACAGGATCTATCCCAATGTACGCTTTACCTGACCTAGCAGATATAGGAACGTCTTGGATATATGGTATTAGTAAAGCCCATAACAGTGTATTCGAATATGAGGAAGAAAATGGAAGGAAATGTATTCGTTCCGGATCAAAGAAAATCGATAATAACAGTAATTTTATTAAAACTTGTAGAGGTACAATACCATTGAGTCTCTTAAAGCCTTCTCGGTCTGGAGACATCCTCCCTACTGACATGGGGAGCAGGATTGGTGTTATGTATGTACCAACCGACGAACTTGAAGCAGATATGCATTATATCATTAATGGTGAGGATCAAGGTGCTTGTGTAAAGAGAATTCCTTTTACACAATCGCCTTTACATGTTGTAGTTGATGTTTATGGTACTACAAAAAAAGTTAGGATTATTCAATTATATGTAGGTCAGTATTTCATATTGATATTTTAACTATATTTTACAGAAGTGATAACTGAATATGTTTGTAGTTTCTGTTGCAATAAAATAAAAAAATCCACAAATTATATTGTATTTGGTTGTATTCAACAAAATATTTGAGCCAATAATCACAGTGTGTTCATAAAAAAAGATTTCTAATAATAAGTTTTAAAATATTTTATGCCCAATTAGTCAAATATAAAAAATATATATTTGCATAAAATGATAATTTCTTAAAAAAAAAACAATTTTCACACAGGTCCTATTTTCTTCATTGTTTTTAGAACAATTCTTAAGTAATCAATGAAAATAACTCATGGTTTTAATGGTGTTAGAAATTAGTAAATATTCAAACTGAACTTTCAATTTGTGGTTTATTATTATTTAGATTTTAAATAGCACAGTATAACTTTGCCACAATTTATTTTAATTAATAACTTATTTAGAAAATGATATTCCCTAGTTTGCAATTTATTACAAACATATTCAAAACATGTTGGATGCAACTGGTAAAAAATTAATAAAACTTGCAATATGGCAATGTTTATTAATCAAATGTATTGTTTACTGATTATTGCAGTACTTTGCTTGGAAAGACAGTGATTTGTCTTAAGAAATATCAAATTATTTAACACCTTTAAACAATAATCATTTATATCTTTTTTTTTAGTTCCTTCGCTACAGTCTGCTTGCAGAGATGCTATCCTTCAACATATAACTAAAAAGGCAGTGCTATCTTTGCCTTTACCAAAGTTACTGAAGGAGTACTTGTTATACCAAACCTGAGAAGACTCGGTTTTTTTTGTTTGAATAAGTTATTGTAAGTAACCCCCCCCCCCTTTTATGTGGGTACATTACTTACTTACAAGTATAAATATATGATGTGTCCAACACATTACATTCCTGTAAAATTATTAAATATATTGAGTATAGCCCATATAATCAAAAAGTGTTTATGAACTAAATTTTTTTTATATCTTCACTGACAATGTAAATACTAAAAAAAATCAAATTTATCACTTCCTCAAATTTCTCTATTGTGGGCGATTTTATGAAATGTTAATGACAAAAATTATAGAAAATTACATCACAAACAATTTCTATAAAAAGAAGTTTTTTCTACAATCTTAAATAGCAGAAATATACCTTATAGTGTTAAAACGCCACCTATAAAGTGACCAAAATCTAATCAGCTCACCACAGGATGGATTAAAATTTGGTGAAACACATCGAATTTTAAACTCTAGCCATTTTTGAGTTATTGAAGATACAGGCACACAGACAGACCCCATCAAAACTTAAATATTGAAAAATCATAACTTCTATATACTTTCCTTACTGGTTGCAGAAAAATTAGATACTTATAAATAAAATAAATTCTTTAAATAAATAAATACATTGGACATATCAATTGCTTAGTACTAAGAAATAGAGTGGAACATCATATATGTATGCTGTAATGATTTGACACATATTACATTGATAATCAAATTTTTTTATATTTTTTTTATTGTAGATTTCCTGGTCTGTAAGTTAACAAGATTAAGTGATCTAATTATCAGTTTTTTGCTGCCTGACATGCACAGACCTTGTTGACAAAAAAATAGATCAATATTACTTCTCTATTGCAGTTTGCAAGACTGATTTTGATAGTATCCCAATCTAAATGTCAAAAAATATTTTTCCTTTGAAAAATTGTGATCTTTTTATTTTTAATATAATCTTTAATTTGTTGTTGATGTTTTATTATAAAGTATTACTATATTGAATAATACACTTTTTCTACAAGTATATCATCGCTAGACATGTCAATGTAGAAATGAACTAGTGTGAAAATGTTTGTAGTTGAGGACCACACATTCCTGAATCATGATTGCTCATGCAATTACTTTGAAGAAAACCTGTAAGAATGCTTGTCATAATTCAAAAATACAAATAATTGTGACTTCTCCCTGCATTAACAACATATTTATGATTAAACCTGATTTACTCATCCAAATCACATACCTTTAAATGATGGATGATTGGGAAATAAATAAAAATAGTCCAAGGGGGGGGGAGGTGACTCAGTGGTAGTCTTTGCCTGCGGATCCAAGGGTCCCAGGTTCGAATCCCACCGTTGGCCGGAATTTTTTTATTTAATTTAATTATTTAAAATTAATTCTGATGCCTTGGTAGGATTCCCCACTCGACCATTCACTGTTGGGTTCTAATTAACAGTGCTGTTTCTAAGTTCCGCTGGGAAACCGTAACAAAGCCTACACAGAACACGAGGCTAATAACCTTAGTAGTTGATGCCGATGACACCAAATTAAAAAAAAAATTAGTCCAAATTAGGAAAATTGTATGTAACACTTATACAGTTTTATGTAACTCGTTCACGTTGCAAGACCTCTCTCTCTGCTCGTTCTGCAAACATTCACTTGTTACATAAAATAAAGCATTTCGCAACTGGTTTCATAAATAGCTATATTGACTAGACAGACAATTACTAATCATTTAGTGTCCCATGTATTGTAAATGTATCAAATAAGTTGCGTCATATATACTCTGTGGCTAATGCATTGATATGAGGTGTAAGCTTAAAATGGGATCGATCCGCCATTATTGTGAGTGCAATTTCAATTTTATAGATTATCTTTCTAGTGTCATTTTTTGTGATTAAATTTAATTTATACGATTTTTGAGTGTTAAAAACATCAAGATAGAATAAAGTAGAGACGACATAAACACTATTTTACCATTTGGCAAATGGTCGCACTTCAAGTGACGGAAAAATGTAATGAAAATGGCGACTTGAGTCGAACTTTGATTTATTTGAAGTCAATAATTTTATAATTGAAGACTGACGGAATGAAAATGATTTTATGTTATTTAAATGAAGCTATTTACAACAAATTGCCTTTATTCTCACCAAAACTGACTAGCTCCACTATTTTGAGTTTTGACATATGACATAAAAATGTAATGCAAAGGTGCGATCACTTTAGCATGGTTAAAAACTTTATAAAGTGAGTAATGCCTAGATGTATAATTTGTTCCTACTCTAGCAATGCTCGTTTAAGTAAAACGTTGACTGGAATAACCTTTCATAGGTTGGTATAAAAATTATAAATATTGTACGTGGCAGTGTTATGGCTGGTTTGTATAAAATGCGTAAAAATATGGTGTCAAAAATACAAAAAAATATCCATCAAATTTTGGCCCTACCTACCTATTGGAATAATCCCAATAAACACAGTTAATCGGAACCGTAACTGGGCCGAAGGAGGCTTGCCGAATGCCGTACTCGGCCCGATATACGTGTGCAGCTGTGGCATATAGGTAGGGCATGTTCGCCCCGCCGAATGTCGGCAGCCCATTATATTGTAGCCGCGTTCATATGTCTATATATAGTTCGGTCCGTAAGGATGCCTCCCATGCCCGGCTAGCCAAATATTCACCGCGTTCGGCTCGTAAGGATGCCTCCCATGTCTGCAAAGCCAAATATGGACCATACTTCTAAATTACGTTAAATGGTACGGTACTCCCCAGACAACACACCAAATCCCAGAGATATTCACAGAATATCTTTTGTGGATATCCAATATATCCACAGGATAACTGAAATATCCCGTGGATCTAATATGGATATCCAAATGTCCGTCTATATCCAGAATATAGAAGATATCCTATGGATATCCAGCAAAATATCTAATGGGTATCTTCCAGACAATACAAGAAATCCCAAAGATATCCACAGAATATAATTTGTTGATATCCAGTGGATCTAATATGGATATCCAAATGTCCGTATATATCCCAGGATATAGAAGATATTCGGATATTCAGCAAAATATTTTATGGGTATCTTTAGTAGAGGTTCATAAGTAATCAATGATTATTGAATATCGTCGAAAGAAAATAGCAGAGATAAAAAATATTTTTAACACTCAAAATATTTTCAATACTCTGCCTTTGATCAGTTTGATTTTGCCCACTAAGGAGAAAGTCATCCTTATTAGGACTCTTCAGAAATAAATGGAAATTCTCGACTCCAGTCTCTAATGGAGTCTGATTGCGATACCAATTTCGATCGAACTCAGTTACGGCGGGTTGAGCATGAGTAGATATTCAACGAGCGAAAGTGGTATCGCCATCTATACTTAGTAAGCAAAATCAAAAATTACATCTAGTGGATATCCACCATATGGTTTGTGTTCGCGCCTAGACTTTGATATATTTAGTGGATGTCCATTGGATATTGAATACACCTTAAAAAAATTAATTTTAAATATCTGAACGGTACTATTAGCCACAATGGCGTAATTTTTTAATAATTTGCTATATGTATAATTACTATTATTTATGGACATTTGCATGTCTATAAATTACACCTCATGGATATAAAATAGATATCCACCATGGACTGGACATTCAGTGGATATTGGGATGTCCAGTAGATATCCAAAGAATTTGGTGTGCTGTCTGGGTCCCGGCTCAGAAGAAACCTCGACAAAGGCAATCCGAGTGTACTATGCTTCCCGTACATACCGGTGTCAGGCCGAGCGAATGCCAACTATTTGTGGTTTACTGGGATACTTTTTTATACTAAATAATATTAATAGATTTCTAAAAAACGATACTCGTGGCTAGAATTTGTATACAGGCACAACTGGGAACATTACCAATTCAGCGTTATATGTTTCAATAATCACCTGTAGTTTTCACTTTAGGGTTAATCAGATTTAATTTTTTGGGAGGATGCGATATGCATCCGTATCTTTTTTATATCTATCAGTAGGTAGAGAATAATATATGCGATGATTTAGAAATTGTATCTTTCTATTTTTTTTGTAAAATGAAACTTTGTACATATTTGCATTCATAAATATTTAGGAACTGTTATCTTTATTGACTTCTAAAATTCTCAGATACCAATTTAGTTGAAATCTGACGACTTTTAAAAATAATTTTTACTTTAAAAACGGCTCACCATGAATTTAACTGGTTTTGAGCTAGAAGGGAACCTTATCTGCCGTTTTTGAGCTATCGCGCCAGCATACCGGCGGAATGGGGAAACATGTTTTTCGTAATCTAGGGACCGTGAAACGTGAAAATCTGAAATAATCTCGGAAGGTGACTTTTTCACGATTACAATACTTCCCCATGTAATACGATATATCACAAATTATTGCCCCACTCTTCCGCTAAGATCTTTTGTGAAGCGTACATAGTAGATTCTATGATTCTAAAATTATTTGAAAGATGGTTGACAGTTTTTACTTAAAAGATTAAATTTACATTAGTCTCTGCATTATTTTTTAATAGCCATTCTATTATAATTACATTTTGAAACTATTTGTACAATACTGAAAATAAAATACATTTTTTAAAGATCTTGTGGAAAATAAAGTCCTGCACGCCTATGTTTTGTATTCTACGTCATTTTTGAAGTGTTCCACTTCGACCAATCAGAAACCGACAGACAAGCCACAAAAATAAATATGGGTGATTGTTGATAGAAATGATAGGAATTATTGATAATGTAGAAAAATAACGTCAGTTGAATTGTAAAAAGTTAGAAACACGTTTAGTAAATTCTACAAAGTGCTTTTGTTAATATCTAGTGATAGTTTATATAACAACAAATATGGAATCGTTTGTTACCCTAATAGTTAAAGCTCCAAATCAACAAATTGAAGATCAGACAATAAAGTGTGAACCCACTTGGACAATTCAAAAGTTAAAGCAACATTTGTCTGAAGTTTATCCCAGTAAACCCGTGAGTAATCTATAATGTATAATATTTTGTGAATACCGTAAGTAGGAAATACACATAACATTTTGCCTTGGGGTTTGTGTTGTCATCCGTTCTATAAACAAACATTTCATCATTTAAGACTAAAAATTTTGCAGTTGAACTTTGCCCCAGTAGACATGAGATCTATTTTTTTTAATTGGGTCCATAATAATAACATTATTATCCAATTTGCTCCCACATTTCACAAGACTGAATGTGAAACTAAAGTTACCACTATTGGAGTATTTTATTTTAAAATATTGTATTTTAAGTTTACTGACTGTGTTATTTAATGTAATTTAAAAGGTCAACAATAAAAATGACTTTAATCATTAGCATCTCGTACCTACATGTTATTTGAAAATTAGCTCTGCAATCTTTATGAGGCTAGAAAAATTAATTGTTAAAGTTGTTATTTCGTTTCATTATTCAATACTTATTATATTAGATGGAAATACTTAAGTTAGCTGGTTGGCAAGTTGTAATATCACTTCATTATTCATAAAAATGAAAAACATTCAAGTTAGATTATTCATTAGGCTATTGTCTCGGCTATTGTGATATTTTAGAAAAATGCTTTTTAACAGATCATGTTGTTTCAATGTTAAATAGTAACTATGTCTTATTGTTGACAACATTTGCCATTATTCCTATGTACAGTGTTATTTATAGTAGACTTTTATCAATAAATCTATTTAATCTTCATAATATTTAATTTTTGTGACCTTGGTAAATTTGATATTAATAAAAATAATAAATGTCTTAAGTAAAATCATATTTAATTATAAAATAAAATTGCAAAATTAAGGCGTTCCATAGGTATTTTTGTTGTATTATTATCAGTGCTTAAATTTAAAGAACAATAACATCAAGTACTTGAATATATTCATATTTTTAATTGTTATCTGCACTTAGGTATATGCAAATCCAAACTGAAACAATATAATTTATCATTTTGCAATATGGTTTTCAATTTGTATAAAAATACAATAATACAAGCATATCTTGTAATCAGTGTGCCAAATTAGTCTCAATAATATCAGCAAAAACTAAACAAGTCAAATGTCTATTATTTGCATTTAACTTATTTTACAAATTAATTATCATACTACAAAGCCTACATGGAACAAGAGGCTAATATCCTTCATAGTTCATCTGAAGGCACTTAAAAAAAATTAGAATGTTAAATTAATAGAGTACCTATAGTCTAAATAAAAAAGGAGTGTAGTAAAAGTTGGGATATAACGTCACATTTCATAGGCATACTTTGCAAAATAAGTTTCTATAATATAAATAAGGTCACGACATATAAAATGGTATATACATGCACTTTGTAGATTAATTTTTGAATGAAAAAAGTTATATTTCGTTGTGTTGGTGGTGAAAAGAGCTAAGCCACATTTTTAGGCAAAATGAGTTAATTATATCACATAAATTGGTATTTCAAAATAAAACCAAGTATACAAATCAATAACATGACGTAACTAATATTTATACACAAATTCAAATAGTTCATGATTATTAATCAAGAAAATAATCTATTAAATTCTACTCAAATTGATTCGATTAATGAAGTCCTTGATGCTGCTAATATAACAAATAAAATTAATTTAAATGAAAAACTCCTAAATGTCTTACATTTCAATATTAGGAGTATTATTATTAAAAAGAATTTTGATGAGTTGTTAGTATTTCTAGAAAGTTATAAAATTAATTATTGTGATATAATAGTTTTGACTGAATGTTTCCAGTTAGAATCTATTTCTCAGTTTAACCTAGATGGCTTCACCACTATAACAATGGTAACATTAACAGAAATGATGGTGTTGTAATTTTGGTCAGGTCAAATCTAAATGCAGAATTAAATATAGTTAAACTGGAATATTCTGATATTTGTGTCACTAAAATAAATCTAAAAGTCAATCATCGGACCATTGGCATTACAGGTGTATACAGGTCTCCTCAAACCTGTGTACAAGCATTTATAAGGGATTTAGAAAATTTAATACCAAATCGCCTAAATAGAAATATTGAAATATTCATAGGGGACATTAATATTGATCTCCTAAATGTAACCAATTAAGTAACTACTGATTACCAAGCAACTTTTTACTCCCATGGTTTCATGTCTTACATAAACACTATTATGAGGCCACAAAGTAAAACATGCTTGGATCATATATTCTTAAAAAACAATATTAAGACTAAAAATCTATCGGTGAACTCTTATGTAATCAGCTATGATATGACTGCTCATGATCCTATTATGATAAATATCTCACAATCTGCCAAAAACTACACAATCCTACAATACATGTAACACTATAACTAAAATCGATACTGATAAATTAAAACAAAATTTCGAAACTGTAAACTGGGAAAGTGTTTGCAATGAAAATAATCCAGAAATTGCAACACAACTTTTTTATAACACGTATATCATTGAAACATGTCAAACCACTCAAAATATTAAAATTAAAATCCATAAAAAAATAAAGCCATGGATAACAAATGGTTTAATTAATTCTATTAAAACTAGGGATAAACTTAAAAATGATACTATTTACAAACAAACTCACTATAAAATATTTAGAAATAATTTAAACAAACTAATATCAAAAACTAAAAATGACTATTATAACAATAAAATAAACCAAAACAAAAATGATCTGAAAAAACTTATCAATTAATCTCTGAAGAAACTAATGAAAATCATAAAAAAAATAATACCAATTTACAGATTGTTAACCAACATAATGAGGAATTTGAAAATGATAATGAAATGGTGAATTTACTGCAATGACTACTTTTCGACTATTGGCACTAATATGTCTGAATGTAATGTGGATTTTCCTGTAAGTGTCACTAAAAAATCAATGTTTCTTCATATAAAATTACTTATTAAACAAATATAAAATTTTTTGTAAAGTTAGCAAAATATACATTTTCCAAAATAATGTTTATCAGAATATTCCAAGAATAATAGACTTAATACATGGATTTTTTTAAATAGTTTTTTTTTCTATTTCTTGCATAAATTATTCAAGTTTTATTTTTTATTTAAAAAAAACAGTTTTTTTTTTTCTTTATAATTCATTAAATATAATTAAAATTTTAATTTTTGTCAGCACATATAGGTGTTCTCACCTAGGTGCTTGTTATTATATAATTGGTTTCCATTATTGTACTTTATTGTAACTTATTTATTATTGTAACTCATTGTAACTTATAACTATTAAGCTATATGTCAAACTAGATGTCAAATTAAAAAAAAAACTCTGAAAAATACAGTGGTGAAGAGTGATAAGCGATTTTGTAATTATAACCTTAAAATCCCACAAACTGAAAGAAGCTAGGTGAAAATTCATATATCTCTTTTAGCATTTTTAAGCGACATACATTTCTTATTCTTTCGTTTTTAAATCAGTTTTAAAATGAAGGAGGTGTTTTCGTGTTTACCAAATTTTAATTTCGAAAGAAAAAAAGACTGTACCTTTTACCCAAGTTTCAATAAAGGTCTTGTTTCTTCCTGGAAGATTTTTGGATGTGAAACTTCTTCAATAACTGTATTTACTTTAATAAATTAAAATACGATATGGCTATGAATAAATAAAGTCGGACTTATCTGTCAAAAGAAAAGGTTTATTACAGTAGAAATCATGGAAACATAATTAAATATAAAAACAACCTTTTATTAGGCCAACCAGATGTATTAATATTTTCATTTTAACCACAAATAAGCATTGAAGGATGGAGTATAAATAAAATGTCTACCTTTTGCAAATTAAATTTCTGCACTTCTTTCGTCTCTAGACTATAACTGAATCTGTAAATTTTTAATACAAAATATTGGGAAATAAATTGCATGGGAATTCTAGTGGAGTTAACTTGTAATTTATGGAAACCAAATATTTTCAGATTTTACTTACCTTCTATTTTCATGGGCTATTATAGAATTTATGAACCTAACCTTAAAAGCATATGAAGAGTACAAAGCAAAAACGATAAAGGTAATTAAAAGTTAATTCTTAGTAGATTGAATTTTAATTTTCGACACCAAAATACACTTTGAGCAGAAATATTAAGGAAAACGAGTTAGTAGTCATTTAGTGCCTCATTTATTGGATAATATGTGAAAAACATCATGTCTTTTTCTTTTTCTTCTTCACGCACGTTGTGGCCCGTGATTTTAATCATTCTTACTATGTACACCATTTTTTCTAAAGTACCTACGTTACTATGAGGTTCATTGTTGTGTAAACCAGTTCAGCATATACTACAGACTCTCAGCTATTCAATCATGTATTTAACTAATTTTTAGAAAAAAAGTTGCTTTTATCGTTTTTGTTGTGTGTTCTTCATATATGCTTTATATAAATAACAAATCTTGTCCCTAATTTCTATAAAAAAATTTTTTTAAACATAACTATCAGGTGAGGATGATTGTTTATTTTGATACCTTTTAAAACCAAATCAAAATTTTACAATTCATTTTATAAATTGTTGCCAACTTGCTACTTTGTAATTTTTTTATAGCCAAAACATGAACAGAAACTTATATATTCTGGCCAACTACTCAATGATTCAGTAACCCTCAAAGACATATTACGACAGTATGAAGGACAAGAAACCCACACAGTACACCTTGTGTGTGCATCTAAATACATGAAAAATGTTCCTGAAACCAAACCAGTATCTCAAGCTAGTACACCAAATAATGTTCAAAACACAACTAGTACATCAGCTCCAAGTCAACCCACACAAGCTAGTACTTCACGAGAACCAAGTAATCTGAATGTGCCTCCCCAGAATATGTCATATTTCAATTTAAATAATGGAATGATTGATCCCAATCAGTATGCTATGCAATTGGCTTGGATGCAACAGGCATATTTTCAGTATATGGCGCAGTATATGCAATTGTAAGTATTTATATTTTTACAGTACAGTACTTAGAAAAAGGTTATAAAATAATAAATAAAAAAAACTAACTAAAGAATTGAAAAAAAATCTAAGAAATCCTTTAAGTATATTTTGTGTAGTAGATTCTTAAAAAATAAGGGTTCCTAGTTGAGATTTCAAAGTGGTCCCCTACCCCATCCGATAGGGGTTAAGATTAACCTGAATGTGCAGATTTTTATTAAAAATCTATAAATCTGTTTATTTTGTATTGATTAATTAAAAATTATACCTGAATTTTCGTGCTAAATATTGTTTTTTGTCATTTGAACAAAGTAAGATTTATCCGCGGAATCGCGCATTTTTAAAGACCTAAAAAACGTATTTAGAGGTCTTGCTATGTAATGATTTGTTTTGTTGTTGAATGATACTAATGTACTGAATCATTTGTCCTAAAAATTGTTTCTGGAATCTCGTGCTAAATATTGGTTTTTGATATTTTGATAGAGTAATGTTTTTCCGCGAAACCGCGCAGTTTTAAGGGCATAAAAAACGTATTTAGAGTTCTTGCTATGTAATGTTTTATTATTTTTTTGAATTATAATAATGTATTGAATCATTTATACTAAAAATTATACCTGGATTTTCGTGCTAAATATAGTGGTTTTTGTCATTTTGATAAAGTAAGGTTTATCCGCACGTCGCGCATTTTCAAAGACCTAAAACGCGTATTTTTAAAGACCTAAAAAACGTATTTAGACTTGCTATGTAATGATTTCTTATTTTTTTGAATTATAATAATGTATTGAATCATTCATACTAAAAATTATACCTGGATGTTCGTGCTAACTAGTGGTTTTTGTTATTTTGATAAAGTAAGGTTTAACCGCGGAATCATGCATTTTTAAAGACCCAAAAACGTATTTGGAGGTTTTGCTATTTAATAATTTTTTATTTATTTGAATTTTAATAATGTATTGAATCATTCATACTAAAAATAATACCTGGATTTTTGTGCTAAATAGTGGTTTTTATCATTTTGATAAAGCAAGGTTTATATAGATATTTTTAGTGCAGTTATTGGTATTTTCATGAAAAACTATTTGTAAAGAAATTAGGCCTATCGTTTTTAAAACATGGTCAACATTATGATATTTATTGATAGGTATATCTAAAATAATATAATTTTAATTCTAATCTATACTGGAAAATTCACAGACTATAATTTTATAACACATGATACAAGCAAATAATAATATATATGCTTCATTTTTGAAATTAGAATCATGAGAAGCATTGTGAATTATGATAAGCAGTTTATCTGTCAAGTCATTAATATTACATTCAAACAACTGATGTGACTAAGCAAATATATCATAATACGACGTATGTACACAATTTCAATTTAATACATGGTTCTAGTTTCTGCTAAGACAGAAGGAAAACTTTTCCTTAACAAAAAATATTTTGATTTGCCATTTTTAATAAATAAAATAAATTAATAAATTTTGTGTAGGTTAGAGATGCGTAAAGTTAGCACCGTTAAATGCAACGTTTTTTTTTTTTTTAATAGTTGACAACAAAGTTTTTGCTACTTCCTAACTTCAAAAAAAATCTGACCAAATTCGATCCAAATTTGACATCAGCACTCATAAACACTTCAATAATTTTAAAGTAGCATTTGATTATCTACGTTTGTCAAACCAAACGTTTTATTTGTCCATCCCAAAAGAGGGATACATTTAAAAAAGATGAATAATGCGCATGGTCCTTATGGACAACCTGAACACACTTCATTTGAATTAAATACGTCAATCGTTTGTCCAAGCCGTATTTTTGTTTCTCCTACCCTTATTTTCGTTTTTCCTACCCTTATTTTCGTTTGTCCACTCAAAATAAATTAGTTTTTAGCAAAATAAGAAATAAAAAATATAAACAGTTATTAACCTAAACCACACGAAAATAACATGTGGAAAAACCACATGTTATTTTCGTTTGTCCTACCAACAGAAATAAACTCAAAATATAAACAATTTTTACCATTAATGTAACCTCCCACCCCCTGATATCGCGTCATGTATATTGTTTAAAGCATGACTTTAATTATCTCCCTATCCTTTGTAATATTCAAAGAAATTTATATTTACTTTTACGGGCCTTTTTTCTCTAGTAGTGATCGTCTAGTTTAATAAGATTATTTTAACACCCACATTTTATTTAATTAATTTATAAAGTAATTAAGGATTTGATGCAAAATTTAATGCGAATTTGTGAATAAAATAATATTCAAAATACTTGTATATTTAAATTAATATATTTTTCTTCAAAATAGTGTATACATTATTAATTTAGGGTATGAGAAATAATATTTCTCACCGGGACTTTATACAGGAATTATTCATGAAAACATGCAGTGGACGTCCTCAGAATTCTTGTTTAGAAGTCTTGTTTTATATAGATGACCTTGCTGAGATACAGTCTTATCAATAACTGACTTTATGTTTAGGCTCACTTATGGGGTTTATGTAGCGTAATCTTACTAAAGTAGTGCCAGATCAGTACCGTCGTATTATGTTAAAAATTATTTATGGAGAGATAATTTGTTAAGACAGTCCAACCCTGCAGTAACATCAACCATATGTGTTTAAAAAGAGTGAATCTAACCAACTGAACTATGTCCTTTACTCAAATCAGCATTAAGTATTTTTAGGCTGATACAATTAACTAAAAATGCATCCTGGAGCTGCTTACTTATTACCTAATAGAACCCATGGGACGTTAACGGCGAATTTATATTAACTTATTGACACACTATCGGATAGACTGACCACATTGGGTGTATGTAGTCGTTCATTCAGAAATTTCTATAGGGTTGTTAATACGTGGGACCGTTGTTTATTTGGAAATAATGTCAGGGTGGAAAAGCGTCGGATCGGAAAAGCGTCGGGTAGAGAATCGCCAGATGGAAAAAGCGTTGGTAAAAGATGCTTTGGGAAGAAGAAGCGTCGGAGGTTGGAGAAGTGTCGATAGTTTGGAGACCCGATTTGTATTTTGGAACTGACTGAATTGTACTGATTCATGCTGAATAACACTGAATATTGAGTTCTCGGGGATATTTGTACTTATTTTTGTCAAAGGTTTATATTTGGGCTAGGATTTAAAAAATATGTTTAGTATGTTTGGTATGTGTGTTTTTTCAAGGTTTCGAGTCGAACTCTCATGGCGGAATGTTTTTATCTTATCTAGTTATTGGAAATGTGTACATGTAATAGTTAGATTTTTGGTTTTATTTATTAGACATCGTAAATAATATTTAATTATTTAAAATATTTTTTCTTTTAAATTGAGGAATTTAAATATAATAATGGAATTAATAAATTGTGTTTGAAAATTTTTATTCAAACAATTTAGATTGTTGTTGCACATTTATCAAGGACCGATGACAGTGCAATAATTTAAATAGTTTGTCCCATTATCCTGAGCAGGAGCTTCAGAATTAGCGATTTTTCAAATCCGATACTTATCCATGTGGGAACTTTTTATTAAAATTTATTCAATGTTAGGGGTTGAGCGAATTTTAGGGGATTCCCGACATACGGACGCGTTTTGACCTTAGTGGTTTGCGACTCGCTTTTCCATAAACAAACAATTTCAAAAAAGTTAAGTACGAATTATTCAATTCAAACAAAATATATGGATGAATATATACGGTCGGAGGTATATTTGTTTAAAAGAAATTGAATAAAAAAGTTTGTAGAATAGTGTTAGTTATTACAAAATACTAAAAAGTAGAAAATAAATAATAGTTTAAATAAAAGTAAAAAAACGCGCTTTAATAGAAAAGCAAAATTAAAAGTAGAAAATAATTTTCAATAAATTTAAATTAAGAATAGTATGATTAACAAAAACATTATTTTTTCTACACCCACATGGATATTAGCTTATCTGCGAGAACACTGCAAAAAAATTAAATCCACCAATCACCGCTCATATTTTGATCAACCGACTGCTATTATTTTTAAAATTTTAAATAAGTGACAATTCTGTCAAATTGTCAGTATATTTTTTAGTTATTGAGATTAAACATACATTAAAATGGGTTATTCTTGTGTAGAATCGATAAATAATAGCGTATCTGTTTTTATTTTGTCTATAATTACAAATAATTTGTTTATTTAAATAAAACTATATGAAGTCAATTTAATTATGAGTATTAAAGCAACAAAACCAAAGAATAGATGGTCCTGTGGTCAGCGTTCTTGCCTTCCACACGAGTTCGATTCTCGGATGGAAAAAAATGAAATTAACTTTTTTTTCGTTTATTTTATTTTAAAAATTATTAAAAGTCAAAGTCATAAATTATTTTAAAATATTAGTTATTTTGTCTTAATTACCTAAAATATTTTTTTATTTGTAAATTTTTGATTTAACACGCCTACGCCGTCGTGCTCAAATTTCGTCTTTGTGCGATATGACCATCATATCCACTCTTGTTACACAAACTACTATTATTGTAGAAAAACGAGGGGTGCTGTGACAGACTAGGCATGAAGAAAACCAGAACCACAGCATTGCACCCACAATCTGATGGAATGGTAGAGCGAATGAAAAATATCTGTCAAAAGTAGTTTCAAACCATCAGCGAGATTGGGATCAGTATCTTTCGCTCTTTGCAATGGCTTATAGATCTGTTGTCAATGAATCAACAGGCCAAACACCAGCAAAGGTCCTGTTTGGGCGTGAGATGAGAATACCATGCGACCTTGAGTTTGGATGCCGACCTGGAGAAGATGTAGCTGGTGAAGATTATGTGATCCAGTTACGAAGAAGAGTGGACGATATGCATGAATTGGTCCGCTCGCATCTTCAAATCGCCAGTGACAGAATGAAGAAGCGATACGATACCCAAGCCACAGAAGGATGTTTCAAGGAAGGCGACAAAGTCTGGCTCCATAACCCAAAAAGACAAAAGGGTTATTCTCCAAAGCTTCAAAGGTCTTGGGAAGGCCCGTACCTCATCAAG